TTATTCTTACCGTCGACTTTTACTCAGAGATGACTGTGTAAGGATTTCGCTAATCCACCTTCCGCGGCAGAAACAATGCGCAGCTGCGTATCACCTATCAGGACAAGGCGAGGCTCGTTTTTTTTTTTTTTTTTTTTTTTTTTTTTTTTTTTTTTTTTTCACGTTCTACCATCTCTCATCGAGCATTTCCATGCTTGGACTCAAGTGCGGTTTATTCCGACTTTTTGAGCAGACGTCACTCGACGGGCGCTGACGAGGCAGAGACGTACCGTCGATTTTTCCTCCTTGGAGTTGGCGACGTATACATACACATGGGCGACACTGAATCAAGATCTTGTAAAAGCACAAACTCCCGTGCAGAACCGCAGGCTCAATTACATGCGCGTGACTAAATTGAATGTTCCGTACAATAAGCTAGATAGTCATGACGGCCTTACAGACGTGAGCGGCAACCTTTCCGGCTCCTTGTCGCCGTCTTCGTTCTCGCTCTCGCCAATTTCGAAATCTCCAGCGTCTGCCAGCTCCTCCTCTTCATCCCTTGCTCTCGCCTTTGTTTTGCCCTTCTGTCTTGTTGCCATCTCACATGGCGTAGGATACGGTACGTCGCAGTTTCGCTTCCTCAGCGGAGGGAAGTATCTCTTGTAAGAGAACAAAGCAACGACGAAGCCAATCGCACTCCCAGCACTGACATCCCACACGTCGTGTCTGTAGTCTTCACAGCGGGAAATGGCGATCAGTGCAGCCCCCAGAAGAGGTGCTATGGCTACCAGAGCTTTTGCTAAGTCCGTTCGGGGGCGCAACACATGCAGTTGCCCAGCCACAAACATGCTGAGGTAACCCAGGCCAGAGAAAGCACTGCTACTGTGTCCGCTTGGGAAACTTCGCCACCCGTCATGCAAAACATGGTGGTTCGTTTCGGTGCACACCTCGTATGTGACTAATTGATGCGCAGGAGTACCCTTCCGCGGTTTACATCTGGCGATAAGATCTGGCCTAGGCCGGCCAACAGCGTTTTTGATTACGTCGGTGATGAAGGAAGCCAGGATGAAAGATATAGCTAGGCCGAGGAGAGCGACATGGGTCTTGTGCGGAGAGGGCGAGATGAGCAGAGTAAGGAGAAGAATGACGCCGATGGGGATAAAGAGCGCATATACGAAGAGCCAAACTGTTTTCGGGTGGTTTATTGTCAGGCATATCATAAGAAGAACAGGCGAACAGGAGCCGAGGGAGGGAAAGGCAACATACAGACTGATACTCGCTCAACTTCGGCGTGCGGATATTGAATGGCGAGGTTGTCCAGGAAGAACATGCGATGAAAGGGCTCGACAAAGAATTGGATCTACGACGGATGAGTCTTGATCGCGGAGAGCTGAGCCATCGCCGTTATCATACCAGCAAGTAGGCAACCAGCAACAGAAGAAATCCAACGTAGTCCGAAGCATACGAGCGCTGTCGAGCGGTTAGCAGTTGGCGCGACGCGTTTGCTGCACAATCACACACCTGCCAAAACCGCGCAAAAGAAGCGGCGACACCCGTCCCCACGCATTTTGTATTATTGCAGATCTGTCATGACAAACATGATCTGAACAAAGTAGAAACAGCAAAGAAGGACAGAACCGAGACACGGGGTCGGAGACCGAAAAGCTCCCCTGCAGCCGCGTGGCTTGCTCCGCACACAGCTCCCAACCAGAGGCCGCCCTCGTTGCTTGGCTGCCGGTTTGTGCGCTGACCCGCGTCTCTTGCGCAACTTTGCCATCCTTCATTCCACACTCACTCACCTCCACACGCTCCCGGCAGTCTAGAATACGGTTATGCAATGGCGTGGGCACCGAATCCTCCCAATTTTTACAGGCAGTTCACAAGTGAAAATCTCGAACGTCTGGACCAATGGAAGAAGGAACATTGCTCGGAGCTAGACAAGAACGGCGACGCGTCAATCTCGCTCCTCAACTTACCCGCCGAGCTTCGCTACCTCGTGCCTCCCTCAACACCTCCCAATGGCGATTACCGGCTCTTTGGTGTCACGCGTACCACGCGCGACTATCTGCGGCCCCTCGAAGAACAAGGCATCACGCAGCTGTACCCGCCAACGACCTCGATCCACACGCCGGACCGGGGAGTCCATCTCAGGCAGTTGACACGCTCCATCCTGCTTTCATTCCTCGAACTAATCGGCATCTTGAGCCAGAACCCGTCCGAGATCGAGCGAAAGCAAGAAGAGATCAAGACAATGTTCCTCAACGCTCTCCACCTGATTAACGAATACAGGCCACATCAGGCAAGAGAGAGCCTCATTTTGCGCATGGAAGATGAGATCGAACGGGGAAGGGCCGAGGTCGACGAAATCAAGAGGCTGAAGACGAAGGTGGAGGGGCTGGTCAAGGCTGCGGACGAGGACGCCGTTATGGCGGACGCGGGAGCGCCGCTGAACGGGCTTGTGAACGGAGAGCCGAATGGAATTCACAGAAGTGGGAGCGAAGAGACGGGAGATTTGCGTGTGCAAAGGGCAATTTGGGATCTGTTGAACACGGAGCTTTCGGGCTCGTGAGTCCTCCGGCCGATGCTCCAGACAGCCTGTCGATGGAATTGAGTGAGAAGAGCAAAACGAGAATCCCGTCCACGGGAATCTCGGAAAAATCAGCACTCTGCACAGGCTCGCATTTGAGATCCACTGTCCGGACTCATACTCCAAACCATGTGCAGACAGGGCTCATTGTCATTGCTCCGCTACAAAAGTTACATGCTTAAAGGGAAAGCAAGGCGCTGTGTGCACAGAATGGTGGGTGCCGCTCGAGCAATAGGAGATCTTGTGGTCTCAAACCACAGGGCTTAAATAGCTTCACCACGGTGGTCGGTTCGGCCAAAGAAAAGCTGCTGTTAGTGCATGGTGTGACTCTCGGAAGGAACTGACGAGGAGGGAAAGGGAGGAAGGACAAAGGAGACCGAAGCGAATTTCTCATAGGCTTCCGCTGCAGAATGCGCAACTGGGTCTGCGGCGTGCGTCAGAAAATGCGAAAGATTCCACAGGCGGTAGTTGGCTTAAATGATAGTCTGTCCTTGCCAGAACAGCATCCGACGCACAAAAGAAAAGTGTCGGGCAAGTTGACTAGGTCTTGAGATGGCGACGGCCATTACGGGGCGCCGGCAAGGACATCGTCGTGAGCAAGCTCGACCCTTTGTGCGAGGGAATGGCGACCAGGAGTCGACGTGGCTGTCACACTTGAGGTTCATTTGAATATCGCTGTAGAATTGCAGAATGGACTGATCACTGCTGCAAAGGCTTAGATCACATGGAAGTAAGACGGTGCGCATGTCCGCTCCGTCGACGTCTCCACGCGAATGACATAACATCATGGTTATCTTTGTGCCCACTCAGCCCACCACCCTGCTTTCTGCTCTAGCTATTGAAATCCAACCTTCGTAATGACTCGGAGTTTCGCCAGCGATGGGATCGAGTCTCAACCGTCAGACTGGACTAAAGCCGTAAAGCGGACTCAGCCACACCAACGTCATGCCGGACGCAGATCTGCTTTTTTGTGGGGTTCTTGTGCGAGAAAGCCTGTAGCAACGGTGAATACGGTCCGGTACTCTACTTTCACTCACAAGAGCCCCGCTTTGCATTACCATGTATTCTTCCAAATATGCGCCCAAGCGGGAAGACGTTTCTCCTCTCCAAGCTGCTGTCGCTGCGCCTACGACGCAGACCGATTCGGCCCAAACTCCGGACCCAGAGCCGGCTCATCTCCAAGAGCCAGCTCCCCCGATAGCTTCGTCTGTGAGCTCTTCACACGCATATGCCCATGCTCGCCGTGTTGGATGCTCACGTGTGTCGTAGATCGAGCCCGCGTATACAATGGACCCCTTGGTGGACGAGTTTGCCCAGACGCGGCCGCCCGATGACCTCTTCGACGACGACTTCACACCTGTTGCCGAGTCGCAATTGGTCTATGACCCACCTCCACAAGCGCCTGCTGCCCAGCCTGAGCCGACATTTCGAGAGCCGCGGTACAGTAACGCGTCGAAGGGGGAGCTGCCACGCGGCGTTCCCCGAGGACCTCGAGGGCGAGGGCGTGGCAGTGGTCGCGGTGCAAATACCTCCGCCGCTGCTTCGGCACCTAAATCGTCCTCCAATACAGGAACCGCAAGCACAAACACGCAAGATGGAGCTGCCGCGGCTGCCAACGGGTCTGACGAAGCGAAAACAGCAGTCGATGCGGCTTCGACTTCCCCTCCCGCTTCGGCACCTACGGGGCCTGCAGCAGGCAAGCCCGTACCGTCCGTCCGCGGTGATCGCAGCCTGACTGGGGGCCCTGCGAAGAAGAAGCTCACCGAAGATGAACTGAACGCCAAGCTTGCGGCCATGTCTCTCAAGAACAAGGCCCTCACGGAGGCGCACGAGAAGGCGCAAGCTGATCAAGACGCGTTCGCTGAACGGGAAAAGATTGCCGCCGAAAAGAGAAGAATTGAGCGGTTGGAGCGGCAAGCCTTGATGGGCGAGCGAGAGAAGAATCGCCAGAGGAAGCTGCAGGTCATGAGTGGACGGGAATGGGACGCCGGGAAGAACGAGGACGATTTCAAGGACGAGGGGAGACGTGCGCGGCGGGGCGCTCATGGAGGAATCGCGGGGACAAGGCACGCCGCGCCTGTCGGAGGAGAGGGTGACGGCGATGTACCCAACGGAGGCGATGGCGCCCAGCGCGACGGACACGAAGGGTCGAGAGGCCGCGGCCGAGGTCGCGGAGGACGGGGCCGCGGGCGCGGCGACCACCATAACCACCACCACCACCATTCCACGCCGCACAAGAAAGACGTCCAGCAGTCCGTGCCGACGTCTGCAGACTTTCCGGAACTGCCGTCGGCCGCTCCGCCGCCCAAGACGGACGGCGGCCTGCCACGGGACCTCGAGTTCCCGCTGAAGAAGAAGGCCGCGACTACAGAGACCCCCGCCAGGATCGACACAACGCCGCACAAGAACGGCGCTGCAGCGACAGCGGAGGAGAATACGACGAAGGCGGCGGCGGCCCAGGGCGAATCGCGGCCGCAGCTGGATAAGCAGACCAGCTTTGGCTTCTCGCCGGCCGCTGAGAAGCGCAGCTGGGCTGACCAGATGGACGCGACGAGTCCTTGAGCGCGCTCTCTTCCTCGAACCCACGTCATGTGTCGTGTTCGCTTCACTTGAACGCTCTTGTTCTACTTTCTCTGATTGGTGTTTTTTTTTTTCGGCTCTTGCATGGGAGGCTTTATATTCTCCGTGAACAGAACAAAAAACAGAACATGAATTTGAGACCAGGCATAGCGTTTGCAGATACCCCTCTCCAGATTGTCATTCAGAAGCAGCATAAGCGCTGACTGTGCTGGGTGGTTGTGCAAGCACAAGAGAAAAAAAAAATTAGTCAAACAGAGAATCAAAGGTTGTGATGCTGACATGCATCAGCATTTTTCACTTTCATTGCTACTATTCGAACACTATCGTATATCGTAGGACTGGCAGCTTAGCCTTTACTGACAGGATGCGACCTTGATCTTCGCCCATATTTTCAACCATCGCGCAGAATGCTGTCGTCGTCTCTAAGCTCTCATCGTGTATCAATCCCTTTCTCATCCTTCCAACCAGCTCTCGTCTCATATCCATCCCAACCTGTGTTTTTGACGGTATTTTAGCCTTAGCTGTTCGCTCTGTGTGAACCTGCTCTCGTTCCAAGGCATGACGGCGAGATGTCGAAATAAAAAGAGAGTCACGATCGAGGAGTCAGACCCGGTTGGACGTAGAAACACCATTTTCGTAGCTCTTATGCTCAACCGAGTAGACCACGATCATCCCCCTGACTTTGATGATGTCCACGTCCATGAACGGTGTTGGTGAACGCACGGGGCGGAAGTGTCATGTCCAAACTTCACCGACCGCACTTGAATCGTCGTTTTGGAGTTGAGTTCAGCGGCCGACAGCCTGGGAAGTTGCGATCGACCGTCTGCTGGTCGCTCGGAAGGCGCAGCACTGCGCAAAGCCGAACACGAAGGGGGAAGAGCGACGGAGCGAGCAAGTCAGGTGATCATTCCCCTGGCGCGTCCTTCATCTCCTCGTCGGTCACGAAATGGCCTCTTAATCCCTCTTTGCCCACCTTCATCGCCCTCTCCAGCTCCTCTTCCTTCTCTTTCAGCCGCTCCCTCCCGTACCGTAAGTCGCGCTGGTGCCTCCTTTTCGCTTCCCGCACACGCTCCTCCCGATCACGCAAAGCCTGCTCTCTGCGTTCACGATCGCGCCTTTTCTGCACTTCCGCTTCAGCGTCTTCCACCCCCTCCCCATTCGACGGTGCGGGATCCAGCGTTGATATGTACGCCTCGATCATGGCATCTCTAATCTTGGCCGGTAAACTGATGTACCTCAGATCACCTACCACCTCTGACGGCAGTGCACTCAAGCTTGTCCCTCGATTTAGCTTCCCCAGTGGCACGCTCTTCAGTAATGACGTCAAATCCTTCTTCAAGACGTCCTTTTCCATGCTCAATCTTTTTACATGCTCCCTGTACAGCTTTTCCTTCTCCTTGTCCGCAAGCCTTAAGTCCTTCATTGCTGCCTCCTTCCGAAACTTGCGTTTAAACTCCGGCCAGTACAGCTTCACGCTCGCGTGCTCGTCCAACAATTGCAGATACGGTATTCGTGGATCCTGCTTGGCTTGCTTTTCTCGCTGTTCTTTAAGTGCCTGTATTTTGTCGTGTGACCACCTGTCGAAACATTCACGTCTGGCTTTCATTGTCGGAAGTGCAAGATATCTCTCGTCATCGATGATGTGGCCAGCCTCAATGATACGATCCCATGGTGTGAAAGGGGAGATGTGGTGATCTTCCAAAAGGTCTCGAAACAGTGCATTTGCGTCTTCCTCGGACAAAGGGGGTTCTTCCTCGTAATATGCTCCCGGTTCGAAGTCATAACCCCCCTCACCTTGTTGCATGGATTCGAGCTGATACATCATATCCTCTTCGGTGAACTCTCTTGGGCCTTGGTCTTCTGTCTGCGCGAATCCTTCCGAAGGCCGTTGTGTGTCGGCAACGTCCGCTTCTCCTCCATCGTCCGCTTCCGAATCTGTAACCTCGATTTCTTCATATTCGGACGAGTCTTCATCATTATCAGCCTGTTGCACAGGAACAACCTTGACCTCCTTTGACGCAGCCATTTCGGCCGCGTCGTCTTCTATATCACTGGCCTCGCCACGCTCACGTCTTTCTTGCTTCTCCCGCTCCCTTCGATCAAATTCCACGACAGATTTCATCACGTGATCAGGAAATTTCCATAGACTCTCTTTTGTCTTCGTGTTGTGAACAAATCGGCGTCCAAGCTTGGTTTTGACAAGCACCCAAGGGGCGCAACCCGGGATTTCGTACTTATGTTTTGGGCGATCATTATCCGGACGGCGAGGTGGCCTCTGGTCTCTTTTACGATCGAAAGATGGATGGTGAGGAGGCGCCTGAAACTGTGCTGGATTGAAGCCACCGGCGAATTGGCCTGCGCTGTAGCTAGGAATGAACGCTGGAGCCTGCTGCTGGACTACCGCTGGGGCTGCGGGAGTCTCAGCAATTGGGGCTGGGCGAGTATACGTAGATGTATTCAATGCTTTGTTGTAGTAGTACGTGTGGCCTAGTCCGATAGTCAGCGATTGGTTCTGCACAGTATACACCCAGGGCACACTGCACCCGTTGGAGCCTTGTGCTCAGTCCATCCTGGAGGCAGCGGGGGAGGAGATTGATGCGCAGGTGGCGGTAGATGCGCGGCTTGCACCTGAGATGCTGGGGTGTACATCTTCACCACCGTCCGACGAGACAAACGACGGCATCGAAGTCATGCAGAGAGTATCAAGAAAGTTTGCCGTGGTGGACGAAGGTCATAGCTTTCGGAGGTGTGGCTTGGCCTCCGCAAGCCCAAGCCAGGCCAGGGCGGACGCGTGCAATAGCCTGCCTAGACGCTCTGCCTCGTCGCTGAAGCAATAATTCTATCGCAGTCCTCCCTGCTCAACTCAATACTCACTCACCTCGATCTACAGCTCCACAATCCGTATATTGTGCCCTCGACTGCGTTAAGATGTCACGAAGATACGACTCAAGAGTAAGCGCATTGCCTGGCGTATCATTGAGCGTCGAACGCTGACAAGGTTGTCCAGACAACCATCTTCTCGCCAGAGGGCCGTCTGTACCAGGTCGAATACGCGCTGGAGGCCATTTCACATGCAGGAACAGCCCTGGGCATACTAGCGAAGGATGGTATTGTTTTGGCAGCGGAGCGCAAAGTCACAAGCAAGCTGCTAGAGCAGGACACGTCTGCGGAGAAGCTGTACATTTTGAATGAGTATGCTCTCTTCCTCCTCTACCCACGCCGTGACAACACACATGCTGAGTGATGACGATGGCAGCAACATGATATGTGCAGTCGCTGGCATGACAGCCGACGCCAACATCCTCATCAACATAGCCCGCCAAGCAGCACAGCGCTACCTCCTCTCATACAACGAAGATATCCCCTGCGAGCAACTCGTCCGGCGCTTGTGCGACCTCAAGCAGGGCTACACACAGCACGGTGGCCTACGCCCCTTCGGCGTCTCCTTCATCTATGCCGGCTGGGACCCCCAGCGCGAGTTTCAGCTATATCAGAGCAACCCGTCTGGTAACTACGGGGGCTGGAAGGCGACGAGCGTGGGAGCGAACAATGCGAGCGCGCAGAGCCTGCTAAAACAGGACTACGACGAGGAGTGCAGTCTAAAGGAGGCGTGTGGGCTGGCGGTCAAGGTGCTGAGCAAGACGATGGATTCCACCAAGCTGAGCAGCGAGAAGAGTAAGTGCACCCGACTGCTTCTGAGGCATCTTGGGAGAGAGTTCAGCATCGCAAAAGCTAACGATGTGCTGCCATCCAGTTGAGTTTGCGACCGTAGGCAAGACCAAGTCGGGCAAGGTCTACCACCACCTGTGGAACGCGGAAGAAATCGATGCGCTGCTGAAGGAGCACGGCCTAGCAAAGCCTGAGGACACAGAGATGGAGTCGTAGGCGGGCGTATATAGAGCGACGTTTGACCCGGATTCACATGCACGGACTGGCTGAGTTGCATCATACCGTTTTTGAGTGTGGTACTTTGCAGCGGCAGCATAATCAGCATCATTACTATCATCATCTTCCTCCTCCTCCTCCTCCTCCTCCTCCTCCTCCTCCTCCTCCTCCTCATCATCATCATCATCATCATCATCGTCATCATCATCATTACTCCCCAAAAACCACACAGAAGGAGGGCATTGGCGCTTCTACACGGCGATGTAACTAGACACAAGGACGGGAATGGGAAAAAAAATATGCTGAAAAAAAGTGTCCGATCGAGCTCTCGCATCCGGTTCTGCGCGTTCTGATTTCTTAACAAAGAAAAGAAAAAAAAAATGTGCACACCCGTCCAACCGCTTGAATAGGGAATACCTGGTCGGTGTACTAGCATCTTGTCCGTCCGCTGCGTGCTCTGCATGGCGCAAAGTTCAGCCTTCAAAAAAGCACCTTTGCTTGACCCCTTTCGCTCCCCTCGTTTCGTCCGGAAGGGCGCCTCATGTGCCCTTCTAACATTTTTTTTTCTTTCTAATTCTATTCTTCAATTTTTTTTTTTTTTAATTCTTCTTTCCCCAGAGGAACGGGACTACCTAGCTCTCGAGATGTGAGCATGTTCGGAGATGCGATACGTCGCCTGCTTACGATTTCGTCACAGTTCCGTCGACCGGGTGTTCGATCGACTTTCTCAGGCGGGCGATGGCGAGGAGGTCAGGAGAGTGCGGGCGACGGGCAGTGCTGGATGGTCTTGTAATGGGTATGTTGCCGTCCGCTCACTGCTTCACATCCAACGGACGGACGGAGAGCACAGGGTACGAAGAGAGGTGGCATCCGCTGGCCACGAGGCACGTTGAGATGCTTTCCAAGGCGCGGCCTGCTCAAGCGCTGGAATTGAGTCTAGGATTGTATCAAAGCCGCTCGTTGCGGATGGTTTATGTATGCTTAAGTCCTAGAGCAGCACGGACCGAAGTCCTATGGTGCTGCACAACTATATTTTCTACCCTCTCTGTCCAGATACTTGGCGACGGGGTTACCCCGTGAAACATGTGGTAGATCATGGCTGCGCATCTGGACTCGGTGGAATCGCAAGAGACTACCATCCCAACAACACGCCTGTGAACGATGTCAGCGGCCACACCTTTCCTTGACTTGGCCGTCGTGAATAATGTATTCGACACCACATTCCGAGACTGGGACGGGATTACAGTCAAGAGAAAGAGTTTGCTTGCGGCCGCCCAAAGACGAATCTTCTCCCGCCCCTTGTACCTCTTCCATTCGCGCCCGGATTCCTTGGCACCTCCCAGAAGCACGAACCGGCGATGGTTTCCCATAAATACCTGGATATACCGATATGTGACGCCGCTGTCCCACAGAGCTCGAATGAGCGCCAACAAAGACCGGACCTTACTAAAGGCGGCCATTTTTGCGTGAGTTCTCGTTGCACAAAACACCAAGACACGGGTAGATTGCGCGACCAACACATCACCGCCAGATGAACGCCGCTGACCTGGCGGAAAAAGGAAACTCAGCTACGGCGCAGTCGAGTTTCACTAGGGCGAGTCGAGACACTGACAGTAATCGTCTGGCAGGCCTTCGGGCCGCGGCGTGTGAAGCGAACTCAGCCCGCCGCACCTTCGGGCAAGGTCGTCGCTGGAGCAGTTCCACAACACCATGTAGCTTCGTTCGATGGTGTGTCCGAAGTAGGGCTCGCTGGGCTCGTCGTTGAAGAAGGGTTGGCGCGGGTCGGTGTGTATGAAGGAGCTCTTGTCCGAGTCGAGCACCTGGCGCAGGTACTTGTACGTCGAGGGGCCACGGGAGCGAATGCGCTCCGCAGACACGATGATCTGACCCAGATACGTAAGCGCGATCTTCTGGGGGCAGAATTCGCCATTCAGGGCACTGTACAGCTCCTCGATGCGAGGGAAACTACGGTGATTGTCCCATGAGTCGTGACAGGACACGCAGCTGCAGGACTCGATCTGACCGAGCGACAGTACGCCCGTGTTGGGCCGGAACCAGCCTTTGATCCTGGTTTTGGCGCCCTCGAACTCGTGCATCTCGGCCTGGATGAACATGGTGTGCCGTGCTAGGTCGGAGTAGCGCTCTAGAATGTGCGTGAAGTACGTGTCAGCCTCGCGGCCAAGATTGGGCAGAGTCACGACGTGAGGTGTGTTGAAGATGTCCTTCAGCTGCTCCACGTTGGCGCTGCTGTCCTTGGTGTAGATGAAGGTTCGAATGGTGAGATCCTTGAACGGCTGCAGCGACTTGAGCTCCTTAAGCCTGAGGGCGCAGCTCTGCGCGTCCTCTCTGTACATGCTGACGACGATGTCGAGGGTTGGATCGTCGTTCTTGGTTTTTGATGTCGTGCTTGGTATCGAGCTGAGCCTGGCAGGCACATTCGCGATATCGATGCTGAAGCGTGATCCCGAGAATGGTCGGTTGCTGCATATACGGTTCACGAAAAGAGCCGTGTCTGTGTTTGCGCGCAGAAGCGTGAGCAGGCAAACCATGAGCAAGACGGCCAACAGAGTCCGTCGATACGTGAGAATTTCTTGCAGCGCAGCCATGGTTGAAGGATATATGGAGCGATTGACCGGCGGGTGCAGAGATTCAAGGGCATGAGAGAGAGAACGAGCTCAAGGTATGGCTGAATTAAAGATGAAAGCGAGTCAACGGAGATAGATGCCAACCAGAAGAAGATGAAGTTACGCAAGAGCAAAATGCATTGATCGGGACAGGCGCACAAGTATGAAAAGTCTGACAGCTATGTAGCGGTATTGTACCACCAGCTAGGATGCGTTCTTTGGACAAGACTAGGAGACCAGTCCTAGGCGTTCGACAAGCAAAGGAGGGAAGGAGAAGGGAAGATATACGGGACAACGACCAAAGAGCGTAGCTTTGGGCGAGGATCGAACCAGAAGGAATATAATAAAGGAAGTTGGCACATAATGAACAAGGGGAAAGGGTTGAGGGGGGGGACAAGAGCTAAGGAAGAGATTATAGACTGATAATGTCCATGGCCGTCAGATCGCTGTGCTCATCTAAGCGATCGTGGCAGTGAACGTGGTCGGAGACACATTAGCAGCATACAGAAAAGGACCTGTACAAGTGATTAGAGGCTTGTGGTGACGGACGGGAGCTCCCACGTCAACGGGGCCTAAGATTATGACGAACGTGAGCGGCTATGGCGCAAAGGATCGACCACGGACGAGGCTTGCGGAGGGGATGGAGAGTCGCTCTGTACTTGTTGCTATACTACACACGACGGGAACATGCAGCTAGGCAAGGTTTGGGCCAAGGCCGCGCGGAGCCCGTCGTGGTGGACGTCGTTGTTGAACGCGTATGTGTCGCTGGCAAAGGCGTTGGCGGCGGGCAGTCGTCTCTGGGTACACGACGGCTGCGAGCGCCGGAAGCGGACGGCCAAGGGGAGGCAACGGAGCCTTCAGAGCCTGCTCGGAGCGATGGTGCGGTGCGAAATTCAGACCTTCGACACACCACAATCAAAGAGGAGATCATCGCAATGTCGCACGCCGGCGGGCACGTCCGACGTGGTGCTCGTGGCCAAATTACCTGTCCGCCCGTCTGCCCGCACGATGGTGGAGACCAGTCGTCAGAAACGAGAACGCGACACGACTTGGCCCACGGCCCGCTGCGGTCGTCTTGAGCTGGCGGCCTGAGTGCTGTTTAGAGCGTCGAGCAGAGGAGGTCAGCATGTCCGTCGTACTGTGATTAGCACGTTACGGAGTATAGGCTGACTCCCACCGCGCGTTGGAACCAGTTTGTTGGCTCGCACAGAAAACCCATGCCTGCGGCCCCGTCAGCCACCATTTCGATCCGGCGCCCGTGTCGATCCTGATTGGGGTTGATTTTCATGGCCCGTCGACAAGGATTCCTCTCATTTTGCAGTATCAGAGGCGTCCTGTTGCTTTGTCTCTCTGTCGTTGCCTTTGGGTCCACAACCGCGTGCGAGAGTGAGCCTCGTCGGGGCATAGAAGCGACGGAGCGACAAAGATTGACGAGCGCGAGGGGATGAGTCCGATGCTGCGATCCTCTCCCAAGCTCTTCTTCCTCTCTCCTGTTTATTCTTTTTTCTTCTCCCTTTGCGACCCGGCGCCTGTGTGACCGTACCCCATCCACTGACTGCAGATGCCCGTGCTGTGCGACGACGCGTCCGATTACGTGACACCTCATCCAGCCCGGCGACAGACCCGTGGATTCTGAGCTTACACAGCGACCATGCTGCGCCGAACGTTCTCAAAACAGAGCCGTCCGGATTAATAAAGAGTTCACCGCGATGCCTTTCCGTGACGTTCCCGGCCCCGAGGTCGTCCCAGAGAGATGAGCAGCGTCTATACAATCTTCCTGGCGTTGCACACCGCTCGAGACTTCGGTATCTTCGTTCGCCCGACCGCGACACCACTCGTCGCGCCGCTCTAGCTCTCCGTCGGAACTCCCGACCACTGCAGTCCACGCCTTGAACTAGGACACCGGTCTAACCCTTTTTTTTTTCTCCCTTTCAGTCAGGTCGAAAGCCGCATTGCACGCAATCCGTGCTAGCCAAGACAAAAACGAGAATGGACGTCCCTCCCCACCCCGTTCCAGTTGAGATGCTGCCGTACGGTGAGCCGGGCCTTCGTCCTTGACGGCTCGCCCGCGCGCGCGCGCGCACACACCGAACGAGCCTGGCGACCCGGAAAGAATGGACGGGGCTGCGGGCGCGAAGAGCCAAAGCGCAGATGCACGCGCGTTTCTCGCCCGGAAAGCCGGGGAAAGGTAAAATGATGCAAGCTTCTTTTCAGCCGTGTCCGCGGCGCAGGAGAAGAAGAAGAAGAAGAAGAAGAAGAAGAAGAAGAAGAAGCATCAGTAGCAGCAGCAGCAGTGTCCAGTCCCAGATGGACGCTGTGGTCCCAGACGAGCCGGCCGCGCCGGTGGAAGTGAACCTGGCAGTCTCCACGCGCCATGAGCAGAAGCGCGATGCTCGTGTCGTTGCCGACGACGTATCAAGTCGAGATCAAGAAACCCCACAGCCGTAGGACGTTCGCGGCCCAGGAGTTCGGGTGAACGAGAAAAATAAAACTGAAAAAAAAAAGCGAGACCGATGCAGAGAGCTGCCAAGTCGAAATTTAACATTTCTCTTGATCGGATGAGTAGGGACGGACTGGCACCTCGGGGTTGACATGGACAGGACATCGAAATGAAAAGAAAAACTTGCGCAGCTGAAGTCCAGTCTGTCTAGATTCTTGCTTTGGACGTTCTATGGTAGTGCAACGATAATGGAAATTGAGCTAGAGTATTACCATTATACCTCGTGACACAGGTAGGACACAAGTGCGAAATGTTTCCCTATAATTATGCGAGGGCATATCCCGTCGATCTTGAGGATAATGTATGAGCAGACATAAGAAAACAAGTGCTAATCGACTCTACGCAACAAAATCTTTTTACAAGAATTCCTTCGCCGTTTCAAATCTCTCTGGCTGCGGCCTCTCGTTCCTAGAGGCAGCTTCGTCCGCTGTCGTCACTCCAGTGGTCGAAGCAGACGCGGCAACCGTCCCATCCAAATTTTTATGGACTAATTCTGACGGAGCTGGACTGACTGGCATGTTCGTGCTGTCAAGAGTCATCATGCTCGCATTGGTGCTCTTTACATCGTCTTCTTGGACTTTCAGTTTGAACGGATATGCGATTCCACCTGCAGTTGGCCTCGTGCTCAGCGTATCGGTCGGTGGAATGACTGTGTTGCCAATAACGGTACTGCCGGCTGGGATAGCATCGATGTTCGGACCGAGATTCGACGTCTTTTCACCACTCGTGACGCCAGCTGTAGGCTTCCCATTAGCCTGGCCCTCATCCATAACACTACGTGAGCGCGATCGGGGTCTGGTTGTGTTGACTAGAGGAGCTTGGAGGCCACCGCGTGTTGAGCTAGTGCAGGACGCCGGGCCACCATCCTTCTTCACGCCGGTCTCCTCTCCGGTTTCTGCGGCGGCGTCACCGGTATGCTCGTTCTTGCTATGCTGCACCTGAAGATGGATTCCGTCAGCAGAACGACACAACTAGCTGTTCGTGCAAAAGCGAGCGTGGTACGCTGAAGAGCTGCTTAGCTGATGTTGACTCACCATAACTTCGTCGTGCTTGCTGCCCCAGCCACTCCACAGCATCATACCCCAGCTTGTCGTCATCTTCTGCAACTTCGGAAGGTCCTTCGTCCTCATACCCGCGAGTGCTGTTGGCGGCGGTTTTTCGCCCTCGGGCAGGCCCACATATCCCCTTCTCAATTGCTTCGCGCGTTTCTTCTGCAGATCGCGCTTTGTAGATGCGAATCGCTTGTTCCATTTCTCCTGGCGAATCAACCACTTTTTCACGGGACCCTCCTTGAGCACGCCGACCTCTTCGGGGTCGATTTTCAGAACGGCAATATCCTCGACGGGCTCGAGTTCGTAGATGTCGCCGTGCCGATCGATGCGTTGCCGGATCATGTGGTTGACAAAAGGTGGGAGCGGGTCGCCTGCCTTTCCAACGCTGCCGCGAAGAGGGATTTTGATCGTGGGCGTCTTCTCCCGTGGGGTTTCACCGGACTTCTTGCGACCCCCGTCAGATTCTTCCTGGGAGCTCAGCGAGTCCGTATCGCTCTCGTCGTCCGCTGGAATGTCGATGGAGCGGTGTTGAGCGTGGGACAGAGCCCAGGCGCTAAACTGGGCAACGCTACGATACATGAACTTGGCTGGCCTGGTGAAGCTGAGCGTGTGAGCGACGTGGCACATGTCTTCCCATAGTTGTAGTTGCACGTGTGTAGGTTTGTACTTGTTTAGCATAACACGATCGGGATCGTAGCGGTCGAGAATCTCCTTGCGTGGAGGATATTGCGCCGGATTGGCCATCTTATGGGCTATGTACATTTGCTCATCGCGCAAGAGCTCTCCACCGCCTACTTGGATCAGCACGGGAGGAAGACCGCCAAGCGAGGGCTGTAGGATAGGAGAAACCAATGGATGGAAAAGCAGGTGATTCGGTGCGTAAAGCTGAATTTGGTCGTGTATTTGAATAAGCTTGCCGTCAACCATCACAGCAGGAAGGTGTGTTTTTGCGTCGATGCGGCCGGATCTCTGTTGCGTAGATCCTGTCGCCGTACCATTGGCAGATTCGCGATGATCGAGGACTGAGTACCCACGTCTCCTGTCACCATTGGATAGCTTCGAATCACCACTTCCGTCCGCGTTGCCCTTATTCTTATCCGAGCCTTCCCCTTTGGGCGTCTCAGATTCGGTCGTCTTCGTTGCCGGCTCGTCTTCTTCGTTGACTTCATCCAGGCTTGGTGGTGGCCAGGCCATGGACGGTTTGTGCATGAAGCCATCAGCCGGTATATAGTCCAAGCTTGCACTCCCACAGATGCTTGGGAAAGAATGAGTGAGGTCGACCCATGGGGACAGCAGAACCCCACCAGCAGGCAGCGGAAGTCCCTGATCTCTCAGCACGATCATCAGCGACAGCGCCATGCCGCCTCCTGCGGAATCTCCCGCAATGATGATCTCGGAGTTGCTGTGCCTCCCGAGCAAGTACAGATAGGCAGCCAGACAGTCGTGTAGGCCGCAAGGGAAGGGAAACTGAGGGGCCAGCCGGTAATTCGGAGCCAAGCACCTGGCCTTCAGCTTGCGCGCATGGCGCTGGATCTGATAACGATGCTCATTCACGCTGCCGAAGTAGTATGCTCCGCCGTGCAAGTAAAGCATGACTCTGTTTGCCGGCTCTCTGCCCTCCTTCCTCGCGGCGTAGTCCGCCTTCATCTCGATCCATTCTGCCTTGAGCGGCTCGTTCTCTCGTCGCCACTGCCACCACTCCTTGCCGCCTACCTGCTCGATACCATCCGGTCCGAGTTGGGCCAGAATGTACTCGGCGGCCTTTTCCACGTTTGCCGCACCGATCTCGACGTCCTCCGTCCGCACCCATCGCGGGGCTGGAACCCATTGTGCCGTGAAGGCTTGCAATTCCTCGACCGTGTGCAATGCGGAATACTCGATGAAACGCCGGACCAGATGGAGACCAAGATCGTACGATATGTGGGCGGTCGGCTTTTTCCGCAGTGGCTTTCGGTTGACGTAGTGCGACACCCACGTCTTCGTGACCGTTGGTGTCACGGCGGCGCCGACGGTCAGCGTGTTCAACACCATTGCGGAGTGTATACGGCAGCTAGATCAGTCTCGCAATGGACCGCGATTGGGAAGAAGAGACCGAGGGCTCTAGACGATCCCGTAAATTGGAATGCCGCTGGTCACCCAATGATCATCGCCAGGCCGCGGCTCGACGTGCGGAGGGCAAGTGCAGTTCAGCCCGACGTTTGCAGCGTCGTAAACAGTCCAAGACGCAGAGAATTTTCGATTTGCGAAAAGCCACGGAGGATCAATGTCTGCCATTCGTCTCCGTCCGAAGTCATTTGCACAGATTAGGACCCGGACGGATGACGAAAGGGATGATGAAGAGCATCGTACCTGAGCAGGGATCCTCCGCACTAAAAAGATACGCGAGAGGAAGCGAAGGAGACGGCGAAAAGCACGTGAATCAGCGGCACTCGGCCTGTGACGTAACGCGGCTTGTGGCCAATCACAACCAAACCCGCCGCTGACTTGCTGGGGACCCAAAAAAAATTCAAAAAAGAAAAAGAAAACTATGCGGGAGAGTGCGATTTCACAGTGGGAGGCCTGGGACAGCGTCACATCGGAGTCGACTCGCCGACCATTCGAAAAGCGTCGCAGCGTCCACCTCCAGAGGAACAATGAGCCTTGCAAATGGGAACGTCGGCAGAGCCGCCGATGACAACACACAGGGTGCGTGGCCAGCGCCTGGCTGAGCTCAGGAAATGTTTTGCCAAAATGTCGGCTCCGCTAACGGGTTGTGCACCTCCAGCGCTCAGGCAGTCCAAGTTCGAGCTTGCCGTCGCTCTCACCCTCTTCACCTGGCCGGACCTGACTCTGGCCGTGCAGAACCAGTGGGGAGGCCCCGACAGCGCCGAGAAACGGGAGTGGTTCGCCGGCGCCGTCGTCGACCTGTTCCCCTCTCCTTCGGGCCCGCCTACGGACAGACCGGAGCTCGAAGACGTCGAGTCGCGGCTCCTGCAGATCATGGAGGACGAGTTCGAGGTCGTCGTCGACGACGACAGCTCCCTGGAAGTCGCGCAGCAGATCATGAACATGTGGGAGCAGTGCATGCAGGGAGACTTCAAGGGCGTTGACCAGCTGCAGCAAGACTATTCAGCGAGGGGTTCAAGAGCTGACACGATCAGGGCTGCGGTCGTGGACGACGACGACAGCATAGACGACGAGGAGTGGGATGAAGAAGATGGCGATGATGAAGATGTCGAGATGGGCGATGCTCCACCGGCTTTGGTGCCCAAGGAGAAGCCGGCGCCGGAGGTGGACGAGGACGGATTCACAAAGGTCGTAGGCAGGCGCAGAGGGAAGTGAGATGAGCAACTGGTTGCGCCGAGCGGACCAACCATCCTCCACTCTGCCGTTCGCCTTGGGGATGAGGTTAATGTGTCCCCCAACCTCCCCTTCGGGCCTCCTTCTGTTCTGATCTGGTGTGCTGAGCAAGCGCCACATGCGAGAATATCACCAATCCGCCTCGACAAAGTCCGATGACGCTGCAAGCAAAGAAAATAGACGCGAATTGCACGAGGATCCAAGTACAGCTTCGTAACGAAGATTTGCGTACAGTGGAATACATCTGTCGTACATCAAGACTATCTGCCCCGGCGACTGGTTGCGTGTGGTATTCCCCCCCCTTCTCCTTAGAAGAACCCTGTCAATGTCCATAACGCCTGTACAGCATTCGCCGCCTTGTCAGTGGGCTCGTAGCATCGAACAACTCTTCCGGCGCATTAGCCCAAGTAAAAAAACACAACGTACCGGTCTCCAATAGCAGGAGCGTTGATTTGCTACTCCCAGTCATCATCGCTGTCTTCTGCCTTCTTGTCTGCCGTGGGGCTACCCGGGGCCCTGCTAGTAGCCCCTGACACGATATCGTACGACGCATCGCTACCTGCAGTACTTTTCTCATCATTCGATCTGCGGGGTTCCGAAGGCTTGAGCGTAGCATTGTCTGAATCGTCCTTGGCTGCTGGCTTTGAAGATGACGACGACGAGCTGTGCTTTGGTGTCGTCGACTCCTCGTCATCTGACTCGTCCCAGCCAACTTCCTCCTCAGCAGTGATTGCCGCACCTGCATCCTGCGTCAGTATGCTTGACATAAGTGTAGAACTGTCCGTGCACAGCCAAAACCACATACCCTTCAACAACTCGCGTCTTCTAGCCTCCTCTGTCTCGACCACATGTCGCAAAAAGTAGTACCTGCACCAGAAATCCTTGTATTCGACCTGTTCCGGCACAAGCTTGCCCATAGCCTCCCTCAGTTGCTCGTATGTTTCGAGATCCTTCGCAATGTCGTCTGTCCTCTTCTCAACATCGAATTCGGCCTTCCACTTCTCCCACTCCCCGCTCTTGGGGTCCTTGAGGAATGAGTCGAGCGAGCAGTGGATGACGTGTAACTGTGCGTCTAGGCGTGTTGCGTGCACGACCCTCTTGCCTTCGGCGTCCTTGCTTGCGAAAAGAACCTCGCCTTTGCCTTTCTCGAGGTCTTCCGTGGACGGAGGAGCAATTGAGATTGCGTCCTTGAAGAAGTTTCCAATGCTCGTCCCCCACTGCAAGAGCTGCTCGTCAGCTGCGTCCTCGAGCTTCTGTGCTTCCTTTAGTCGACGAGCGGCTTCGGATCGGAGACGCGAAGCAAGGCTGCTGGCACTCTTGGATGCCTCCTTGTAAATGTCCACAGGCAGAGAGTCGGGACGGTCCGGGTGGGTCTCCGAAGCTCTCTCTGCCGGTGCGGAGTCCTCAACTGCTCCCTGGTCGGACGTAGAAGCATTGGGCTTTGGAGACGTAGGTGGACTGCTCAGGCTTATGGCCCGCGTTCGACTGAGAAGTTCGGAGGCTTCGTGCTGCGCCGTGGCGTAATACTGCTCGCCCTAGGCACCAGATTAGCACGCATCCAACAAGGGCTTCGCACCTGCCGAAATGGAGGGAGCGAACTCGATCTAGCACGATGTACTTTCAGACGTCTGATCTGTAAGTACAGCGGACAAGGAGCAAGAGGGCGGGCGTACCTGTTTCTTCGCGCTTGACCAGAGACCGCCCAGCTTCATTCCCCATGGCGACGACGTAAATGCCTTGTACGCATCCCGGAGGTCCTGGTTTATGGTCTGCGGGGCCGAGTCATTGTTGGCCTCCCCCTTGTGCTGAGACTTCGTGTTCTCCTCGTCTTCCGGAAAGGACTCCTCCTGGATGTGGTCGTAGGCTACGTCCATTGTGTCATCGGGCAGGTGAAGCTACTCGTAACTGGGCGAAGAGAGAAGGAGCTATGTTGCAGGAGCCGGTCTTCGCGCGGTGGGTTGACGTTGCCCGTTCTGGGGGTCGGCACCGGGCCTGAGCTTGGGCCAGGAGTGGAAGGAGCGCCTCAGCCTTATGCAGGGCCAGGGCCTGTTGCACCATCCACAGCACTTTCTTGTTTGGGGAACCAGAACATCTGCTCGACTTCTCTGTCCCAGCGGGTGAGTTTGCTCGATCCATCATCAGACTTTGGACAGCCAAAGGTGCGATCAATCAACTCGACTGCGTTGAATCGAAACGCTAACGTCCGGCTGCTGGTGTTCATCTCCGGTTGCCGCTTCATTCGAGTAAAGGATAGACACGTCCATCTCGTGACACAGACGCACGCGTGGTTGGAAGAAAGCCTGACTTGAGACAGAACGGGATGCACTCGTCAGCTGCAAACTGCTTTGTCTTTTCGTCGTTTGGTCGAAACATCTTGAGGCCAAGCTTTTGCATCCTGCTTGCGACGTCGCACGCCATCGTAACAGGAGCAAAGGAAACACTGGAAACTGGAGGCAAATGGAGTTAGACGACGGTATGCCGTCCAAGGCGGAATCTTTGGTGGCCCCGCGCAATATAAATCTGCTGGAATAGAACGAGATGTTAGGCCAATTCAGTTCGAATGGTCGCTGAGGAGGCCAAGCACAAATGCTTGTATTCATCATCAAAGCGGTCTACCCACGCTGGCACTACATCTTCCTTTCTTTGCGCGTGAAAGACGGTTCCCAAGACGGAAACAGGTCTGGATAGAGAAGACTAGAAGCTACAGTCTGCCTTCTTTCATGCCTTGTTGTTGTATTTGAAATCCACATCACGCAGGATGCCTCTATCTCCGCGCAGTTCCAATTCGTCGCATCTCCCAGCGTCTGCCTTCGTCCCTTTTGACCCACGCGTACCAAAAGCTTCCCGCATAGACAAAACTGATGCCAACCCAAACATGAACAGGCAGCTTGAAGTGCTCCAGAATCATCATCTGCGCCGCTTGCCGCGGCAATTTGACCACCTCTGTCGTCAATGGGCTCGTAGCCCGGACGAAAGCTAGTGTTGTGCTGAACACCGCAAAGGACGCCAGGCCGCCCATCGAAGACAGGAACCAGAACCAGGGTACGTCGAGAAAGTAGCAGTTGTGCAGGATGTTGGGGAGCTCGCCGCTTATCAGCAGGAGCGGTGACAGGAGGAGGATGGAGAGCATCGACGTGTAATGGAGCAGCGTCCAATACGCTTTCGTTTCCTCTCTCGTATGGTGTCCTGACACGAAAGCCGATTCGGGCTGGGTCGTGAAGATGTCGCCCGTCGACACTTGTCGTGCGATGAGCTTCTTGTGAGTTCGAATCAAAAGGATGGGGTAAAGCGCAATGAAGAGGGAAGAGAAAACGCCAGCAACGATCGACTCCCATATGACGCGCTCGCTTTTGCGGACGCTCGCAATGAGCAGGTTGATGGTTATGACCAACGCGCTACTCAACGTCGAGACGGAATGGCTGGTGCGCCCAAAGCAGGCTGTGAGGAGAAGCGTGACGGGCACGGTGGGAATGCGGGACAGCGTGTATAGGGGGAGTTGAGCATATCTGGATAGCATTAGCGATTGGGCTCCGAATCGTACGGGCGGCAAAACTAACGCGTAGGAAATGTTGCTCAGGACGACCTTGCCGACGTACACCACGGCCAATGGAGCCACGTCCAGGGCGACGGATCTATCGAACTCCAGGAAGCCTCCTCCAGCGATGCCTCCCGATTTGCTGAACAATATGTAGAGGGGGTTGAACTTTTGAAGGCCTTTCCGCGCGGAGAGATGGGTGGCCGTGCTCGAAGGATACGCCGGTGCGATCCACGAGCTCAGTCCGAGTCGTCGAAGCGGATGAGCCAGCAGTCTCGTGAGACATGCCGCGAGAACCAAGAAGCCGTGCGTGAACGCCAACTGTATCCACGTATGTGCAAGCGGATATGGGAACTTGTATACGCCCGCTAGATCCACCAAGGTCAGCTACCACGCTCCGGCAACAACGTCAAAGTTCGCCAGACGTACTCCATAGAATGAACCTGTTCATGAGGATCAGGTTGAAGCCCGCGGCGAAGCTCCAGACGACCAGCAGCGCCACGTAGACCTGCCAACCCAGCCATGTACCGAAGAGAAAGCCGCCTAGGTTTTCGCTCTTCGTCATGTTCCTCCACCAGCCTCTGCGCTCGTCGCTCTCGAAGCCATTGCCCGTCAGCGGTCGCAGACCCGTACGTATGTCCTCGGCCAGGCCCTCGTCCGAGCTTTGCGTGGCGCTGCGAAACCTGTTGCCTCGATACGGCGTCGGGGAGGGCGTGCGCGAATAGTTAATGAGAGGTATGCCGCCCGCGCTGCGAGGATCCAGCTCGCCCGACGATTCACGCGAGTGCCATTGCCGCAGTGGGTTCTCGAAAGGCGACGAGTCTATGTCGTCGGGATCGCTGTGCGTGATGCGAGGCGTGGACGGCGTCTTGGACGGTATGCTCTGAGAGAGGTAGTGCAGCGCGGGCTTGAAGATGTTGTTGGACGAGAGGATACGACCAGGGAAGCTCATCTTAAGCCAGACAGAGTGCGAGATCGATACAGAGCAGCCAGGATGGCCATGAACGACGGTTGGTTTTGTCGCAGCCGTGTATGGATATCCGAAGAGGCCGCGTCGATGTTCGAGAACGTTGCATACGCTATAACATTAGGCGATCATCACCGAAGGGGCTTGACGAAGGGGACACGAATTTTGTGGAGAAGAAATGTTCCAGGGCCCACGGGCGAATCCAGCTCGGACGCCGCCAGGGCAGGCTGCCAAGCACGACGATAACGAACGCATATGAAGACAAACCCGTCAAGGCGGACAAACAAGCTCAGAAGTGTGAAGGCTTGAAACGATGCCGCTGCTCCTGAATTAAGCGCTCAAAAGATCTGTCTGATAAGTGCCTGAAGCACACACCGGATCAGCGCCATGTTTTCTCGCAGTTCACTCGCCACCCTCTCCAGCCTACACGGTTAGAAAGTTCAAAGCAATAAATGAACATCAATTCAGAAAGAGCATGGACGGCTGAGTGGGGCCAATTTCAAATTTCCCATCTAGTATACGAAACTTGAAACCCTGTTCCAATAGGAGAAAGGCCGCTGAAATGTATTACACGGAACGATGGCCTAACCTGTCCAAAAAGTGCATCATCGATTGAACAATGATGACCTTGGCCTCCTGATCTGAGCAGAGTCTCACGGGTTCGAACGTGTTTGTGGTGAGAGGAGATGCGGACGCAGGACAAGTGAGTATGCCCCCCAGCTCAAGACGAAATCACACCAAAAAAACTCCTCCGGCTTTCTCTCTCTCTCTCTCTCTCTCTCGCGCGCGCGCGTACACTGCTTTAAACTACCAGAACCTCAGGTCGCCCCAAAGCCAACTCCTGCACACAAGCCACAAGCTCACTCAGAATCGCGTCAATAAAAACAGGATCTCGCTCGCTGCCGACGATTCCGACATGAGTCTGTCCACCTTGAACGAATGAGGTGACCTTCATTGGACACGGCGCGTCGCCGTGAGGGTTCAAAATGTCAACTTTGCACGAGCTTCCGGCGAAGGCCATCTCGTCAAAGTCCTCCCAGTCCTGATAGTGCACAACGGAGTCGAAGAATCGCGCGTCCGATGACCAATTGGTACACCTCTTTGCTATTCTTTCGAACCCTAGGAAGTCATACGGCGCCGATTCCGTTGCTTGCCGCTGCACATGCTGCAGAAGATCGAGCGCTGTCCAGTCAGATTGCAAAACGACACGAACGGGGGTAAACTGATAGCATGGTCCTTGAACGTTTTCAAGGAATGTCGAGCCAATATTCCTCCCAGACGTTATGCTACCAAATGTAACATCGCGTTTCTGAAGATGTCGAGCCAGAACCAGTGCCCATGCTGCAGTCAGTAGATTCGCAGCCGTTATCCCGTCAGGGCGAGCGGAAATATCGACAGATACATGTTGAAATACTGCCTTGTCTGTTTCCTGGATTGAGTTTCCTACCAGCATTGACAGCGAAGCACCCTTGAGAAGATCGGTCCAATACCGAACTGCCTTGTCCTCGTTGTTGGATTCAAAAATTCGAGATATGTAGTGCGGGAATGGTTCGAAATCCGTGACCCGGCCACCAGAGTACAAAGTATCAAGGTCGCGCAGTAGCGCAGGAAGGGATATGCCATCGTACTGAGCGTGTGACAGACCAACGACGAGGCAGTGTCTTCCGTCAAGGCCGATAACGTGGAAAAGTCTCAAGAAGGGGGACCCTAAGTCAAATCCGGACTCGGCGTCTTTCTGACACAGCTCCTTCACGAAAGTCTCCATGTCTCTCCCCGACTGCACTTTCTGCATTGGAACAGCCAAGTTCTCCACGATAACCTGTAAGAAGGAGGATTCGTGCTCGATGAAGATGGTCCGCAATATGTCGTGTGTCTTCACGAGGTTCTTACAGGCGCGGATCAACCTTTCTTCATCGATGGACTCATCCATATACAGCATGGTGTACTGTATTGACGTTCTTGGGATATTGATAGTTGCTCGTATGTCCAAAGCTTGTGAATCTGTAATCGGACACAAATCTTGTACCGTCCATTCTTTGTCTGCAAGACGAGGCCGGACAATCTCAGACAACAAAATGCTTTTGTTCCTCTGTGGGATTGTGGAAAATGGTTCGTATGTACCATTGGCACCCTGAACTGCCTGCCTGATTTTCATTGCCTTAGCAGCATCTCGTAGCCGCATGTGTTTGAAGATGTCAGCAACGGTAAGACTGTAGCCCTGCGCTCGAAGACTTGCCGCCAACTTCATCGCGAGCACCGAATCGCCACCAAGGCGGAAAAAGTTGTCATCGCCACCAATTTCATTCTCAGGAATTCTCAGAACCTTTGACCACACGGCTCTGAGTATGTTCTCCGAAGCACTTAAATCCGTTTGAATGGATTTTGACCACGCTTCTCTTAGGCCATTTTGAAGCTGATCGAGAACGTGTAATGGAACCTTTGAGACCAGTTGGGTAAGCATATCATGATCCACCCGACCAAGTTCTGTTGGTATATGGTCAAGTATTAGGTATGCTGATGGAAAAGCAGAGGCAGGTAAAGATTCTTGAATAGATTTGTCCAGTCTCTTCAAAGATATCGCCAAATCGCTCGATATTGTAGCGCAAACCGTCACACTCGTGTTCTTCTCATCGGGCTGTTCCATGCTTATTGAATGTTCCTCTGGTGAAACACGAACATTCCTGCTTTTTGACATAGTTTCTTCAACAACTATGACAAACTTGGACTCATGATTATCCGTGCCATTGACCGATGTTACCGAAACACAAATATCGGATGGCAGCTGTGCGACAGCGTGACGCTCAAGCTCCATTCTTCTGGCCTCGTAGTCATTGACTCGAGATGATTTGTTTTTGCGACCGACAAAGACAATGTCGCCATTAGCCTTCCATTGCACAAGATCGCCTGTAGCCTGTAGCCTGCCTGTTCGACCACGGTGACTGGTGCTTCCGGCCGCCAGCCACGGAAAGGTCGCGACGACGTCTCCAGCAAGGCAATTTCCTTCTAACCAGAGCTCACCAGTAACTCCAATTGGCGCCAGCAGACTTGGATTTTGCACGTTACATACCCAAGGTACAGCGGCCGGTGGATATGTCGAGCCTGGTTGGATCCCAGCATCGGCACAGAAGGTGTTGGACGAGCCGTCAAAAGATAGCGGTGGGATTCGATTCCACTGCCATATCTGGTCCAACTCGGCTTTGGATATGCACGGCACGTCCTTGATCTTCCGTGACAAGTCTTCCATCATCTGCGTACCGGTTTCTTCCAACTGAGCAAGCATGCGCTCCATCTGGGATGCCTCGATCACGCTACCATCGAAGCTGGCACAAGCTCTTAGACCATACTCCGTGATCCCAAAGGCAACCATAAGTGGGTAAGGGTTGAAATGTAAAGCCTCGCGAACAACATCAACCCGTTCGAAGCCAAGCTCGCTTCCGACATGCTCTGGGTCCGGCTGTACGACCAGACCTGTCCCAGTCTCACTTGCGCGCTGCGCATCGGCGCTGACTTTACGGATGTTCTGCCAGCCCATGTGCTGATATGGCGTTCGCGAAACCATGCCCTGTTGTATCGCCTGTAGGTACGATTTTACGGTTAAATTTCTGTCGATCTTTATACGCACAGGTACTGTTGACAGGAGCGGGCCCACGATGCTCTCAACGCCTGAAAGTGAAATATCACGACCAGTCAGCGTTTCGCCGAAGACAATGTCATCGCTCTGCGTGAATTGTGAGGCAACAAGAGCCCAAGCACCACGGATCAAAGTGGCGAGCGTGATTTCGTATCCCGCTAGTCGAGGTACTTCGACCTTTCTTTCGACAATTGTGTCTGGGTTGGGCAGGAAATCTCTTGAGGGCGTTCTTGGGAATTGGGGCCCCACAGCTCCGTCCAGCTCTTTTCTCCAGTACTCTGCAATCTCAGTAGCATCAATAGTAAGCATATGCTTTATATAATCTTTCATTTGAGCTTGGAATGAAACATCTCGCCCCTGTAAGGCATCCTTGACAGCCTGGAGGACCAGAGGCTCCGACCAGCCATCGTATAGTACGTGATGAATGGTCCACACCATATAGCGCTTACCGTCGCTAGCGTTGTCGACGATAGCGTAGCGTGCCAGTTCTTTTCCAAGCTCAACTTTTTCTTCACGGTCGGCCTCTAGGTATCTTGTAAGATCGGTCTCATATCTCCAGTTTATCGTTTCCTTGAGAATGACTTGTTGTAACTGCGTCTCCTGTAGTTGAGCCACACGTGTCCGTAGAATTGGCAAAGTCGACACAACTTTCTCCCATGCAGATTTCCATGCATCAAGAGAAATTTCAGACGGAATACATGAGATTCTTTGGGCGATGTATGCTTCTGATGATCTCAGGGATAAGGTAAACAGCGACTCCTGCTCCGGATTGCATGGGTATACATCTTCCACGTATTCCGCGCTTGTTTGACACACATTGGCTGCTTCAATGCGCACATCTTCAACAGCCTGAGATATCAATGAGAATGGTGGCACTTCTTCTTGGACCTGGTCGTGAGCAACATGTAGGGAATTTGCCATGGCTGACAACGTTGGATTATTGAACATTATTGAAACGGACAACTCAAGATCATAAGACCTGCAGGCTGTGACCAGTTTCATTGCGGCCAAAGAGTCGCCGCCGAGAGCGAAAAAATTGTCCTCCGGGCCTATCACGCTCGCATCGAGCTTCAAGATCTGGCTCCAAGCTTGACTAAGCTTTTTTTCGCGTTCAGTTAGAATTCGACTTTCAGCTTTCCTTGCTCCAGTGTCCAAGTCCCGCAGATCAACAGAAGTACCATAAGCCTTCAGCCGCTTACGGTCTACTTTTCCAGATATCAACAGTGGGATGTGATTTACGGGAATATACGCAGAAGGTACCATATATCGCGGTAAAACCTTACCAAGCTCCGTATTCATAGAAGCAAGAACAGTTTGTAGATCTTCCGGGAGCTCAGAAGGTACTAGTTCAATCGTGACATGGTTTCGTGTCATCTTCGCCGCAACAAAAGCGACAAGTGATGGCTGTGTCCTAAGACCTCGAGGAACAATCACTTCAGCAACCACATGTGTTTCCGGGGGTAATCGTTCCTTAAGCTGGCTTTCAATTTCTCCAAGCTCAACTCGCTGTCCTCGAAGCTTGACTTGAGTGTCCTTTCTGCCTACAAAGACGATGCCTCCCGAGCCGTCTGGATCATATTTGCCTAGGTCGCCAGATTTGTACAAGCGACCCTGTCGGCCCTTGTAGCTACCATAACCTGATAAAAGCCAGGAAGGGTCGTTGATGAAGGCAGCGGCTGTCTTTTCGGGGTCGTTCAGATATCCTTGGCCCACAATTGGCCCTTCAATGAGCAACTCTCCCACGGCACCTACAGGCACGAGCTTTTCGTGGTCATTCGGATCGACAATCCAGATGTTGGCCCCGTTTCCATGTCCAATTGAGATGTAGTCCCTTCCTGTGGCAGTGTCGCTGTTGATAGTGCATCCAATCGTACATTCACATGGCCCATAACCGATAACGATCCTGGTATCTTTGCCCCAGTGGTTGACGTCTCTGGCCGATGCGGCCTCACCACCAAGTCCAAGAATCTCCAGTGAGGAGATCACATCCGGGTCTAAGATGCGAGCCACCGAAGGAGTGATACCTGCGTAATTGATGCGCATTCGTCGAATAACGGAATTAATATCGTTCATCCGATCCTCGTCAGACGGGATGCACAGACAACCACCGTTTCCTAGTGTGAGCAACATGCTATCGATGCTTACGTCAAAGGCGTAAGATGCAAAGTCCAGCACTCTGGAGTTTGCATTGTACCCCACAGCACGTGCTCGTGGAATCGCACTGCTTGTGTACGTTCGGTGCGAAATTTGGACACCTTTTGGTACTCCTGTGCTTCCAGACGTGAAAATCAGGTACATGAGTGCCGTTGCCGGAACAGTTGGCAGGTTAGGTTGAATTGGTTTATTTGCGAGGTCCTTGAAAGTTTCTGGTTCGACAGTGACGATGTTCCCATCTCTTATGATAGTCGCCGATAGTTCTCGCTGGCGCCGAGACGTGATGATTGTTTTTGCATGGACCTGTGTCGCAATGTTTTGCAGTCGAGCAACAGGTAACGAAGGGTCCATAAGCACGAAAGTCGCACCGGCTTTCATTGCGGCAAGCACTGCGACTATGGTCCACCTCGATTTCTCGAAGCAGATGGGCACAAATTCGTGGAGCTTAACACCGACATTTTGAAGTGAACCTGCGACAAAAGATGAGAAGTGGTCAATTTGTGCGTATGTCAGATCACCATCCCACGAGGAAACGCCAATCTTGTCTGGATGTTCCCGAGCTCTATCCGCCACCATTTCGTGCATACAAAAGTCATATGTGGGGGGAATCTCATGATTCCAATGCCATATGTCACTTAGGTCACATTCTGTAGGACCCAGACAGTCTTGAATTGCAAGATCCTGATTTTTGAGACAGAACGTTACCGTCTCAGCAAGTGACTGAACATAGTGCCTGATAGTGTATGGTAGCATGTTTTTAGTAAACCATACAGGATGAATTCCCAATTTGCCATCCTCAAGGGAAGCTTGGACGTGGAGAGTAGGCTATACAGGGTTACATCAGCTACAGGCTCTGTAGAATCTGTGAAGAAAACAAACCTCATCTTGGACTTCAATGCACCGTTGCTCTAAATAACTGGTACTCAGGACCAGTTTTGAAGGCTGCTCACGCAATCTATCACGGCTCGTTCGAAGCGTGGAAAGATGCCGACTTATTGCGTCTGCAGACTGTCGCACCGTCTGCTGTAAACTCGGAACTACTTCATCCACAACCAGGCGTCTTTGATCCGGTTCATGCACGAAATCATTAGATTGTTGATGGTATGCCCAATCAAAATCTGCTGAACCGCCGTCTTGCCTACGCAGCAGGACTATGAGCCAGGATAGGAGGATAATATCATCCCGGAGGCCGGTATCTGAACTGCCTTGGTCTGATGCGAGGCCATCGATCTGAAAGGGCTCGAAGCCATTGACTTCTGCATGGTTACTGGAGAGACCCCTGATGGCGCCGTAGCTGCTGGATTCTGGATCGACGAGTTCTGGGGTAGCTATGCAATCCATCTCAGACGCTTCAATTCAATGGTACATCAAGGGGATGAGCGATTTCAGATAAAGAGCAGAAAGCTCGACTGCAGTCGTGCGAACAGAATCCGATGACCAAGAGTCCAAGGTACTGCTTATTCTCCGTGCGTCTTGAGTGTTTAGGTGGTCCATTATGACCAGCGGCATTAAGCGAGAGAGCCGGAGAGCAACCAGGTAGTGTCTTGCAAGCAAGTTTTGCCATTCTTCAGACAAGGATCAGCGCTGGTGGCTGCAGTAGCTCCGATTCTGCTACGATGAGGCCATCTCATGGTGCAACACGGAGAATAGCAGGAAGGTCAAAGAGCAAGTCAAACCACCTTCGTATATTACCGTAATATAACACAGGCGTGGGCAACCCTTGGAGCTACATAGCGTTAAACCTCCCTAGTGCTCATGCCCGATAGCCAGGATCCATGACATCAACCCCATGGCGACAAGGGTGAAGCCGATGTCATCTGATAAGATGAAAACTTTTTCCTCGAAGATCCTGCAGCGACCGCTGTGCTTGTGCTGTTTTGTAGCTTGGCTGCAGAAAGAACATTACAAAAAAAGGCAGGGAGCTTGTGGAGCGTGTCGTGCGAAATCCTTGTCTCTTTTTTTTGGCGCTTGGCCGACGGGACCACTTTTCACATCTAATCTTGTCTAATCAGATGGCTGGCCATGCCATCTCTTCCCACGCCGAGTCTCAAAGCTTCGAGTTTACCCACTGTGGCGGCCGTTTCTCGACGAATGCTTTGATGCCCTCACGAAAATTTGGCCCGCTCATCAGCTTGGGATACTCCGTGTCGGCCAAGCTGGTCGCCGCGTCTTCCACGCTGCCCATCTCCCAGCTCATTCGGATCCCAAGACGGCCCACTATCAGCGCATCTGGGCTGTTTTTGCACATTTCTTGGGCCAGTCGAAGCGCTGCTTGCGCCGTCTCTTCGGCACTCTCTACCAACTCGTTCACCAGGCCCCACTCGTACAATGTCTTTGCATTTACGGTCCTGCCAGTGAGTGCGAGGTAGGCCGTGCGCTGAAGGCCCAGCACTCGGTTCAAGCGAGGCAAGCATCCTGCTACCGCGACAATTCCGCGCTTGACTTCCGGTAGCGAGAAGACCGCTGTGGAAGCAGCAACGACCATATCGCAATTCGCGACCATTTCGAAGCCTGCATTCTGGTTAGTCCGCGTTAAACGACTCTATAGCAATCGGGACCAATACCTCCGCCCATGCATATGCCGTTGACCGCTGCAATGATTGGTTTTTTGCCACCTCGGCGCGGTAGGCCGGCAAGACCCGGGGCTGTCATGTCGTTGACTATACCGGCCTCGTTCATCTTATTCCACTCTGTCAAAGCAGCATCAGCTATATCCCCTCTGGGTGAGCCGGGTGAGAGCATCATTACCCTCTAGATCAGCTCCTGTACAGAAAGCTCTGCCATTGCCCGTAATAATTCCGACCCAAAGACTTTCATCTTGGTCGAAGCTTTCCCAAATCTTTTGAATCTCTCGACTTGTCGCTTTGTTGATACAATTGAGCTTCTCCGGCCTGTTCAACGTGACTTGAATTATTCGCTCGTCTGGAAAGGAGACATTGAAATGTTCGAATTCTCTTCGGCCTGACCGTAAAGACATAGTAAAGACGTCCTAAGAAAACTTCAGATGTTCGGTAAAAACTTGAGTTCATAGAACACCTCAAATATGCTTCGTTTCACATTACTTAAAGTTTTACGTGATAAATTGGACCAAAATCTTGCACATTTCACCATGCCTAGTGAGTTTCTTCGCGGATATTTAGTTTCCCACTATATGGCTCTTTGACCTTCGTTTAAGTTGCATTAGCCTACAAGAATGACATATGTTGGCCAGGGCTGTTTCTTCAAGCCCAGCGATATCGCAATGTCGTTCCACGAATTCTAGGGACGGTCGAAGTCGTTTAGGTCGTCAATAGAGCAGGACTTCTTAGCACTAGCTTGGCATTTCATGCACCCTAGCAATTCGTATTTCCATTTCTAGCATCAGATTTGCTCTTAGAAGTTGCTTGAAGAACAGGACGGCGTCCACATTTAGGTGCATATTACATGAACATCGAGCACGTCGCACAAGAACCATCGATATCAAAATGGTGTCCCACCCTGCTCAACATCATTATCCATTGGTCAAATTACCGCACCCATTTTTGACCTCATATCGAGTCTGCGCTATCGAGGGGAGCCATCCAACCAAGCTTACCTTGACACTTCAAGACCAGCCAACTAATGGCCGGTCGCCTCCAGAATTGTTGCATTCCAGCTCGCTGACATGGCTTGAACTGAAATCGCGGCGCGCCTCTGAGCTTCCTCCGCTCTCCGACAACAGCGCGTGGGCCAGAGCATATAGAAGCCCAGGAACAGTTTTTGAATGGACGGAGGAAGAGCCAGCATCGCTTGCTCAGATATGGAACGTGGTTCACGCTATCTATCTGGCCCACCCTTTGCACGAGTATTTCCGGTTGACACTGAGCGGGAATGGCAAGGAGATTATCAGAAAAGAGTTGCTCGCGACAGGCCTTGCCATTGAGCATCCTAGGCCATGGTATCCCAATGAAAAGACTCCTGTCAACGAAGATGAGCTTCTCGTCCTCCGGAGCTCGTTCTGGCAAGGAGCAGCATCCCCATTTGGTCCACGTCCTATCTGGGTCATCGGCGAGGGCACCGATGGCGAGTTAAGGAAGCCGCTGTCTCAATATCCTATCATGCCCGAGAACCACTGCCTGACCATGAAGTTTCCCAAGGAAGCCGTGTACACTAGGCACCCTGTTCGCCGGCCGAAGCCGTCTCCTGGTTCGATCTGCTACAGTCGCTACATCCCGGAGCTGGACGAGCATTTCTCTCTTGAGGTTGTCGATTGGCAGAACCTGGATCACCTGAAGCTCTTCAACAAATGGCAGAATGACCCTCGCGTTGCCGCAGGTTGGAATGAGAGGGGAACGTTGGAGGAGCATCGAAAGTATCTTCACAAGCTTCATTGCGACCCGCACGTGTTGTGCTTGTTTGGCCGCTTCAATGATTCGCGCTTTGCCTATTTTGAATTATACTGGGCAAAGGTATCCATGAATTGACTTCTTAAGAGAAAAAAGAAAAGAGGCTAATGTAGAACCGGAGCAGGAAGATCATTACGGCGCACATTATAACGCTGGCGATTACGATCGTGGACGTCACTCGCTTGTCGGTGACGAGGCTTTCAGAGGAGCAAAGAGAGTCAACGCGTGGTACTCCAGCTGCATTCATTATGTTTTCTTGGACGATCCGCGAACGGCAAATGCGGTAGGCGAGCCGAAAGCAACTGGAGGAACGATTTTGTCATACGAGAATTCACAGGGTCTGACGATCGGCAGCTACGTCGACTTGGGACACAAACGGTCTGTGCATTCTATCTGTAGTCGAGAGAAGTGGTTTCAGCTTTGTCCGTTGTTTTGGGATGGACGAGAACGACCGTTGGAGTCTGCAGATCGAGCGGCTTGGAATGCGGCCCAGGTCGCAAAGCTTTGATTATTTTTTTACTTGCTGAATTGTACGATAATATCTATAGAACGCCTATTTTTGCATTATTCAGCTACCGTTTGATGCATGACATTTATTCTGTAGCTGTCCGACCTCTCCATCAACTCCTCATGTGTCCCACAATCAACGCAGTGACCCCCCTCAATCAGGAAAATTGCCTGGGCTTTGCGGATCGTGTGCAATCTATGAGCAATGGCAATGACAGTAATACCACTAGAAGCTTTGTCTAGACCGTCTTGCAAGAGCTTCTCTGATTCGGCGTCCAAGGCACTGGTCGATTCATCTAGAATCAAGAGCTTAGGTTTTCGAACAAGTGCTCTGGCAATGGAAAGTCTCTGCTTTTGACCGCCAGAAAATTGGCTGCCATTTGGACCGCACATAGTTTGGTAACCATGAGGGAGGCCAACTATCGTGTCATGAATATTGGCAAGCTTGCAAGCATTGATAATGTCGTCCATGCTGACTACTTGTCCGGGACGAGCACCGAGGCTGATGTTGAATTCGATTGTCCCCTCGAACAGAACGCTTTCTTGTGGAACAAGGGCGATGGAATCTCTGAATGACACATCTCGGCCTTTTGTCACATCCACGCCATCGATGATAATTGCTCCGGACTGGGGGGTGTATAAACGCTCGACCAAAGAAATGACTGTGGATTTTCCTGCTCCACTGGGCCCAACCAGTGCACAAAACATGCCAGGCTTGATGTCAATATTCAAGCCTTTGAGAACTTGGACGTTTGGCCGTGCAGGATAGCTAAAGTGTACGTCACAAAGCTGTACACTCGAAGCTTGAATATCCGAACAACTTGATTTAGACTCTGCCTTCGCCTCAACATCACAAGATCTCGATTCTTCGCTGTTATCCGCATTTTGCAAATATCCCTGCATTTTTGCAGACCCGATTTCGATCAAACCCAAAATACGTGCCATAGCTGCTCGGGCACTGGAAAGCTCAGGTGCTAGTGCAAACATCTGGCTCCATAGCAGTGCACTGACTAGCAGCGAGAAAACCACAATCAAGAATTGGGTTTGCGTGTAATTTCCTGCGATTATCTGTTTCGAGCCCCACCAGTATGCCAATGCGTTGACTAAGTTGCCGAAGAAGTAAGTGAGTGCTTGGAAAAAGCTCGCCTGTAACGTAACGTTTAAGGTATCCTTGCGTGGGCCTTTCAACGACCTTCGATACGTATTCAAAGTTTCCTTTTCCAGGGAAAGTGAAGCTATCGTTTTGATAGAAGTGATTGCTTCCACGCCCAAATCAACCGATCTTGTGAAGGCATTTTCGTGTTTTTCCTCGAATTTGCCCAGCACTCGAAGTTCCAGTAAACCGGCTCCTAAGAGCAGAGGGACAAGAGCAAGACAAACCAATGCGATTCTCCACGCGATGATGTGGGTCAGAATGATGGCAGCGATCAGATTCACCGTTATAGAAAACAGCGTTCCGATGACCGATCCGCTAAGACCTGCTAGTGCATTTCCGTCCCGAGTTATGTATGATAGAAGTAGGGCAGGAGTGCGGCCATTTGATTGGTGCCAGTGAAGATCTTGCTCGAACAAAGAACGAAAAGAAAGCACCCTAAGGGTGTACACAACCTTCTCTGCTACCCAGCCGAAACCAGACCAGCTCACCACGTTTGCGAAGAACTCGATGATTGCGAGGATGAAGAACATTAGCCCAAAGAAATTCCCTCGTGAGCGAATGTAGCTTGGGCTGTTGCAGAGGTTGAGGCTACCAACTGTATTGCCAAATATGACTGCTTCACCGGAAAAGGCCCCGCCAACGATACTCGAACCCAGAAGTGCAGCGATTGCAACAAGGAGGTGAGGGCGCAAGGCTGGAGCGTAGCTACGAATTAGAGCCCAAACAGATTTTTTCGGCGTTTCTGGTTCGTTTTTCGCATTCGTGGACGTTGGATCCGAAGGCTCGAAGCTATCTACTTCCTTGCCTTCGTCGCTCTGGAGGGCCTCATCCACGATTTGTTTCTTTTCCATCTCTATTTCTGCATTTGAAGATTGGTCTGATTTGCTGCTAGCGTCCGAAACGATCCCTTTCGTCTCTTCGTGCCGAGTTTTCAAAGTTTGCAGATGTACAAGATCGGCATACGCACCGTTCGTAGCCATAAGATCAGCATGAGTGCCAACTTCAACGATGTGGCCCTTGTGCATGACAACGATCTGATCAGCGCTAGTGATAGTAGAGAGTCGATGAGCGATTGTAACAACAGTTCTACCCGCGGATATGCTCGATACAGCTTGCTGGATACGGTGTTCACTTCTGGAATCTAAAGACGCTGTCGCCTCGTCAAGTATAAGTACCGCGGGATCTTTTACAAGTGCTCGAGCCAGGGAAATTCTTTGACGCTGACCTCCGCTGATAAGTCTGCCAGCAGAACCCACAACCGTGCCATAGCCATGCTGCAATGACTGGATAAATCCATGGGCATCGGCTAATTTCGCTGCCTTTTCGACGAGCTCCACGATTGAAAAAATGGCAGGACCATGGTTTTGCGCAGACTCCAAAAGTCCTTTGCCTGCTCTGACTTCGTCGGCCACGTTTGACAAGTCGCTACTCAGCAGAGCTGGTCTTAGATGTTCATGTTCTGGCCTATTCGAATTCACGAGGCCGTAGGCAACATTCTCAAGAATCGACCTGTCCAGAAGAGATGGCTCCTGCTGCACCAGACTGATGTAGCCCCTGAGATTTTGTACGTTCAGTTCGCGAATGTCGTGGTCATCAAATGTCACTTGACCATCAGTAGGATCGTACAGTCGCGTGAGCAACCCGGCTATGGTCGATTTTCCGCTGCCGGACAACCCAACTATGGCAGTATGTTTCTTGGCAGGAATGAGCAGTGACACTTGATCAAGCACAGGAACCTCAGGTCTCGATGGATATCTGAATGACACATCCTTAAGCTCGAAAGCTCCTTTGGGCTGAGAAAGCCGCAAGCCAGTATTGGATGTGCCATCGATCAGGGATTTACGATGCATATCATCACAAAGCTTGTGATAGGATGCCACAGCCCCTCCAAAAAGGTGAATGAAAGGAGCAACCTGGCTCAGCAACAATGTAGCTGCAACGTTGTGAGCACCGTCTCCAGCTTTGCGGAATGGAGAAACAAACCTTCAATCAAGATGAAAATAACAGTAAACGTGGCACCCACAGTAGCGCCACCAGCTGCGCCGCCAACTTTATCCGCCACTTGTTTACTACCCTGCCAGAACGCAAGACCGTTCGCTGCATAAGCAATGAAGTACAGCACGCCGGACTGCACACCAACTGCGACTGCCTTCTTGAGCCCTTCAGCCTCAGACGCTTTGAGAGCCTTTGAAAACTTCTCCTCGAGTCGGGCATTAGCACGGAACGCCTGCACGACGACCACATTTGATAAAGACTCTGAGGCAATTGTTGCAGCGGTAGCAGCATAGTCAGACATGAGCCCAGAGTACTTTTCAATGTAATGGCTTCCAACGAGAGACATCAAGAAATAAGCAGGAACCAGGGAGACTAGCATCCCTGCCAACCGTGAATCCTTGATGAAGGCAACGATATAGGCCGTAACAAAAAATGAGAAGCTTGCGAGACATATGCCAACCTTTTCGCTTGTGCCAGAGCGTATCGCTTGGATATCTCCATTCAGTCGAGACGCTACTTCTCCGGGGGGCAGTTTGTCAAAGTACGACGGTTCTTGTCGCAACAAACTTTCTAGATACGACTCTCGCAGTCGTTGTGCAAGACGAGTGCCATTCAAGCTCCAGCACATCAGATGTGCGTAGATCAGAACGAATTGGGCAATAGCCAGGTAGACAATGAGAAGGATCTTGTCGTTGATGCTGCCTTGAGTTCCATCTTGAGCGGCTTTGGTCGAGTCGCAAGTGGCAGCATTGAAGTCGTCCAATAGTTGGCCAAAGATGATTCCAATGAGCGGAAATGGCACGCCAGAGGCAATTGCACTCAGTGTACCAGCGACGAGTGTGGTGATGTCAAGCTTCGAAGGGTTGCCTGCGAAAAGAAGCCGAGGATAACCAGCGAGTTTGCGCACCGCTATCATTGTATGCAGACGACGTGTTGATCTTTACTGAGCAAAGAGAGTATATACATATTCAGAAACAATGCAAGGACGTGCAGGGAACATATGGCCCCCAGGCTGGTGAAGCAGAATGGTTCCACAGACTTTGTCGAGTAGCAAAGCCATCCCTCTCCACGCCGACGTCGCGCGGATTCATTTCGACCGCTGCGGCCTAAGCTCAATGCAAGTCCGGACAATAACTCTGACTCTCAACGCGGGTTTGAAGTCCATTGTCGTCGGGTCATGAATACAAAACGGTATTGATACGCGTTATTTTCGGTACCCAGCGTGCAAGGATTGGGCATGTGGGTCTCGCTACCATTAGGTAATTATCTAATCAATCTCATCAAGATCACAAGCCCGGCATCGGCTAACTAGAGCAGACTGCAAGGGTGCTTCTGCTTGCCCAACGTATGACACCACAGGACAGAGTATTCATCACGCATTGAGTTCCCACTCGACCCACTTTTGATCCTCCAGATAATCACCCCTTCTCAAGCGACGCCATTCAGGGCCGCAGATGCAGCTGCGATGCCGGAGAAGGGACTGGCGCGACTCGCGCCAAAGCGCCAAGCAATAGTATGGCATTCATCTGAATTTGGGCCAAGAGCCTAAGTTCCCTTGGGCTTTTGGGCCGTTGTGTGCTCGAACTGGATCAGTTGTAGCAGACTTGCGCCAGGCTTCAAGCGATTCGCCCTGGGACTAGGGCCAATATTCTGTCCAATCCGAACTGATTAGCCCTCTCTACATAGCAGAAGGGGACAAGATTTTAACACTTGCAGCCTTTCCGAACTTATCCCGGTCCTGAACCATCGATTAGGACGTAAAAGCGGGGAAAAAAAAGAAGATAAAGGAATTCGTATTCAAAACGGGATATGACCCATTTTCCTGTATGTGCCGTGGGATACGTGTACCCTGCATCCCATTGCAATCCTATGATGAACCGGAGATGTGGGCTTACGGGAACGGTAGGTCGCGTCGCCGGTTTTGAGGATGCATTAAGTAGCTAAGGACGCTACCTTGGCTTTGGTCTTAAGGAAGCTTGTCTCTTTGAAGATTTTTGCTCAAGCTTTTTCTTCTCTTGTTGATCATCATCGCAATTTATCCATTGCAGCCATTGATCGCGAGAGCCAGCATCGCTACCAATGTTTTCATCTCTGCAGAAGCGCTTATATCGCGCTGGCGCACCAGCCGCCGAGGGAAGTGCAGTGGTACCTAGCGAACTCAACATCATCACCGCGGAGAATGTCACCGAGCACGAGGCAAAGCTGCCCTCAGAGGTCATCGACCAGGTCCTCAACGACGACAAGCCTAACGACGCAGCGCAATACGGTGTCGTTGTCGCGGAAGCAATTACGTTATCCTGGAACAAAAAGTCCCTTGCTGCAGCCTACGTCCTGTGAGTAAAATTCATGCTTCAGAGCATAGAAAGACTGATAGAATTGCACAGCATGTTCCTGCTCTATTTTGTCAACGCGTTCCAATCCTCGATCACTAGTAATCTGACGGCGTTTGTGACTAGCGGATTTGAAGAACATTCCTTGATACCGGTGATCTATGTTGTGTCTAGCTGCATGGGTGCTGCAGTTTACATGCCTCTTGCGAAGATCTTGAACCTTTTCGATCGTGTGATCGGCTTCTCAGTCATGGTCGTGTTTGCAGTGTTAGGTCTCGTACTATCTGCGACCTGCACGAATATTGCAACTTACTGTGCATCTCAAGTGCGTCGTACCATTCTAAAGACCGAGCTTTGGGACTAAAATTGTACAGGTGTTCTATACGGTCGGTTTTACCGGCATGACCTTCTGCGTGGACGTTATCACTATCGATACATCTACACTACTTGATCGAGGTCTTGCATATGCATTTACCTCTTCGCCTTATATGATCACAGCTTTCGCCGGTTCGGCGGCTTCGGAGCATTTCTATGACTTCAACTGGCGCTGGGCTTTCGGGTGCTTCGCCATTGTGCTTCCCGTGGTCGCACTGCCTATGGTCGGGCTTTTGCAATTCAATAAACGAGTAGCAGCCAAGAAAGGCATTCTGCCAGAGAAGAAATCCAGTGGCAGAACTTTTATGCAGAGTCTCGTTCACTACCTAATCGAGTTTGACAGTAAGTCCACATGCTGAAGCCTCACATTAAGCAAGCTGACCACGTTCAGTACTGGGTACCTTTCTTCTCGCAGCTGGTCTCGTTATTTTCCTTCTGCCTTTCACACTTGCAGGGGCCGCCGAAGATGACTGGAAGAGCGCTCATATTATCGTGATGCTGGTTGTCGGTATCTGCACACTCCTCGCGTTCGTTGCTGTCGAGCGTTGGGTCGCGCCTGTGCCATTTCTCCCATGGCAGATCCTGACATCACGCACAGTACTTGGTGCTTGCTTGCTAGACGCAACGTACCAGATTGCGTACTACTGCTGGAACGATTACTACACATCCTACTTGCAGGTCGTTTTTGGGGTGAGCATCTCGGTTGCCGGGTACATCAACAGCACTTTCGATGTGGTCTCCGGTGTCTGGCTGCTAGTTGTTGGTCTGTTGATCAAAAGATCGGGACGATTCCGTTGGCTGCTTTACTTCTCCGTGCCTTTATATATTCTCGGTGCAGGTCTCATGATCTACTTCAGAAAGCCCAATTGGTCGGTTGGATACTCTATCATGTGTCAAATATTCATTGCTATCGGCGGCGGCACCATGATTATCGTCCAACAAGTGGCTGTGCTCGCTGCAGCCGATCACAACAACGCTGCCACGGCTCTGGCTTTCCTTGGCGTCTTCGGTAATGCAGGCGGCGGCGTCGGAAGCAGCATTTCAGGAGCGATCTGGACCCACGTCATGCCCGCCGCTCTGCAAAGGCGCTTGGCTGGAACGTCCGCCGCAGCGGACTGGGAATCTATCTATGAAGATCTCGACACTCAACTGAGCTATCCAAGAGGCTCACCTGAGCGAACTGCGATTGAGCTTGCGTATGCCGATGCACAGAGTAAGATGTTGATTGCTGGCACTTGTATCATGAGTCTGTCGCTCATCTGGATGTTTGTCATGCGCGACATCAAGTTAACCAAGAACGTTCAGACTAAGGGCGTGCTTTTCTGACACCGTAGCTGTTGTTTGCTATTGAAGAGAATAGTACAGAGGGTTCAACAGGAGGAATACTGAATGCCATCTAATCTTTTGAGCCGGCTAAACTTGCCATTTTATCGTTCAAAGCTGTAATCTCTACACATTGTGCCAACAACTATTTTCTTCGACTCGCTCTCGTGTTTTTTTTTTTTTTTTTTTTTTTTGCGTACGTTAAAATCCTATGGGACTTATGGAGATCGCTTACGCAGCTGTGACATGCAACAAAATCATTGAATTGACAATGCTCAATGAGGCCTACTGACCGCGGCTGATGACCAACTTTCTCCGGCGTCAGTGCGCAAGGGAGCGTGCGAGAAAAAATTTTTATCTGATCCGCCTCGCGTGATCAACGCGAACTAAGTTATCTGATCCGCCCGACGCCTGTCATTAGCGTCTAGACAGGTTTAGTTTCTCATTTCACCTTTGCCGTCGGCCAGGGGGTGTTTCCAATGCCTAGCGATGTCGGGCACGAGGGCATAATTTTGAAGCCGTGCTGTTGCTTCACGCTACCGAAGATGGACGATCTAATCAGATCCTGATCATTTCGGGCGTCAAGTTTGGCATACCTGCTGCTGGAAAGCTGCCGGCGTCCTTTGCTAAGAATGTACTCAAAGTATTCCAAGTTTTGGCCCAAGGGCGGCCTTCCTGGTATCTTGCATCATTTCGTAAGTTTCAATTCGTCAGCGTTGGGATTTTGCTCTGGAGTTGATCGTAGGTGGTGCTGATCCGTCGTCTGCAGACAGAATCTTTGGTCACCTTTGAATTTACTTCTGGCACCGTCCGAAAGCCGCACAGCCTCGTGTTTGTCGGAGGCCTTGGTGATGGTCTGGCGACCACGTCTTACCTCGCCGACGTCATCCACGCACTCAATCCGACCGAATGGTCAGTTTTCACCTTGAACCTAACATCATCCTATCAATCATGGGGTCTGGGACACCTGGATAGAGATACGGATGAGCTTGCGAGGTGCGTCCAGTACGTTAAGGACTACAAGACCACCAAATATGGCGCGGGCAGGATCGTCATCATGGGTCACTCCACTGGCTCTCAGGATGTATTGCACTACCTGTCAAAACCCAATCCTCTGACAAGCAGACCATCATTTGATCCGGGACTGCATCACGTGAAACGCCTGGCTGTGGATGGTGCGATTATGCAAGCCGCAGTATCAGACCGCGAAGTCATCAAGCTCCTCCTTGAATTGAAAGATGGTTGGGGAGACAAGACACAGGATGAAATGAAGGAGTTGTACAACAAGCTGGTGGCTCTATCAAAGGAGGCGCAGGAGAGCGGAAAGCCGGGAGATGTATTGCTTCCACTGGCGCTGACGAACTGCATCTATCCGATGAACACGCCTCTCACATGTCGAAGATTCTTGAGCCTTGTGAGCCCATCGAGTCCGCAAACTCCGTCTGAGGATGACCTGTTTAGCTCTGATATCTCCGATGAGCAGCTTGAGGAGACGTTTGGCATGATTAAGGAGCGAGGACTGCTCACCGGAAAGCTTCTTGTTCTCTCGTCCGGAGCTGACCAGTCTGTGCCAGAGTGGGTTGACAAGAAGAAACTGCTCTCACGGTGGAAGACTGCCACCAACCACGGAGACAAGTATGATATATGGGACGAAGAGCACAGCGGGATTATACCTGGAGCCTCCCATGCACTGAGCAACGACGACCAGGCGGAGTGTCGTAAGGATCTGTGTCGCCGTGTGCTGGGCTTCCTGCAGCTCTTGAACAAAGATTCTACGTCTAATGTACAACGAAGCTTCATGTGTGCCAAAGACTTGGGGGCAGACTGTCTGTGTCGGAAATAATTTGAATTGAAATTTGACAATCAACCAAGAAAAAACAAAGTATCTTCATGAGACTGTCACCGGAGTCTGCGGCAGCGCATTCTGTACTGCAGTCAGTGAATCCTTCACGTGATCTTTCTGTTTTTCCTTATTGAGCTCAATGATAAAGCCCTCCCATTTGTCCAGCTTTTCTCTGCACATTTTCTCGTACATGTCGATACCAGCGGGGAAGGTCAACATCTGCGTCTTCTTTCCGTAGATGTTCCCACCATTCCACCACGAGTTTGTGAATCGGACGAGGAGGGTCGAGCACATGTACTCTATCAAATTCTTCCAGTCATCCTGCGCTTTCTTGTCAGCCTCGACAGTGCGTGCGCCCGCCGCCTCGGCTCGAGCTATAAGGTCGCACACGAAATCTCCTTGACATTCGAGGATGGTGGGACCGTTGGAAAAAGCGGTTGGTGCTGGGTAGACATTAGTTGGGCATTTCTTAAGACTGTTTCTTTCGTTCTCTCATAGTTTACCTTGTGGACTGTACACCATGAACGCATTCGGGAAGCCGTGAATGAGCATGCCAAGATAACTCGAGATTTCTTCGCTCCAAATGTCTTTGATGTCGACTCCATCTTTGTTCTTGAATCCCATTTGCGTCAATCTGTCGCTTTTTAGTATTTGCACTGTTTCTGAAGATACAGGGAAACTTACGATCCAGAAAAGCTGTCGAAACCGGTCGCTAAGATGACGATATCATAGTCCCGCTGAGTTCCGTCCTCCATCAGCACACCGGTCTTGTTAAAGGTTTTAATTGGTGTTTGCTCCATTTGCACAATGTCCACATGGTCCTGATCTAGCATCTCGTAGTAGTCGTTCTCAAGAGGAGCCCGTTTTGTTCCAAAATAATAAGGCGGCTCCTTTGGCGCCATGAGCTCCCTCTTGACTGGGTTTTTCATCCGTGGACGAACTTTGGAGGCCCAAAATTCGTATGCCTCTAGGTTGGCCTTCTCATCTATAGCACATTCTTTGTAGTTAGTCAGAGGAAAGTTGAAACCACCCCGAGCCCAGCTTTCTTCCCAGTGAGCTTTCCGTTGCTCAGGAGTAAGATCCCAGAAAGACTCGTCTGGTCTCTTGACGGGAAAACCTGCAGCAGAGTGGTAGCGTCCGGCCTCCAGCATCGACGGGTAATAGCTTTTTAGATGCATCTGCTCCTCAGCTGTTATATGGCGCTGCTTCATGGCGATACAGTAGCTAGGTCGCCTCATGAACACGGTCAAATGATCCGCTTCTTTCGCTACTTCTTGAGTGATCTGAACGGCTGTTGCACCCGCACCAATGAGGGCAACTCTCTTGCCTCGGACACTCAGATCCTCCGGCCAGAATCCAGAGTGGTGCACAATTCCTTCAAAGTCCTTTAGACCCGGGAAGTCTGGATAATGTCTTCTATGCAGCAGTCCGGTTGCAAGATACAAGTATTTGCATTTTGCAATATGGCCAGCTTCTGTTTTCACTGTCCACTTTCCCTCTGTCTGGTCCCATGTAGCACTATTTACCCTTGCATTGAATTGGATATCCTTCTTAAGATCCAAAACTTTGTCGATGTGGGCGAAATGCTGTCGAAGTTCTTTATGGTCTGGAAACCGTGAGGACCACGTCCAAGTATCATATACCTCCGGGATACGAAGCGTATAGAAGGGGAACTCTGAATCAACTCGAGCTCCTGGGTATCTATTCCTGTGGCACTGTTATACACCTTTGCCCAAAAGTGTTCCCAGCTAGCGAGAATGCAGGATCATATTTCTGTGCTAAAGTGAGAAATTTATAACCATTCGCATTGTAGAGTGCCACTAACACCAGTACCATACCCCACCAAGGTCCGAGCCTGCCTCAAAGCCTTTGACATTGAGACCCAGCTTGCGAAGCTTGTAATGAGCATAAACACCCCCAAAGCCTGCAATGAGATGAGAACGTGTGGAATATGGGAAGCCTCGAAAACTTACCAGCTCCTACGACCAAAACATCACAATGAATAATGCCTCCAAGGTGACCGTTTGCATCCGCCATGATGATTAGCTTCAGCTTCTATGTACCAGTCGAGTCAAAATAGAAAAACGAGGTCAATCAAATGGGAAAAGAATCAAGAATACGCACATTTGAGAGGCAGAATGCGCTTGTATCAAGATTCATAAGCTTGCACATGAGAACTCGGCTATTGCGGACCTCCGCTCCTGCGGGGTACAGAAGAATGTCATCCATTGTTCCTTTTATCCAGCAGCGTTCTACCAGCCGCAGCGGAAAAATATCCCTTTCGTCCACAAAGCATCTATTCAGAGATGATGGCATTGATCTTAAGCTCGACGGGCGGAAAGAAAGGTTTTTGTGATAATGCAGTTACCCCTGCCTGTCCTAATCAGGGTTGGCGCAGGCATAGAACGAAGTATTATACAATTCCTTGCACAGCGTGTCGCATCCCGCCAACGTGATCTTTTGAAGGCGACAAGGGCCTCAAAGCATGCAGACGTAGCAGCTATCACTAGTGGACGCAATTTCCAAAGTGGTGAAAGTGTGAGAAAAGGCTTGACTACAAACCAAGTCTTGGATTTAGAACTTGCTCTATAGTTAGCATTGCAATTTGTATGCATTTCGCTGAGCCCACCACTCTCACTCTGGATTCCTAGTTGTCTACTGTATAAATACTCTCATATATCATGTTAATCTCCTTGTATGCATGCAATTCACGTAATAGTATCATTCTTCCCTTGCTATGTGTACAGAAGCAACCATTTCAACTTTTGTTCGCCCCTTTGGACAATATCGGAAGTCGACCTGCGAGACCAACTCTGATGGAATGATGGTGTGCATCTGCCTTCTTTATCATCACATGCGTTCAATCCTGCAATTAATCACTCGAAAGAGGCGTTTACAGGTAAAATTCCGAATTAATGTTCAACTTTCAACGCCACGAGTTCTTTTGCGAAGCGCTTCCAAAAACCAAGGCCATTTTACGAGTCATTAATACAAGCGCCATGCTGAATACTATTCCCTCAACAAACTTCGCCGATTGGCACGGTCCTAACAGAAGAACAAGAATGTCAATACATGAAGTGAGGAAGCATGTTGTGTCGACTGACTCTTGTATTGAATATTCTTTTGACGCAATTGGCGTGAGCTCTACGTCATGTGCGGAGTTCCGAGCTGCTGTACTCCATGGCGCAGTGCACTACTATTTGGCAACTTCGCAATAGATTTTCAGAGAAGGTCCTGAATATTAATCAAACTGAAACCTTGTCATCCGAACGAAAAGATGAGGACAGCCTTGCTGATTATCGATATGCAGAACTTCTTTGCGGAAATGGTGGCTGGCTCCAAGATTCACGTGCTCGAGCTTTGCAGCTACTTCAGAGCCAAAAATATGCCGCAATACTTCACACAGCATGGTCACTCTCAAGACGAACTCATGAATAAGAAACCTAACCAGCTCGTTCGCAAATGGGGTGCAAGCGGCTCGATCGCAACGGGAAGTGAGGACTGGCAGCTCATTCCTGAAATCGCGGATGCTTGGTCGGCGGCGGGAAAACCACCCATTGTTGCCAAAAATACGTACGACGCTTTCATCAACACCGACCTTGAGACGAGGCTGCGAGATGAGCGCGTCGAAAGGCTGCTGGTCGTAGGGGTCATGACCGACTGTTGTTGCGACACCACAGCTCGAAGCGCGTTCAACCGAGGATTTGAGACGTGGCTTATAAACGATGCGTGTGGCACTGCGAGTGAAGCACAGCACAAAGCCGCCTTAAAATCATTTAAGTTTGCTTTTGGGGAGGTCATAGATACGGCTACTGCGTTGAAAAAGCTCCGAGAGGAATAATGCGTGCATTCTTCCTGGGTTTTGCTCCAAGGAACAGAGACATGTGTCCAAACCTTGGGGATACTCTATGTGAAGCTGGTTGGGACTGGGACCTGGAAATCGTACAAAGATGCAACTTGGTACGGTAACGTTCGCCATTAATGTGTTGACAAACCGATGATTCGTGATGATGCGACCATGATTGCACCTCGTTCATCAATTGGAAATTGAGGAAGTATGATCTTCGAAATTCCTGTAGATATATCTCTTTCGTCCTTGACGACTCTCTGCGTCGCGTCAACAGATCAGCACCGTGCTGCGTTATACTCGTGTCAAATGAGCAGTAAAGGACCTTGTCTATCGGTGTCCAACAAACCCTCCATTCCTGGCCGCCAAACGATTTTCGAATATTTAGGAAGATTCAGATTAAGCGACTGCCAACTAACAAAGTCTTTGGATCGAAGCCGCTGATTTTACGCCTTTCAGATCTTGGGCACTTTTTTGGCTCGAAAATTGGCGTCACTCGCTAGTTCCATTAGCACGACTTCACGATGGAAGAAAGAAAATAGCGTGCCTACACATGCCAAGCCTAGACCGCCTAGTTCGATGAATGATGGCCCTCATAATTTAAATCGGGTATTCGGGCTCAAAATATAGCGAGAGACTGACTTTGAGCGAACTTAAAACTAGTGCTGACATAAGCGGAACCCATTCTGCCGTTTTGATATCTAAGCACGGCGTCATCACTGAGCATAAATTGAGGTCCGAGGCGGAGAGTTTAGAGATCATCTGATGAGTAGTTTTGCTCGACCAGACTTGTCAAGATCATGGCGCCCAGCATTGTTCTCGTCCCTGGCATGGCCAGCGTCGGGAACGTCTTTTACATGCCTTTGAAGTTAGAGCTCGAAAAGCTCGGCTATACTGAGGTAATAATTGTTGAGATTCCCTCCGTGGACTCTGAATCGAGACTTGGCGATCTTCGACCAAATCCTTTAGAAGCGGACATCAAACATATCCGACAGATCTTGACGAACCTTTTGGACGGCGGGAAAGATGTTGTGATTGTTGCACACTCTTACGGAGGAACGCCGTCGCTCTACGCTTCTGAAGGCCTTTGGAAACATGCCAGATCTGGAGATAGCGGTGGCGTAATTAAAGCCGTGCTCTTAAGCTCCAGCTTAACAATGCCGGGACATAGTGTCGGAGGGGAAAGAGCACAGTGGGCAGCTGTTCACATGCCGGAGTTGCTGAAAGCTCAGGAATCAGCGCGCATAGAGACAGTTGAAGATGTTCGTTCATGGCTATTCCATACGAAACTCCGGCTGACAGAAAATTTTAGATTCCTTTTCTTCATCCCGAAGGCATGGAGCAAGCTTTCTTCGCCGATATGAATCCTGAAGAACAAAAGCTGTGGGCTGCAAAAGGTCTACGGCCCAACCCTCTTGGAACCGTTATGGCCGAAACTCCTCAGGCAACTACATCAGACTGGCGGGTAGCGTATCTACTAACAGAGGAACTTGACCCATCCATGCCTCTTGCTTTTCAGCAATTCTTAATTGATCAAGGGAGAAAGCATGGCGTGGCTATCGAGCAGACAAAGAAAATGAAAAGTGGCCACTTTGTGCAGGTGACTCATTCGGAAGAAGTTGCGAAATGGGTAAACGAGATTACAACTTGAGAAGCATGAAGAAAGACTCGCGACATCACGGTTAAGTCTGTGTATGGGTGTAAAATTTTTGTTGGCATGTGCCTACTATGCCTTTCCGTGCAGCTACAAAGCCAAGTTGAACTATTGAAGGCCAATAGAAAGCAAAAATGCTAGCCTGTCCATAGCGCCCACGTTATTTCTTTGTCTTTACGGATGTCCAAAAAATTGTACTGTGCGTCTTCGCCCATTCCGAATCCTTGAACAAGAGTCGTCAGTCTGTTGAAGTACCTCATCAGAAATTGTTCTCTGGAAAGCACTATGGCACCAGCACCCTGGATGGGGGGCCGTCGCCACAAAAAGATATCCTCCAGCTGTTCGTTATTGCCGCTCATGTCGAAGAGTTTGCGTAAATCCTCCTCGTCCACCTTGAGGCTGGAGCAGATCAGCTGAATTCGTACCAGTGTCTGTTGAAGGCCCTGAAGCAACGGGAGGAGCTGCTTGAGACACAGTTCATTTCGTTCGATCTTGAGAGACCTCATGTGCTCGAAATGGCCGGAAACAAAACGCATTTGGGTCATGGACTGATTCCAGATGTAATCCGAGAGGTCTTCGTTAGCAACATCTTGAGTACCGCCACCGGCCCACTGTCTTATCGTCAAATGAATCAGATTGTCACACGCGCATATCGTCCGGGAGAAGCCGCGGCAGTCCAGGTTCCACGCGTCAATATCCAGATGGCGAATGCACCCCGTGAAGTTGAAGTAGATCGAGAGGATGTTTTCTCCGCGTATTGTGCGGCTAAACTGGTGATGGTCTGGATTGAAATAACCCCCCGACGACCACTCAAGATGCGTCACCTTTGTCAGTTTTCGCAGGGCTAGACATGTTCGTGAGCTTTCTGGTTTCTCGAAAGCCAGCCTTTGATGAGGCTGTGCGTGGTTGCATTCGATGAACACGAGTCCTCGAACGTGCCGTCCTACGCCTCTCCTTGTCATCATCAACAAGTCTCTGGATCCCTGGTCACACAGCGGAATCACCAGCTTCGAGCGCGAAAAGACAGCATGAAACGCTAAATGAGCCAGAGTTGAACAGCACATGCGAACGTTCTTGATATCTTGAACTCCGAGATAGTCGACGATCATATCGAAAATCTCCACAGGTAAGACTGTAATGTTGCATCGCTTGAGCAACTCTCCAGGTCTTGCCGAGCGTAAAACTGAGGATGGCTCATCCAAGTCTCGGAAGACTGGATTATTATCATTTTCGGCCATGATAACCCAAATGCTGTAGTCGATAAGTTGAGAGCTATAGTTGCCTCAAAGGAAAGGGGACGATGGTGCGAAGCCTGGCACCAACACCTGGCCAATTCCCCGGACTTCCAATGGAATAACTAAATTTTGTACAAGTGAGGTTGACTTCGTTGCGGTTAACGTAAGCCACACCTTCTGGAAACCCCCACTCCTCGGAGTTCTCCATCACGACGAGAAGTTTTGTCACCGGTCAGAATGAGCGCACGTGATCGGCATAAGAATTTTGGCTGTATCGCGTTCAGTGAGTGTTTTAAGAATAGTCAGGCAGGATGTTGTCGATATTTGAGATGGTGTACAACGCTTAACAAGCTCATATCCACCGCTGCTGTGGCAATTGCGCCCGGTCAATGTTCTACGCAGGTCGCCACACGTGACTGTTCAGCCTTGTCTAAGCGCAACACACTAGATTACATTACAGTGCGACCAGCTTTCCTAAGCACGCTCATTATTTACACTAACATGAGTCTCAAACAATCAAGGCACCAAAAGCTACTGCCGCACCTCCGACTAGAGCCGCGACGCCAAGCCTGTTCGAGCTGGCACTCGAGGAAGAGGTTGAGCTCGATGCGGCAGCCGAGGACGACGCGGTCGAATTGCTAGACTCTGCATGTCCAGATGACGAAGCTGAGTCTGTGAGATAGTAGCCACCGATGCCGGTCGAATTCTGGCACGCGTCGCCAGAGAGGACGGTAGCGTTTGCGGTAAAGACAATGTCAGCACACTGTGTTCTACTCGTTAGCGTCATGCCTCGTCACTCTGGTTTCATGGTCGCCTACGTTGTAGAGCGCATTTCCTTTTGCATTCACGTTGACTACTTGCAAGCTCGCGGTTTGACCCTCAGTCAGATTCAATCTCGCAAGCTCTGCTGCGCCGATGTGGGGGAAGCACACGGTCCCGTTGCCGGTTGCATTCCATGCAGCGATGAGGGATACATTGAAGCCAGTCACTTCGTCGCCGAGACCGAGATTGACATAGGTTTGCACCCACTCGTGCGACGAAGAGTAGACAAGAGAGCCGCCTTCTAGCGGCCATTGTGTGCGGTTGGTGCTACTGTTCTCCTGGCTGACGTTCGCACCTTCGCTGCTGTCAGTAGACAATCATATTCAAGGGGTGCAGGTTCACCAACATGGCCACGACCACTGAGAACGTCCTTCGGCGAAGGAGTCGCCTCGCCAGTAAGGGTAGCTAAGACGGAAATGCGCCTCTGTGACGGCCGAAAGGGCAAGTAGAGCAAGTGATGTGGTCAACATGTTGAGATTGAGTCTGGAAGATTCAGCTGAGAATGCGTAGAAAGCGCCGAAGATGCGAAGAAGCAGGTGGCAAACGCTACCGTCTCGCAACGAGCTGGTAGCTTGGGGTCTTATACTAGTTGTTTTCGCTGCGTAAAGCCGTCGCCGGCTCAAAGGTACGGCAGGGAAAATCTTCTCTCGGTCATCACGCACGCGGCAAAGACAATGGTTCCAAGCCCGCGTTCCTGTATATCACAGAAGACTTTTGCCGTAATGGTGAATTAGCTTGGAATTAAGCGAGCCATGAGCTGTGATGGCCGTGGCTGCTGGCAAGGGAGGACCCGCCTGTTCGCGCCTTTGGACTGGCATTCTGTATGTGCACCTGCATCAATCATGAGCAGGATTGGCGATAATGGGTGGAGAGAGAACATGGACCGGAGGCGGGAGTTCTAGCAGGACGGTGACCATCTTGCTGCAGATGAGCAAGTTTGCGCTGCTTGGCACTTGGCACCTCAACCAGCTAGTTAGTGATGGAGGAGCAAAAGGGTAAGATCCCGGGCTCACCAGGAATTGGATCGGATTCGCTACTTGATCTGTTAAAGGATCATGCTACCGTTAAAAACCTAATGGTGCATCGTCTGTACGGAATTCTGGACTCTGTCGACAAAAAGGACCGTTTCTGGTGACCAAGCACTTCAGCTTCCTAGCCGGCAGCACAGCAGCTTTTTCGATTCTAAATAAACCATCAAGCCGAAAGCCAATTGATAGACTCAACATGTGCATCCAATTGAGCGAGGCCCAATTTTTCAAAAGATAGAGATTAGCAAAGTCAGCTGGGTTGAACACAACGGTGAAATCGTGCAGTCGAATCGAGCCGTTCATCCCTACACAATTTGCAAGATGCCTACCAACAGTCTCACGCCAATTCAAAAGCTAGGAGCATTCATATCGAAGACCATTGATCATTTATTTTCAGGCCCTTCCTGAAAGAGGGAAGCCAAATAAGAAACACTTTGATTTAGGTATCATAAAACATAAACTTTGCCCACTTGCGACAGCTCTATGAACGTTGGAAGATGAGCGACGAAATCGGCAAGATCGTCCAACGACTTAAAGTGGTTGGTTTTAAAAAAAGAAAGAAAAAAGAAAGAAAAACCAGCCACTTTTAATGGGCTTTCAACGACATTCAGAAGCCGGTCGACTTTTGCGTCCTTAATCTCGGCGCAGGGTCGCCAGATAAGAAGCTCCACAGGCTGCTCTTCTTAGGCTTCAGCTCAGGAGGCGCCACACTTACGGGTCTGGGAGGTCGCGATGGTACCGCTCCGCTCATCAGGTTTGTCGAACTCATCGATGCCGGGTGCGGATGCTGCTGCGGCCTTGGAGGCATATGAGGCTGCTGCTGAGGCCTAGGCGCAGTAGTATGAAAGAAAGAAGAGTGACTTGCCGCCGGAGCAGGCGGGCGACCAAGCCCGTTGGACTGGAGATAAGGGTTATTGCTTTGGGGTGGTGGTTGATGAGGTGGTCGAGGCGGATACGGGGGCGACACTGGTGAGCTGTTGCCCCATGGCGGATAACTTTGTCGCTGGGGCTGGGGCGGCGGCCGTGGCGGCGCAAGCCCTGTCTGCTTGCCATAGAGCTTCATGAGACGCAGGCTCTCTTTGTCGATGGCCGCCTGGTTCTTTCGTCGTTCCTTCTCTTCCTGCTCTAGCATTTTCTTGATTCTACGCGCCTCCTCCTCGTCGCGCCGTTCCCGTTCTCTCCTGCGTGCTTCTTCGGCCTTACGTTCCTCATCGTACAATCTTTTGAGTCGCGCAGTTTCGGCGTCGATTTCCCATTGCTGTCGTGGATCAGGCGCAGGAACGCCTGGCGGATGTGAAGGTGGCGGTATAGACTGTGGCGAAGTCTTACCTTTGCTGGACAGGCCATTTGCCAGCAAATGGCTGTTGGAAGACGACGCTATGTTCGCCGTGCTCGCGTTCAATCCCAACAGAGGCATTGAAGATTTTCTGTTCAGTAAGCCTCCCCCAGCACTGTTCTTCCGCGGCACGGCTCCGGTGTTGAAGCAATCTTTTTTCTGACCACACCACATGTCCCTAATCACCGTAGCACTCAACAGAAGTGTAATCTCCAATCCTTTGTAGTCTTCAATTTCAACTCTGTGCAGATTTGGCTCGTAAATGGTCAGATCCTTAAAGTCTTCAAATATAGCTACGATAATCGGCGGTTCTTTGCCTCCTTTCTTCTTCTTGCCCTTGTCCGTGGATTTTCCCGTAACGAAGCACTTGAGCTCTTTCCTTCCGTCCCTTTTCCACACAAAGTTAATCTGCGGCGTGGTCGCCTCGGCGGCCGGGTCGTTCGTGCTATAGTCTAGGCTTGACGCGCTGGGCAGGCGAAATGTCTGCTGTGGCATGCTGAAGTGGTAGGTGGACGCGTTGTTCCATGAACCCGGCTGCTCATCCACGATGATCTGCTGGTCGGGGGCGTACAACTGCACCGTCACCTCCTTGGGGATAATGGGCACCGGCGGGGGAGGCACGCCGCCATTCTTGCGGATCTCATCCTGCGATAGTGTGGGCTGAGTCCACTCGGGCTTCACGAGTATCTCCCCGAAGACAACGTCGGGCGTGTACGCGTCGAACAGCGCGGCCGCATAGCAGCCCTTCGACTGTGGTGAGGTCGGGTCGAGTTGACGGAGGATGTAGCGTGGTTCGGGCTCGCTGTCGAACTGGGTGAAGAGTAGGGTGGAGTCGTACGGTCGGTGCTTATCATTTGACGGCTTGAAATAGTAGGTCGGTAAATTTGAATCAAGAGGCATCTTTGCTGTGTGCGTTGAAGCCTTTCAGCCTGATGGCAGGCCGAGGGATGATCCAGGGACTACAAAAAGGATGAGAGGCTTGCGTATAGCGAGGACTGAACACTGCAATATATGCAATACAGCAAGACGGAAGAGAGCCGGAGCATACGTAGACTGAATCCGAGTCAAGCTTGGCGGGGCATCGAGGAGGAGCAATGTAAAACCAGAGCACGGACAGGATCCAGTCGGACGAACAAGTTGGTGCTATCGCTTGGTGAGAGGCCGCGGACAATGCAGTGCATAGCAAGCAGATCGACGGTGTTCGTGGTGGTTCTCTCTGGGCGACTTTGAGTAGCGCCACATACAAGGTCATGCGATACCTCTCTTATGACATGCTACTATGCGCTTCTCTCCATGACAAACTTGCTTGACTTCTCCCGTTCTCCAAGACCAAAACAGCGTAGGGTGAAGAGGCTTGCTGGTGGTGCCGCAGTTCGCATAGCCCACCAAGCCATGGACGGGTATTCTTAGTAGCACTGGCACGTCTCGCGCGTTGTGACAGGTTCCCCCTGCCAATCTGCTCAGAATTCGAGCGGTTTCTTCGTACTCGAGTACGCAATCTTGCCAGAGGCGCAGTTCAGCTCTCGACTGCACACGTTTGTCGGCTGCTCCCGTGTCCAGCCAATCAGATTGAGCCGCCGTCTCCTGCGCCCACTCAGCCTCGTTCCGCGCTTTGGGTGCAGTCGGGGCTCGTATAATGGACTCCCGCTTGCAGTCAGGTGCGGAGTCCGTTTTAGCGTGTCTGTCCCCCTCCCGTAACCCTAACCCTAGACTTCGGCTTCCGCCTGCACCGCCCTCAACCTACATCCAACTCGGCTCTACCGTACTCTTGCCCTTGTCGAACTGCACGTGCCTTGCTTTGCTGGGACATGCACGATGTACAGCATGGATGCTTCGGAAACAGCCAAGGATAACGCGCACAGAAGCGAAAGCAGCGGCGCATGAGCATGCCTATGCCCCACAGAATGCGACGGCGTTCTTTATGGCGTCGTCTTGTTCTCAGATACTATATTCTCCGGTACCGCTCGCGGCACGCACTGCGTCCACTCCAGGGAAGAACCAGCAGCGTCATGGAGGACCTACCCGTTGAGATTATTGAGGCGATTGTTGGCTACCTCTCGTCACGGGATATCCTGCGATTCCGTCAAACATGCTCTAAGCTGTACAGCAAGACGAACGAGTATTGCTCGCGGCACCTTTTCCACACGCTGGTCTCTGACCTGTCTCTGGATGAGCTCTACTATCTCTCCACCCACTTCATCAACAACGCCCAGCTCGCTGCTGGCGTGCGTACCTTCCGCGTCGAACTAAAGAATCCAGCCCAAGGACTCGGCTATGACTACTATTGGAACCGCCGCAAAAGAGGACGGCACTTAATCCTGCCCTGCGACGGTTTCGAGGCATTGCACATGCTTTTTGGTCACTATCTCACCAACTGCAGCGCGATTCAAATCCATGCCAAAGATCGCCAGAGCGAAATCGATGGACCAGACGATCAGCTTGAGCCGGCCGATGTGCTACAATTGATTCTTCTCCTTGCACAGCAGGTCTCGGATTTCCGGCCAAAGTCTCTGGAGCTTTGTGCACCAGCCAGGGGTGAAGGGATGAGGACGAAAGGAACGCATTTGACAGCTGAGCGTCTATCCATGGACGTAATTACAGACCCGCAGACTCTGTCGATGCTCGCTGCTTTAGAGGACGTGAGTCTTAGCCTCGTATACCCAGACGACCTAGTAGAATCTGGGTGGCTGGGTGCTTTCTTCGGATCCTTCCAAAGCCTTCAACGTCTAGAGCTTGACTTGGACATGGCATGGGGTGAGCTGGAGAGTGCCGAGGCTCTCATTCGGCGTCTGCGCTGTCCGCTGCTGAAGGACTTGCAGTTGCACCGCTTCAAAACGACACTTGACACTCTAAATGAGCTTTTAAAGCCGTGTGCTACCCGCCTTGTCTCCCTAGTGCTCGGCTCGATTACATTAGTCGGATCGCTCGCACAACAAGAATCCTGGAAATCTTGGCTCAAAAGCATTCCAGACACGCTGCCCAACCTGAACGTTCTAGACATCGATCTTCTGACCGCCTCATATTCTGAAGGCCAGAGGTTGCACCTTCATTTCGCAGACCTCGCTGGATTCAGCATCCCAGAAGAGAATGAAGACCAGGACTGGGACAGAGTTGGTCTTCCCAAGTACAGAACGAGGAAGTACGAATATGTGCCGCCGGGAGATGATTCCTCGGATTTCGGGAAAGAGGTCGCGAGAACCCCCCTCGTATTCGAGGTGGCCTCTCATGGTTGGTCCCGAGCAGATGAGCTAGTTCTTCCAGGGATCAAATATGAAGGTACAGAGATGAGGAAGGCGGTCCAGTTCATGTGGGAGCATGCTGAAGAGTTCAACATGTTCTAAGCATAGATCGAACCATTTCGCGATCAAGAAAAGACTAAATTCATCTCCATTACTGCTTTGACTGTTGGTTGATAATCATATTTGAAGAAAGCTCAGCGACATCCTCCCTAATGCAAAAATGCATATAATTGGAGTTTTGCAAACGATCCGACTTATTTGGTACAAATGTGATCGATACGTTGAAAACTAAGCCTATCAAGGAAGCGTACAAAAGCATATCACCAGTACGGCGTAAACATGATTGGTATGCGACGTGATCCTTCGGAGGAACAATTATGAGTCTCGCCGTCTGAATTCAAGCCAAAAAGATGATTTTCGATGTCGTGTCTCGTGTTGGAAGCTATCATGTTTTTTCTCTTCAACTCTTTGAATGCGAGCGATGAGGGTTACGCAGCACGTCCGTGGTGTCACGACGAAGTTCAATTGAAGACTGATCTCGTTGATAAGATCTTTACACTCTGTTTCAACTCAACTTCATTATGGTCGTGAGGTTGCAGGTTTTCTTTCAACAGCTTTCTAAGCGTGAACCGATGTCGGCGTTCCTCGAACGGACTTTTTCTCATGCACTCGCGTTGCATAACAATGTAACATATTCCCATTGAATCAACCCATTGCACGTGAACAAAGATGACGAAGTTCAGGCCTTGCATTGATTTACATTCAGGACAGGTCAAACAAATCGTAGGTGGCACATTGACGGAAAAAGAAGGGGATCTGCAGACAAACTATGTCTCAAAGCATTCGGCCGGCTACTTCGCCAAATTGTACCGTGATCGCAACCTGACGGGCTCGCATGTCATCATGTTGGGACCCGGAAACGAAGACGCGGCTAAAGAAGCACTTGCTGCCTGGCCTAACGGTCTGCAAGTCGGCGGTGGCATAACAGACAAAAATGCAGGACTCTGGATTGACTGTGGCGCCGAAAAAGTGATCATCACTTCCTTTTTGTTCCCAGACGGAAAATTCTCGCAGCAACGTCTTGAAAGCGTGCTTCAGGCGCTGAATGGGAATAAAGAACGACTGGTCATCGACCTTAGCTGCCGGAGGAAAAATGACACCTGGTTTGTGGCCATGAACAAATGGCAGACAATCACCGACTTTGAGGTGAACGAAGGTACATCGAAGCGAGCCTTCAGTCATTGTTTTGCGCTGACATTGCCATAGAGAACATCAAGATTCTCCAGGCGTACTGTTCTGAATTCCTTGTTCATGCAGCTGATGTGGAGGGTCTCCAGCAGGGGATAGACCACAAGCTCGTAGAAAAGCTTGGGCAGTGGTGTTCGATACCAGTAACGTACGCAGGTGGTGGCAAGCATCTCGAAGATCTAGACGTCGTCGAGAGGCTCAGCAAGGGTCGAGTTGATCTAACCATCGGAAGCGCCCTGGATATATTTGGTGGGTCTCTAGTTCGATTTGACGATTGCGTCAGGTGGAATGAGGGCAAATAAATCAAGAAAGACGTCGCCAGTATCCGCATCAAAATTCCAAGAACGGGAACGACAAAGAGCTTGAACTATGTTGAGCATTTAGGACCTCGTGTTGAACTTTACCGGGAGAAGACAGCTCATTGCTCACGTGTTAAAACTCGGCGTAATTATTCAACAACAAACCGCTGAGCTGTTAGCCAAACCCTTGTCTGCGGGACAATACTTCAATTGCGTGGAGAAGTAGACAAGGCAAACATGCAACCCTGGCATGGCGATTTCGGAGTGCGGATGACCTCAATGCCGTGACTCACAATCACGGCAATACGACGGCTTGAAGTCGCTTCAACGGTGTTCAGCCGTTATCGCTTTTGGCAACGGTCTTCGGCCCATAGCGTTTTTTAAGAGCGAGCTCCGACAAATCAATGTCGATCAGGGCGACAAAACGTATCTTTCACAAATATACAGGCTCAGTCAACAGAAAGTTGTTGCTTGGAACGTCATCGACGTTTCATTCTCTTATCCCCAGCACTGCGAGAATGTCAGCGCCTTCGACAGAAACGGCTCGCCTTGTCGACGCCAAAATTGCCACCCAGGCTGATGAGTATGCATTCAAGCATGTTCACATCAATTCGCCTACTGCAAGACCGAGCATCGACATCTTGAACAAGGCTCTCGAGAATCAGCACGCCGCTGGCTTGCCGGACATTGCGGTGTCCCCAAATCAGGGTAAATATCTTCAGGTCCAGGCGCAAATTGCGAATGCAAAGAACATCTTGGAAGTGGGTACGCTGGGTGGCTACTCCACCTTGTTCCTGGCCAACTCCAGTCCCGACGCCAGGGTCACGACGATCGAGTATAATCCGGAGCATGCCAAGGTTGCGCGAGCCAACTTCGAGATGGCTGGTGTGGCCGACCGCATCACGGTGCTGGAAGGCGCTGGTGCCGATATCCTGCCAAAGGTGTATGAAGAAGTCAAGCAGGGCAAGTTACCTCCCTTTGACTTCACGTTCATTGACGCGGACAAGGAGTCCAACTGGTTCTATCTAGACCTAGCAGTCAAGAGCAGCAGAAAGGGAGCCGTTATTATCGTGGACAACGTGATCAGGAGGGGTGGTCTGGTCGACCCGGAAATGCAAGCTGAACCCAGAGTAATGGGCTCGAGGAAAGTGATCGAGAATGCCGGTGCAGATCCCAGAATTGCATGTTCTGTTCTGCAAACCGTGGGCGGCAAGAGCTACGATGGGATGATGATCTGTGTGAAACTATGAGCGTCAGTCAAGATCCTAAACTCATTGCTATAGCGATTGCTATGCTCTTTGTCCGGTATGTAACACTTGTTTGACCAACCAATATTTCCGAGGCCTTTTCATGGTAAAACAGGAAAAAACATGAAAACCAAAACAAGCATTTACAGATTCTCCTTGTTCTAATTCGCCATAACATGTGGGCTTAGTTTGAGACGCCGGAACGCACTCTTTTTCTCGTCTTCCATTTCCAAATTCGTATGTATTCGCTTCTACTGTCTTCACATGCTCCATTCTATTGCTTCCACAGCAGTCCTAAGTGTGACTGAATCAATGAGATGCTATGTTCACAGCACGAGGATGCACCTTGCACCTGAAACCTTGTCACGATCCCTTCGTCTAGCTCCTTTCCAAGGTGAATCTTTCTCCCAGGGCAGGTGATGCGATTCGAAATAAAAATGCGTGAACGCTTCTTCAACGTAATTTGATCCAGGAATGTCCCCAATTTCCCGCTGGATGGCGGCGTCGATACGACCGAGGATGTATTTTATATGTTGAGATATAACGGAGTCGGGGTTGCGGACGCGATCTTCTTTTGCTTCATTCGCTAGCGGTTTGACTTTAAAGCATTCCATGATTACCTTATTCACGTCTTGACCAAACACGAGTCCTCCGGGAACGTAATTCCGGGATTCCATTTGAAATGCGCGATACACTCTGAGTCTGACTTTTAGTCTATTGGCTAGTAACCTCGATGTCAAAAACTTACTTGAGTGTTGGTTGCGCCCATCTGGAGTGCACGATCTCCTCGCAAAGGAGCTGATTCACGACCCATTCGTGAATGACGCTATTTACAAGAAAGCGCAGGCGCATTTTGCTGTTTCGGTTGTCTCCAGCGCCAAGCAAAGTAGCTTCAGGTCTTCCATGCTCAGGAAACCACCGAACGCTCAGAAATTCCCGTTGAACAGCTCTCAGAACGTTTTGGGCATATGTGTGAATTTGATGTCGGTATTCAGCAATGATAGAAGCCAATTCTTCACCTTGCGGAGAGTCGATCTGCGGCAGACGTTCGGTTCCGGTGGTTTCACATGCCGCAAAACGACGTATAATCTCGATAAACAGTGCTTCGTCACGCATCTTGTATGCCAGGGGAAGATAATATGCGGGGTTGTTACCAAGTTCATCCCAAAATCGTTGGGACATGCACAAAGCCTTCGAAAAGCGCCTTGCAACTGCCTCTTGAAGATCGTACAGTTCTGCAAGAGCAATTGCATCTGCGATGTAAGCGGTGGCTAATGCGGCCGAAAATGCTGACAAGTCAATGTCGTGACCAAGAAGACAGGTGAAAAGGAGTCTGTGAGCCACTACGCTATCCTTGAATGCAATGAAGCGCGGTTTGTATTCATATTCACTTGAAAATGTTGGTGCACTTCGAATAAATCCTGCTGCATTGTCAGAGAGGTAGAAAGCGTGAACGAATTCATAGAAGCAGGTTGTTTTGTCATTTTCCTTTCCACTAGTGCTGCAAGTGAATTTGTGATACTTGAAATCATTATCACTAAATCCAAGATGTGCGAGTTGCTCACCAAAGGGATCATTCCAGTGGCTGTCGTCCGGTGGGGTGTTCTAAAGATGTTAGCTAGAGATTGGACAAGACAAGTTATCATGAGCTTACTCCAGCTTTCAGTGTGAAACCAGATCGACTGGAAACTTTGTCTTCATCAAAGGTCAAGATCCATTGAAGAGCATCGATCTCCTGGTTAGTATGAGGGTGCTTGATTTTTACTCGGATGCCTTCTTGATTTGCCCATTCTCCTGAGAAGCGAGGGCCGAAGTATAAAGATTTACGAAGGATAGATGAAGGAACTAGTAACATATCCTCTGGTCGACCAGACAGTCGAATAACAACATCTCCATCGGCGTGAACTAGAGATGGGAGTTTGGCAATGTTTTCGCGGTACTGATCTAAAGTTAAAACAAACATGATTAGGCACTGTACTTGAGTATAGATACAAACCAGTGAATAAAAGTTCTAAAATAATTGGAAATATTCTGTTGGACGAAAGACTGGAGAATCAAGATGTAGTGGTGCTTTTATTATACATGTACCGACAAAGAAGCAAAGGGATATACTAATGTCACCGTATGGCACTGCCGTCTTCGATTAAGTCCTGCTGCTAAATTGCAGTAAATGCTCAAAGGTTAACAGTCCTTATAATGTACTTATAGCCAAAGACGGAACAAACTTGGGCTCGGGATGAGCAAAATCCTCATATATTCGAATATCGCGACTATAATGAAGACAAAAAGATGATTGGTTAAGTTGCCTCCTGTGTTCACATTGTTCTATGAACAAGACGTCTGAATACAAAGATTGTGAATCGTTGTTTTACAATCCAACCTCTTCTGCGACCTTTGACGCGATGTCTCGAAAAGCCTTTGCTCTTGCGCTGTCCGGTTCCGCCACCACTGTCGGCTTTCCTTTGTCTGTATCGCTTGAAATATTCCCATGCAAGGGTATGTCCCCTAAGAATTTTATGTTTAAGTCTTCACAAACTTTCTTAACTCCGTCATAGCCAAAAATATGCTCTTCATGCCCGCATTTGCTGCAGTGAAAGAGCGCCATATTCTGTACCATTCCTAAAATTGGAATATTTACTGTACGGAACATGTTGATGCCCTTCACGCTATCTTTTAGTGAAAGTGACTGAGGAGTCGAGACTATGACAGCGCCGTCTAGCTTCACCTGCTGCGTAATGGTAAGTTGGACGTCGCCTGTGCCTGGTGGCAGATCAAGCACAAGAACGTCGAGACCACCCCATTCAACCTCATGAAGAAGCTGTTGGAGTGCCTTCATTACCATAAGGCCACGCCATACCACGGGACTAGATTCGTTAACCAAGTAGCCCATGGACATGGACTTCACACCATAGTTTGACAAAGGTAGAAGTTGGTTATCTTTGGTTAACAGTTAACAATCACAATCAAAGTGAAAGAAATCAAATGTATCAGACACACTGGATGACAACCTGGGCTCTCCAGATAGGTTGAACAGACTTGGGATGGACGGCCCGAAAATATCCGTATCGAGTATTCCTGATCTTAATCCCTTCTGCGCGAAACACAAGGCAAGATTCGCTGTTCGTCATCAATACTCGATCTTTCAGCGGATCCATCTTCGATCATATCGTACCGGCTATGGTGGACTTTCCCACTCCTCCTTTTGCAGATGAAACAGCGATTACCTTCTTCACATCTTTGATGCTCCTCCTCTCTGGCAAGCCGCGCTGCATACGTGGTAACTGTGGTGGCGTACCCTTCCGGGGTAGCCCCTACAAAGATTATCAGGAGAGAAGTAGAGACTTCGCTGATCATCAATTACATACCAAGGGATTCTCATGACGCAAAACACTCAGCGTCGAGAACAGTCGACGCTTCATGCTCTTAGGTTAATGCGGTCTACATTGGTGATTGGCTACAGGAGTTGAGGTTTATGCCAAGACATTGGACCCTTAAATACGAACCTGCAGAATCGCCCCCGAAAAAAAAAGTTGGTAATTGTGCACATTGCATGCTCAGCCGCAACAATGGCAAGACCCAAGACGCGCGCTCAGAAACTCCAGGAGCTAAGCGATGTCAGGGCGAAAGGTAGTATAACTAAGGGACCTACAGAAAAGATCTTGAGCTGACCGACTTCGCTAAGATTTTGACCCCGAGGACGTCGGCGAATACAATAGCGACAGCGAAACTAACGAGTTTGAGAGCGATAACGACGCGCCAATTCATGCAAGGGAACACTACGAGGAAGTAGGGAAGAGCAAGCTGCGAAAACCTCAACCTATCAACCTTGGACCTCAGTATGCGGGTTTGAAGGTGCGACGAGATGCATTGAACGTCGACGACGATGAGGACGACCCATTCTCTCGCGACTACGGTGATAGCGACAGTGCCAATGAAATTTCCGCTAGTGATCAAGATGGCGAAGAAGAAAGTCTGTCTGAGGGCTTGAATGGGAGCTCCGATGAAGACCGTTCGGACAATGAAGCTGGCACGGATCTTACACATGAAGAAGATGACGAGAGCGATGACGAAGGTTCGGTCGGAAGAAATGAAGGTTTGGGAACAGCTCGAAACGCAGATGGGATAGACAGAGAGGAGCTGCGAAAGCTCATGATTGATGATCAGAAGCACGTAGCGGCGACATTGTCGCAAAGTGCGAAGGCAGACGCAGAGAAAGGTAAAGCCGTCAAGGCACAACGATCCACTTTCGATACGCTCTTGAACGCAAGAATAAAACTTCAGAAAGCTCTAATTGCTACGAACTCTCTGCTAGCTTCTCATCCATCTAAGGACATTACAGAGTCCGAGCAAGATGTTATTCATGCTGCAGAAGTCGCAGCATTGAAACTCTGGAACAACCTGAACGATCTTCGCACCTCGTTGCAGTCCATTAAAACCGGGCAAAAGCGCTCCCACAGACAATTTACCACGCAGGACTCGATAGATGAGCTATGGGAGGAGATGAAGACATACGAAACGGCTCAGAAGAAACCAAGAATTACAGGACTGGATTTTTGGGCATCAAAAACCCGAGCAATGACATCTCTTCCTCAATCTCGAGGCCGACTGCAGCAGTCTATTAAGGAGAATCAATTAAGCGATGTGCTTGCTGCGCAACTAGCAGATATAGCGCGATTAGTGTCTAAGACACAAGTTGCTCGATCATGTGCGCCCATTCAAGCTGCATCCGTCAAGAAACCGCAGGCGAGCACAGGCGACGCACGTGATGACGATGCCAGTGAAAAAGAGCCCGAGAAGCTCCCAATATACGACGATGCGGATTTCTACACAATCTTATTAGCAAATCTAATCTCTCAGCGCAGTTCAGACGCCACCATCAACCTCTCCAACTTGAGTATTCAGCCATGGCAGGCAGCACGCGAAGCTAAAACAAAGAAGGTGGTCGACACGAAAGCAAGTAAAGGCCGAAAATTACGTTATACTGTTCATGAGAAGTTGGTCAGTTTCATGGCTCCCGAGGATCGAGGCTCGTGGGGCGAGAGGCAAGCTGAGGAGTTATTCAGTAGTCTGTTTGGTAGGAGAATTGCACTCGAAGAGGACCATGAAAACTTCAATGAAGACGCTGAGGAGGATAAAGAGATAGAAGGGCTGAAGCTCTTCGGTGGACAGGAGTAGGTTTTTGACTTTGGCAAGACCCCCAACCATTGAGCGTTTGTTGTGACTGCACCAGGAATACAAGTAGTGATCAAAACTTCTGAATATTTTCCTTTCAAACATCTACTCCGCCGTAATGATCGCATCATCGGCATTGACCGAACTGCCGGGCTTCTTGATGATTGCTTTGACCTTTTTCCCTTGAGTTGAGGCGGGTGCATGCAAATTGATCTCCATCTTCATCGCTTCTAAAATCGCCACCAACTGGTCTTTGACCAAAACGTCACCATTCTTAACCAGTATCTTCCATACGTTCGCCGCCATTGGAGACCTTATTGTGGCAATGTTCTCGTCTTTCATCATACTTTGCACAAACGCCTCATCTACCGGTTCTTCAGCTACTTCAGCCTCCCACTGCTTGTAGATGACCTTCTCAATCTCTCCCTGCTCATTGAGCGCTTTCAGTTGCCTTTCTTTGTACGCAATGGCGTCTGGATCAGCCTTCGCTGCTTGGAACATGTCGTACGAGTGTCTCACGTCAAATATCCCATCCGAGACCTGCCACTTGTACTGGCCAGCGAAATAGGCTGTTGCGAGAGCGTCGTACTCTTCGACACTGACCTCGAAGAATTTCACAAGGTCATACGGCTCCATAATCCACGGTTTTTCCGTCGTGAACCCAGGTTTGGTCCCGTACGGGTCAAACATCTCTAGCGTCCGCGCAAGCATCATGTAGCCGCCTGGCTGATCCATGGGATAGATGGCGAGGAGAGAACCACCAACCCCTATCGTGCCTCCTGGTGTTGATATACGAGTTGGATTGTATTTCTGCGCGAGGAATGCCTTGGGTGCAAGTGGGAAGAGCATGGGAAGTCCAGAAATGAAGCCCACAGCAGGGACAACAAACGTGGTATTCGTAAGAATGTCCAAGGCATCTCTTCTACTTTGCAAAGCGTTGGCTTTCCGCACATATTCGACGTTATCAGGTAGATATACCGCCTTGTTTCGCGTTGTAGCCATGTAACGTTGAATACACATATCAAGGTCGGGGTGATCGAGAACCACGGGAAGCCGAAACTCGCGACATTTGATTTTCATGTCTACGGAAGCAGTTATGGATGTCTCGAGATCGTGGAGCAAGTTCACGAAATCCTTCTGTGAGATACTGATTGGATCGTACTCTATCGTTAAGCATCCCACATGTGGTGTCAGTAGAACATTTAGATTTTGTTCCTCAAGCTTGCAAACCAGAAGTCTTATGCGCGACATGACGGATATATCGGCAGACTGTTCTCCAAATTCTATCAATATGAAAGCGTCTCCCCCCTTTATTTATTTTAGCATCATCATTCAAACAGAGCTAGCCCATACTCACTTGTCTATAAACAACTTTTGGTCGGAGTGCTCCACTTGCTGAAACTTCTTTGAGAACTGCAACACTTTTGTTAATCGCGACAGGATTGAGGTTCATAGGAAGTTTTGGGTTGGTAGCGACTGTCTCTTTACAATCACTGACAATTTTTTGAACGAATGCTAGGTACTCATCTAGTTTTTTCCGAAGCTCGGTGGCGGATTCCATGGAAACAGGAGTCAGTTTAACTCGATCATCAGGTCTAAGCTGGCCGAGCTTCCATAGCTCTGCGGTGATAACTGTGCTTGAGCAGACGAGTCCACCAAAATTAGGACTATCGTAGCATAGAATTGTAGAAGCATCTCCACCCCAGTTAACGCCGCCAGGAGAGGGATATCCAAAGTCAAGGTAATTCGAAGGGTGAGAGCCAGCTTCCCCACCGTCCTTTCTTGCCCATTGGGGAGTTGGCCCGATGAGTTTTATGCCTGTTCTATTTGAATTGTGTCCAACCTTCCAAGCAGTCGAATACAACATGTTTCGATCAGTATCTGTCATAATATCTGCCGAATCGTGAGGGCCTTGCATAACGTAAATCTCTTCAAAATTATAATCCGGTATGAGCTTAAGCGGTAAGGAGTATTCCACCATCTCTTCTGCCCACAGTGGACTCTTATCTGAAAGTTTCAAATAATCCCCGGTGCGTATCTGTCGCCCTTGTGTGCCTCCATATTTCTGGCTGGGTGTTGTTGATTTTGATCCAAACAAAACAGGAACGCCAGGGAAGCCACCTTTGATTGCAAGATACGCACGAATACCCGGACCGTTGATAAAACCCACTTTGACTCGTTGTCCACGCTGGACAACGAGTCGTTTCCATAGAGATACCTCTTTTCCGTCAATAGTGAGCGTAGTTGGTGCACCACACACGGCTATCACAGCAGCAGACAAGAACAACATTTCTGGTCCGCTTAATGTGATCTCCAAGAGCTCATCTTCAGGCAGATTCCCGACAAGAATGTTAGCTAATCGAGCAGATACAATATCCATAGGACCACCTTTGGGGATTCCGTGTCCCTTTTTGGGCCTTCCAACATCTTGAACAGTTGTAAAAGCACCTCCGAAGAGGAAGTCAATAGCACATGGTCTGTACGAAAGATTGTTCGTAATGAAGTCTGTCGTCGTTTTACCATCTTTGAATTGTTCAGAAGCGACAATGTCTCTCAAAAAGTCCATGTTGTTTGCGGGTCCCTTGAAGGAAACTTCAGAATCAAGCAACTTGATCATGGAGTTGATAGCCTCTGATCTAGACGACGCAAAGACCATTACTTTCGCGATCAGTGGATCTAGAGGTCTCCGTAAGAAAATTTAGAATGCACAGATTTCCTGAGCATGTACGAACCGTAGCTTGTAGTGATTTCTTGACCGGCTCTCACCCACGTGTCTACCCGGAGAGTCGTAACACTGGGAATGACTACTTCCTGAAGAATACCTGGACTTGGTGCGAAATCACGCGACGGTATCTCTGCATACACACGCGCCTCGATTGAAGCTCCATTGAGTCGAAAATCTTGGAGAAGAAGTAGTTCCTCCGCTGAAATTCCAGGTTTCCCAGCCAACTCGGCATCAGCTTGACGCAACATCAAGGCCACAAGATCTATGCTGTAGCATAATTCTGTGACCCCATGTTCTACCTGCAGTCTCGTATTCATCTCAAGGAAAAAGAAGTCTCCTGTTTCGTCATCCTCGAGAAATTCGACTGTTCCGACTGACTTGTAGTTCAGAGCTCGGGCAAATCTGGTCGCGGAACTAGTAAGCTTCTCTCTCAATCCACGTCTCGCCTCTACAAATGGCGATGGGCATTCTTCGATAATCTACTTGCATCAGCTGATTTACCAAGATGGAATGCATTGCTTACCTTTTGGTGTCGGCGCTGGATGCTACACTCTCTTTCGCCGAAGTGAATGACCTCAGAGCCATTGCCAAAGACCTGTACTTCTATATGTCGGCTTTTTGGGTAGTATTTTTCAACGAAGATCCCGGAATTCTGGAACAACGTCTCTCCACGACTCTTCACACTTTTGAACTTCTCTCTCACTTCGTCGGCATCCTTGCATACTTGAAGGCCCATCCCGCCACCGCCTCCGGTCGCTTTCAACATAATTGGATAACCAAGATGATGGCCTGCTTCCACAGCTTCATCTTCACTCAGAAGCAGTCCAGTTCCCGGAACAACTGGAACACCAGTTGCAATCGCGAGCTCGCGTGCGCGATGCTTCAGCCCCATGTCAGCAATACATTCCGCCGATGGTCCAACGAATGCTATCCCCGCCTGTACAATTTTCCGGGCAAAGTCCGCATTCTCGCTGAGAAAACCGTAACCAGGAATAACTGCGTCGACTTCGCGGTCCTTGCAAATCTGTAGTATATTTTCTCTGTTCCAAAATCAGCAATCGTCTGACAGGAAACTTGGCGAAAAACTGCTCTCGTTTTACACTTACACGTCCAAGTAACCCGGTGTGCCATCAGACTTGAGAGCTACCGACTCGTCTGCGGCGCTAACATGAAGTGATGTAGAATCTGAAGCTGTGTATATAGATACGCTTCTAACACCCAACGCCGAACATGCCCGGATACACCGAACAGCAATTTCTCCACGATTGGCTATCAGGACCTTTTTGATCCTTGAAAGCTGGGATTCTGTCATCGTGTAATAGTCTCGATGCGAGAAGCTCTAGAACAAACTATCTATCTACGCGTTGGATGTCGTGATTTGGTTCAGGTTTCGTGGCGCATGTTATTTATCGCGCAAGCCGTCATGTTCTAGGATCTATGGTAAAACTCTAAACGTACACAACTACGTTATCATGCGTCTGACCCGGGCGAGACTCAACCGAACGAGTTCGGGATCCATGTCTGCTTATGCAAAGGGGATTATTCCCGGGTGATGTGAAGTCTGACTTCGCGCTAAGGAGAGGTGATCGTCCGACGGCAAGGACGAGCGGATGCTGAATCCCTTCATTCATCCAGGGAAGCACAACTGGAAGCGTTAGATCTTTTCAGCAGCACAGCGAAACATTATCCGGTGCAATGGCTTTTGATCAGACATTCGACAACCTTTGGGTTATCGAGTCTCCATTCCCAAAATAGAAAAATTTCCCGTCGCCAAACAGTCATGCATCACAAGCACGTCGATGAAACGGGAAGATACTCTGATCTTCATCGCAATGAGGAGCGTAGATTAAAAGTGCCGAGCTGTACGATTTCCGTTGAAATCGACCCCATGCCCGTTTTCTGCTCCTTTCATGGGGCTCAGGAAAATCTTCATGCCCAGCCCCGCCTTGCATTGACTTCATCTACAGCTTTCCTACACATTCTGACGTTTTCTAAAGCGGTCGGCATATCTGAATGAATGCAAATAGAGAATGGCTTTCCTTCAAAGTCAAGCTTCAATGGCTCCCCTTCGATCCCAATCACTGTGTCATTCATTCCTATGGACAAAGTCCTGGAGTAGATGTCGTCCGGAGTAGCAAGTTTTCCTTGTCCAACCCTTACAAGCTTCTTGTTTTTGTCCCAATAGATATCAACGTAGGCCTCCTCGACGTAAGTCAAACCATACTTCGCGCACAGTGCCTTCTCTGCGTCAGCATGTTTCGCACCGTATACCGGTACCCCAAAAACAGCACAGGCCTTAATGACAGCTTCGCAAATGGCGTCATCACTTTGCATGTAAAAGAACAGTTCGCCATGCGGTTTCACGTGATTCAGGGGAATGCCTTCAGCTTTGAGGAATGCACTCAGAGCCCCGACCTGGTACAATATCATGTTATACATGTCTTCCGGCTTGATCTCCATCTTGCGACGTCCGAATCCAAGCAGGTCCTGTAAGCCTGGGTGCGCGCCACATCTGACTCCGTGTTCCTTGCAGAGCCTGACCATTCGCCTCATTATCGTGGGATCACCTGCATGGAAGCCACATGCGATGTTGGCAACATCAATATACTTGATGAGCTCCTCGTCTGGTCCCTGTGTAATTGGTTAGCTTTACACTTGCTCAACAAGAGGGAGTCGAAGTAGATAAGACCATTTTCCATCTCCCAAATCCCTCCCCCATGTCGCAGTTGATCTCCACTCTCTTCACGATATCCTCCATGTTTCGGAGCTTGAAATAATCCAGGTCAAAGAGTAGATTGAGCAAAGATTTCTTGGTGTTCTAAAGTGTTGAAAGAAATTTGGTGACACCTTCAAGAGGCCCTTGAACAGACGACCACATTTAGCATGCGAAGTGATCAACATGTACCCCTCCCAATGATGCCCATGTGCATGCATATCATCCTGGCTCGGGAATAGTGGTCCATGCAAAGCGATTTCGATATCAGAATCCCGTCCCGCCTCTTATCACATTGATTCTTAGTACGAATTTAAAATATCGTCTTGTGCCTTCCCAAAACATATGCTACGGCTGATATGTCAATTTGGACCATGCACGTAACTAGGCTACCTTTCATCGTTATCAACAATCCTGGCTATTGACATGCAGAAAGTTATCCTCTTTGAGAAGAAACTGGAAAAGAAATTAGGAACCATGCACTCGAAATGATACTGTGATTCGCAAATACACGTCATTGGACGATGTGTGATTTCATATCAGCGGTGTCCAGATTCAGAACACATTTATACGCAGCTTTTATGTTCCAAGCCCACGCAGAATTGATGATATTTTTCAGGATCATCATGGCAGAGTCTATGCTGAGCCAAAGCTCTGGCTATGGAATCATCATCGGCTTCGGGGCCCTCTTTGCCCTGGGGATGTGGGCGCTGACGTTCTGCTCGCAAAATTTCACAACGAGGTCCAAGGTTCTGAGATGTTCATGACCGCCAAAAGATCGGTTAGCACCGGTCTTGTCGCTTCCGCAGTGGTCTCATCTTGGACGATCGCTGCTACTCTTTTAACATCTTCAACTTGGGCATTCGAATATGGAGTGTCAGGAGCATACTATTATGGCGCGGGGGCAACAGTACAAATCTTTGTAAGACGAATCTAGACGATTATTGAATGAAAGCTGACGAACCTAGGTGTTTGCTGTGGCAGCAATTGAACTGAAAAGACGCGCCCCTGGTGCGCATACGTTCTTGGAAGTAGCAAGACTGCGTTACGGCGTGGCTGGCCACGTCATCTTCATCCTCTACTCAACAATCTATGCAATTATCAACTGCGTGAATATTCTCGTGGGAGGTTCCGCGGTCTTCACGGCACTTACGGGTTCGTAATGATTTTCCTCAAGCAAAATTTCAGCTAAATGTGTGCGTATAGGCATGAATGTTATTGCTGGGGTTTGGCTTTTGCCTGTAGGGGTCGTGATCTATACGCTCACAGGCGGGATCAAGGCAACAATTCTGACGGACTATTCACATACGATCATCATCTATGCAATGGTGTTAGCTGGCCTATTCGTTGTTTACACTAGTAACGATGTTCTGGGAAGTCCAGATAAAGTGTATGATCTTCTTCGCGAGCAAGCCAAGATTTCTCCAGTTGATGGGAATGCTGGAGGCGAATATCTCACCATGCGGTCGCAAGATGGAGTTCTCCTTGGTGTTGTTTTCTGGTGTGCAGTGTTTGGAACCACTATCGATGTTCAGCTTTTCCAGAAAGCGATTACGGCAGATCCAGTCAGCACATTGCCGGGCTACATGATCGGTTGCTTAGCTTAGTTTTCCATCCAATTCTGTCTTGCCACAACATTTGGACTGGCTGCCAGAGCAATGCAGGGAAGTCCGAACATGCACACATTGACCGCAGAGGACATATCACAGGGACTTGCTTTACCGTATGCAGCACAAGCTCTTATGGGAAAGGGAGGCGCATTTTTCGTACTTTTCATGGTCTTCATGGCGTGCACATCAGGTTTCTCTGCTGATATTGTGTAAATTGCAGCAGTGTACACATATGACATATATGGAGGTAATGCTTGCTCCGAAAAGTTTACGTATGCTTAATTGCTGACTGGGAGCGAAACAAGCTTATGTGAATCCCACAACATCAGGGGGAAAGTTACTTCGGATGTCGCATTTCGCTGTAGTTGTGTGGTCAGTATGCATGGCTGTTATAGCGACGGGTGTCTCCCAGACAACAATCGGAGTGAACTACCTGGTAACATGCATGGGCATTTTCACCGGCTGTGCAGTCTTTCCTATATACAGCACCGTCCTTTGGAAGCGCCAGAACAAAGTTGCCATCGTTGTAGCACCCATACTTGGTAGTGTGACAGCGATTGCATCCTGGCTCGGTAGCACCCATGCTCTTGAAGGGTTCGTGACAGTCGCGACGACTTCTCGAATTCTACCGCTTGTCATCGGCAACGCCACTTCGCTGTTTAGTGGAGCCATATACTCTATACTCTGTACCTTTGTTTTTGGGCCCGACACATTCGACTGGAAGAGATTAACAACGGACATTATTGTTGTCGATGACAGTGACATCAAAGGCCTGTCTCCAGAGCAACTCGCGGAGCAAGCGGCAGCAGAACATATGACTCCGGAAGCTTCTCATACCCTGGAGAGAGGAAAATTGATGGCGATACTCATTGCCTCGATCCTGTGCTTTATTTTCGTCATTCTCTGGGTGAGACGACACCCTTTGCTGCCATGTTCTGGGTCAGTGCTAACCTTTTTTAGCCGATGCCCATGTACGGCACAAAATATGTCTTCTCGAAGAATTTTTTTCGTTTTTGGGTCGCCTTGTCGTTTTTGTTCGCATTTGCGGCAACTTTTACTATAACACTAACGCCGCTGATTGAAGGCAGAAAGACTATTATGATGTTTTGGTTGTTTTTGACTGGGAAACAAGGGAAAGATCTCCAAGCCGTGGAAGGTGTACATGCACCTAGCCCGACTGACATTGTGGTAGAACACCGTGCAGAGGATATGAAAGAAAAAACTGGTCGAAATGATAACTGACGATAGAACTCAAAATCTATACGGCCGGGTACCAGTCAAAATCGGAATTTCTCTGGGGCGGGATGTTCAGGTGACATATGATGCGAAATGGATCGAAGCGCCATTACTATTGAAGTCTGTATTTGAGGAGGAAAATTCATAAGCCTTTCCCGAAATCCACCTTCTCTGCCTTGTCCTTGGGGACTGTGATCAATCAAGCTCGCGACGAGAGTACGGCTTGAGAATAGCCAGTCGTCCTGCTCTCGGTGAGCTTTTCCAGCCTGCCCGCATAATGTATTGTTGTGAGTGGGTGGACCTTATGAGAGGAGGCACATCACAAAGTGACACATCTGCGCCACGGGGGCCAAAACAGATCACGTGAATCATGACTAACTGCTTCAAGAGGGGAGAAGAGGCCGCGGTTCATGCCCTGATTCAGCCTGACCGGCCATTTGCAACAAGACTAGTTCGCACGCGCGACCAAGCAAAATGCCTCAATGTTCGGAGGCACAGTCGTTTTAGCGAATGAGACATGGCGCCGTTGGCTGGTGTGATACACAAAAGAATGGGGCTTGACCGGGCAGAGACTTCGTATCGCAACTCAGCCTAGAAGTGGGGCAGCTTGAGATCGTCTCTTCTTTCCTATATCCAAGTGTCTGCTCCTTTTCTTTCCTCACGCATTTCAATCGTCGAAGGGATCAAAGAGTGACGATACATTTTTCGCACAAGCTCAAGATATTCACCCAGTGGTAGGGTTATTTGGAAATTTCGGTTTCGTCCGAAGCACTTCCCTTGAGCCTGATGGTTGCCCCAGCTCCCGTTCTTTCGTCTGTACGTTATACCAGCATTTGGGCATGCTTGAGCCACTGCACTGATACCTTCTCAGAAGCCGCCAGAGGCTCCAAGGGTCCCAGAAGGATGGACTGCTCTTTGGGATGGTGAGTCAAGCTTCAAACACTACCGTCGTTCGTAGCAAGGCGCATGATGTTAATGACGATGAAGAGGATGAGCAGGATTGGTACTATTACAATCCAAGAGGAAAGGTGGCGCAATGGGAGTCGCCCATGGCGAAAGCTGCTCCCGTCCGTCGCTGCGGATTCAGACGTATCCTGCCAGCATGCCTCTTTCCAACTCTGCCGCCTGCAAACAAGGGCAAGTCTACCGCTTTACCAAGTGAAGCGACCCTTCGAGCCATAGACATGATCGACCGATCTTTCAACGATGAGGAGATAGCCATGGTGCTCCAACACGAAGAGTTCAGTCAGGATTTGTCCGGCCGTCGTCATAGCTTTGACCAGCACTGGGTCGACCCGACGGAATATAACTATGAAGCGGGCCCCAGCGCCAAGCCGACGAGTGCAAACACCCGTAACGACAATGCAGGCGCAGAACGGGCCATTCAAAACCCGTTTGCAGGCACCGGCAACAAGCAGCAGGATCTACCTGCGGTGTGTCTCCAGCGCGAATGCGGCATTTGTATGGATGACGGCGACGACAATGCTCCTTGGACGTGGCTCCCGTGCACTCACCAGTTCCACACCAGCTGCGTGCTGGACTGGCTGGAGACGGCCAATCGATGTCCCGTCTGTCGAACGGAATGTACGTAGGGATGTTGGAAAGTTCTAGGTGTCCACAACATGGAGGGATACGAGCGAGAGCACAAAGGCTGCTAGGTGGGATACGTGGTCATATGACAGCAGGCACGCTCTGTGGTAGCCGCAGGAGTCTGGTGATTTTTGTTTTTCCTTGTTCGTTCTGCTCCTCAAGATAGTATCTCCTGCTCGTCATCATATAGACATGAACTGGTGTGTCGATCAAACAGTGCCGAACACAGAGGCAGAAATGTATGGTGAGATTATGGCTCTGAGGGGCCCCGCACGCACGATTCGCCATGCTGGACTAAAGGCCTAATATCGCTGTCATGGATCAAACCAAACCGGCAATCCGAGACGGCGTCTTTGGGTGCAATGTCCACATGCCTCAGACGAACGCAGGCAGATCGCTGGCTTTGCGCGGTGACGCTCGTTCACGCTGCCCGCGTTCGATGGCGTTAGCACATGGTGTTTTGGACGGATCGGCCTCCAGAACGCGACCTTGCCCCGGGTAGATTTCAGCTTATGAGATGCAAAGATGGGTCATCTCGGATTGCATTGGGCATAGTTCGGATGGCGTGCGTCGTCGGTGGTAATTGGGTACGCAGGCGCTTTTGCCTGAAATGTTTCGGTCTCGGCTCGACAAGGCCAATCAGAAGCGCAGAAAAGATCTTATCCGATCTTATCTGCCCGACTCGGGAGATAAATTACGCGCACCCGTTTTCTTACGGGCATCTGCAGAACCCTCCTACCAACTTCACCACCACCAAAGGGTCTTTCCGTGGCCGAACTCCTCCGTCGACGACGGCCTTGGATGACGACCATCATCCACGATCCAGAAGCCCCAGTCTACCTATCATGAATCATCATTTCGCCATGCAGGGCCCCGGTGTTTCGCGTGAAGCTCGTCTACCTTCCCAAACGATCCCGCTGCCCGCGTGGTGCCGCGTTGCCCGCTAGCTTGACTGTTACAGTACTGCTTGGTCCTGACTAAAATAAATCCGTCCTCGGTTGCCGTACACTATCTTTGCTGCTAGAAAAATGGTGTCCTGCTCCATCGCCTTGTCGCCACCACCTTGCGTTTATTGTCTGCTCACCTTCGTGCCGCTCACTGAAGCGTCCTCATTCTTGCGTGTCCCGCGTACGTCGCACCGTTGCGAGCGCACCCTCGCCACACGCGTCCGTAGAATCTCCCATGGACTCACCCGCGCCCGTCATCGTGGCCCCTCTCCCGTCTCCAGATTCGCTTGCCCTAGACTCACACGAGACACACGCTCGGAAACGAAAGCGTTGTATGCCCGTCACTCCGCCTGTGACCGCGGAAGATCCTGAAGGCGCCCAACTGTTGTCCTGCACCGTGAACGTACTAGCAGTCAATGCCACCGCCATATCGCATGTTGCCCGGCTGTATGAGACGGATCCCAATGCAAGGCAGGGCATGCTTCGAGCAGCGGATGCTGTTGCGACCTCGAAGCTAAACAAGGGCAAGCTTGTGATATGTGCGGTGGGCAAAAGCGGGATTATTGGTCAGCAGCTGGTCGCGATGCTGAAGAGCTTGAGCATATCCAGTTCTTTTATGCATGCTACGGAGGCTGTTCACGGAGACCTAGGAGACATTGGCGAGGCATGAAACAAATGTATCCTCTTAATGCTTGTAAAGATTCGCTGACAAAATGTTCAGGATGACACCGTCCTCTTCATTTCGTACAGTGGCCGGACGCCGGAGCTGCTCAACACGATACAACACATCCCACCAAACAACCAAATCATAGCCTTAACGTCAAACTTGGAGGTCGACGCATGCCCGCTTCTTCTTAAACGTCCAGACGCCATTTTGCTCCCGGCTCCACTACATCAGTCCGAGGAGACCAGCTTTGGCGTCGCTGCTCCCTCTACAAGTGTTACCGTAGCTCTAGTGATCGGGCAATCGCTTGCCATCTCAGTGGCACAAAAGTTACATGGCGCTGAAATGCAGCAGATATTTAAGAAGAACCACCCAGGCGGTGCTATTGGCATGACCAAATGAACGAAGGTGAACCGGAATGGCGTTATGAAGTGCACGTCCCATTTGAAAGGAAATGCTTTTTTTGGATCAAGTTTGGAGGCGCACGCTAAACTCTGGCATTGCCACGGCGTTGCAAGCGCCGCTCACGTATAGACTACCCGCTAAGACAATAATTCAACTCGAGCAGGATCATAACATCTAATGCCGAGAATGGAATCACGATTATGGCACTTGATGTCTTCCATCCATCATCCACATATCAAACACGCAACAAGCAGGAACAATCTCACACATCACACATTGTTGATGTGGGTGACTGTCGTCTTCTCAGCGTCAATGGCTTTGCCTGACTGAATCCCATGAGCTCTATCTTCCTCCTCAATAGCCTTGGCGTAAGCAAGCTCATCCTCTTCGGTCGCACCATAGTACCTGACTGCGACCTTCTCACCGAACTGGGCGTTGATATCCTCGAGTGATCGCTGCTTTGTCTCTGGGAAGAAAAAGTACACATTCAGCAGATGCAAGAAGGTCGGAATGATAAGCACAAGGAAGAACTTCCAAGTGATTTTGTCCAGCGCGATTGGGCCGGCGACGAGGAGAATGATGCTGGCGAAATAGAGCCCAAGCATGCCGATACCGACACCAGTAGACCGAATGTGGGTGGGGAAGATCTCAGAGAGGTACACGAATTGGGAGGCATCCATGAAGGTCGACCTACGAGAGTTAGACAAAAAATCTAAAGAAAACGTTGACCCAATCTTTGAAGCCTTGCTGACTGGCAATGGCTTGAATCCATTTCCACTTAGCAGTCCAACTCAAAGGACAACTTTTTTGCGATGAAAGGAGAAATGTAAAGCTCTGTTCAAAGTTAGCGTCTCTTCAAAGATCGTTGCGTCAGGTGTACATACCACCAAAAACCAATAAAGAGAAATATGAAGAAGATGGCAGCCTTCTGACCGGCCGTGTTGGTTGTTCCGAGAAAAGATGCCTGCATCGCGCATTCAAAAATGAGAGTTATTGTCAGGCCGGTCAGACCAGTTAAGAGGAATGTTCGGCGACCGAGCTTGTCAACGAAGAAGGCCGTAAAGATGTTGCCTGGGAAGGACGACGTGACCCAGAGAGCGGACAAAAGCAACGGCATATATGTCTTCATCCCGAGAGCGGCATACAACAGAACTCCATAGTTTGCGATGACCTTGGGCCAGTCAGCCATCTACAGCTGAAATTCACGGTTGGAAACGGCTGAGCTTACCAAGACTCCAGTGAACTGGTTTCCAAACATGAGCGAAAATCTGCACCACATCAGCCATGATCAAAAGGTTGATGGTTGCCATACGAACCCTACCCAACACCGCTTCCTATTCGCTGGTGTTCTAAATATATCAAGTGGGCTTGTGGTCGACTTGATCTGCCTATCGAGTTCAAGTTGTTTCTTCATCTGCAAGAATTCCTTGGTTGCAAGCTCTTCGTGGATATCTCCCGGAGTGTGATGTAATTTGCGTATCACGTCGTGGGCTTCTTCTGTACGATTCTGCTGCAAAAGCCAGCGTGGAGAGAACGGTAGCCACCTGGAAAAGACCAGTAGCATCAATGCCGGCACGTTCTGGAAGGCAAGCGGGAATCTCCATGCAAAGCTACTGCTGGAACCAGAAAGCGTCATAAAGAAGCAGCCAAAGCCAATCCAGGCTGACAGGGAGTATCCCATAGCGAACATGATGCCGTGCATGGAAACCATGAACCCTCGCGACTCCGGAGTAGACACTTCGGCCTGATACATTGGGATGGCCTTTCATCTAGCTTAGCGTGGGACCAAAGAACGGGAGAACACAATGCTTACAGTGATAAGCATACCGATACCAAAGCCTGCAATAAACCGAGCGACCAGAAACATAGCAACATCCACGGAGGCGGTACACAGGACGGCACCAACGATGAGCACAATCGCGCCGGCCTGGATCGAACGCAGACGTCCGTACTTGTCAGCACTCCACATGGTGAAAAATGCACCAAAGGCTGAGCCCGCGGAGTTCAGGCCGTTCATGGCGCCGATCAGGTTCGCAGTGTGCGCATATCCCGGCTCCCCTGGGGCTGCCAGATGCATGTCCTTGTAGAACTGCGTTTGGCCGATCGTGGAGCTGATCACAGCCATACCGTACGAACATGCTGCTGGTTGTAAGCAATGGCCAGAGTACTTGCGAGGCAGCGATAGGACACAGACCTGTGCTCCCAAGAGCGACAGCAATCACAACCATCAGATTGAACGCATTCGGAATGAGCTTCCCCATCTTGGCAGGTTTCAATCGTCAATATCTCATATACCTGAAGTCAAAATCTGTCCAAAGCAGTCCGCACAATGTGCCTTATGGACTTCGTTGCCACCACGGATGGGCATTACGAGGACATATAGCCTTTATAGTCTTTCAAATACGGTATCTTCCGCATGGCGATATCGTTAGTTTGTCAACAAGCCCCTCATTTGAGCACGCTTCCTGAAGTAATAATTTGCGTGGGCATGAGCGCTATTCCCGGTCCAGCAAACGTTAGCATCTCGGATCGTAGCTTGTGACACATTTTTGGTATAAAAGAACCCCGCGAAAGCTAGTTTGGCATCTTTGCTGATCCACACCTCTGTGCCTGGCCTGCTAACGCCCGTCACTTTTCGGCCATGTGGAGATCGTCGAAAGGAAAACACTCCACCGGATATTGGCTTGTCCAATGGGCACTTTGGAGTCGTTCCCAAACTTAAGGTGTTGTGGTTGTTGATAGGCTGGGAAAATAACCGAAAAAATGCGGGGGACGTGAACATTCGCCCGGGTTACCCCAGAAATCGCCGGATGGATAAGAAAAACTTGGCAAACGGCTGATGTTCCCGAGTTTGATTTGAAAAATGCTTTGCAGAGAATTTTCTATTGGTAGACAGCATCAAGAAACTTCGAGATGGCGCCAGGCTGGTAAAGGGGGGTTCAGATTCTCGGAATTCAAGGTCCAGGCACTGGTAGCGGCTTCAGATACACGCCTGCACGTTTCACAATCAACCCTCAACAAGAGGCAAAAGCTAAGTATCGTCTTCTTGGCTCTGCCCTGGCGCAAAAGTGGACCAGAGAACCAGCAGCCATGTCTAATCCACGATTCAGCTCCTCTGACAAAGTCAACATCCACGCTAATGCAACCTCTCATATGACCTGATTCTGGCAAGCTCAACTTGATAGCCGATCATAACTCCGAAGCGCTTGCCAATGTAGCCATCAATACGCTTTATCAGCGAATTGAACTGCCCAAGGCTTGATATCAATGCATGTACTTGACAACAGAGATACTCATCGCAGACCACTTGTCAGCTGAAATGTGTAGTATCGTCTTTCAGTGTAAGATTTACATACCTGGGTTTTTTCTCGAAATCCGCCTGCGAGGAGTCAAGAGCTTTCTTCAGAGTCTCATGTTGAATTATGATGTTCAACTTCATGAGTCCGGTTGTAGGCATGTTCATGTTCCCGATAACCATTTCAAGCTTCATCTCCTGAATCGTCATACGTAACCAGCTTGGCCTGCTTTGGCAGAACAGACTCCTGCTCTTCTGAAGCTGTGCGCTTAATAACGTGTGGCATGCTGGAAACATTGCTGTCCATCGCTGCTCTCGGCCGTTTCCGCGGCGCAGACCACGCCGATATCCCTGTACCAAAAGGATTCATCTTCGCCTTCGTATTCAAGACGACGTTGTGTTGGAAAGATTTTGCCGCTTTCTGCTTATCCCATTCCGATTTCGTCACACCCGACGGTCGTTCATCTGATACTTGCGCGCCTTTGGAGAACAGCGGTTTGGCGAGTGATTTTTCGACATTGTTCTCAGCCAAATTTTTATCTCCAAAATCAACCAATGCGGCACGATCTGCGTCTTCTTGAGTGTAGTCAAGTAGTTCTATTCCCAATCCATATCTTTCAGCCACTTCTTCTTTCTCCTTGGCAGCGGCTTCTCGTTGCTTTCGGCCCACACGAAAGTCCCGTCGTAATCTTTGATTCGCAGCGTATGGGTCGTTCCAATTCCGACTTTGCGCTTGATAAAGCTCCTTTAATTTAGCGCTATCGGCCTTCACCTGTATCTTCTCCTCTACCTGACCTTCGAGGCGAGCGAAAGCATCGTTCCTCCGCCGTTCTCGCTCCTCTTCCGTCAAAATCTCGCCATAGTCTCGCTCCAGCGCAGTCGTGGAAGCGCCTGCTTTCTTTCTGCCGCCAGAAGACACTACGTACGCAGTGTTCTCAGGATCCGTCCTTATGACAATACTTCCTGAGCATGGTGGATGTCTAAAACTGAACTCCCATATGGGCGTGCTCAAGTAATTCCCTACTTTCTTCTTCTCGGCATTGAAGCGAACTCCTTGCTTGATAAGAAATTCGGGTTTGCACGTCTCACACCACGTGTCAAATGGCATTTCAAAGCGAATCTTGATAATGCCATCTTTGGCTTTGCTGAAGCGAGATCCGAGCGGATGGCCTTTTTGCGAGTTGAAGCCGCCGACCGCACTAGAGGACAGAGACGGGTCTTCTGACGCTGGCGGTATGTACCGCCCCATATTGAAGCCCTGCATCGTGCCCACGCAAACCTTGTAGCCTCTTGAACGGTTACTTTGGGTGGCAAATTGAGATGCGATGTTGGAGATTCACCAGTGAAACTGAGTGAAGAATGACTGAAAATGCGCTAGTCTACTTCTGGATTAGTCGCCCGCGTCGCTGCCTTGCCAACAACCTACTTCTTAAACACATTTGTTCGCCATGCAAAACAAACATGTAACTTCTGCTCTGTTCCTGCGATGGAAGACTTGCTTGGGAAGGTATGTTTCGTTTGGATGCGTCGTTTTGCGACGGGCGTATCATAAGACAATGCTCATCTTGCTGATTTTGTTCGACAGCTCGTGCAACACAGCGTAAACTACGCGATCCGTTCGGGTATCGCTCTCACCACTGGATATGCCATTACAGCTGCATCCCGGCTGCTCAAGTCGGTTAAAGGCACCGATAGAGATGAGATCGCGGATCTACAGGCCCGACTGAGAAGCAAGATCAACATTATCTCTCCGCCTATCGATATGATCGAGTTGATCGCCGCTCGAGGAAACACCACCCTGGATTCTGCCTTGACGTTAACCAAACAATTACGCATGGACATCCAGGAGCTAGGTTTACGTCTTAACGAAGCCGCCGCTGACGAGGAGAGGATTCGCCGCAAAAGTCCAAATGCGAAGTCCTTGGAGCAGATGTCTTCAGAGCTCAAGAGCATTATTGCTGACATGAAGCGACTATTGACACGTATCGAAGACGCTGTTCCATTGTTGATGCTGGCCATAACAACAAGTGGCGCGAGTTTGTCCACCTCACTACCACATTCAGTCTCGCCCTCACGTCTACTCCAGGCAAGCACGTTTCTATCCGCCGGTGACGCGAACTACGTGGCGACATGCAGTAATGCCGTTCAGATCGGACCCGCTTTTGTACTGTCTGTGTACATGCTATTTGCTGCTCATGCGCTCCGGCCACATGACGTGGAAGGCGTCACCGAAACTACCTGGAAGGAAGTAATTCGCAAGGCACATGTGAAGCTGTACCGCGTTCCCTTGGAAAGGATCTATGAATTTCCATCGGCATCAAATCAAAGCGACAGTCCAGAGTCTCTCCATAACTTTCCATCTCAGAACCGCTCGCAAGAGTTTGCATATCAGTTAGTGATCATTGAAGATCTCGACGATGACCGTTTCCACGAGGAACAGGGAGAGGAGTTCGAGGACGTACGTCGAGCTGGGATTCGAGAGGTCATTCCAGTTCATGAAGTGTCCAAGATCTTCTACGCAGATACAGGCAAGATTTTGAAGATCGGATCGATGGGTGAGCCGAACAGTCCGGTCCTTCTCATCAAGCGAGACACAAATGCTGTGCCGCCGAGACGAATGATGAGTGGTGATGAAGAAGGGGAAGAGGATTCCGACGATTTCACCGACGATGCTGGAAATTATTCACATATGAAAGAGAAATTTCCCGAAAACACAGCAAATCGACAATCCAAGAATGGCTTTCCACCCGACCTTGATCCAGAATGGCTCGCACTTGAGGTTTATACCGAGGCTTCGGAATCCGACAGCGACGATGAATCAGCGTCCGAGGAGATCAGCTCGTCCCCCCCAGCCGCTGCACGGAATAATACCACGGATTTTCTGTCAAGCACTTTAGCAGGCCTGAGAATCAGAGGCTCATCTGCGAACCCACCCTCCTCTCCACCTCTTCCGGCCAAATCCTGCACTGAACTACAATCTAGCCAGATTTCACAACCAACAATATCAGAAAATTCAGCTGTCCACGGCTTCTTTCCAATGTCAGGATTTCCTGCCTTGCGGGGTTCCTTGTCTCTTCTAGAGCTTCTTCTTCGCTTAACAGCCCTTCAGCAGTTCCAACAGACATCCCATCTGAGCATCAGTGACGAATTTCTCAATTTCTTCTTGTCTGGGTCCTCATCCACGGGCGCTGGAGCCGATAGCGATTACCGCAAGCGCATGCGCCGGGAAGCTCGTCTGCGTGTGGGATTTGATCCTTATGATGAGAGCCCAATCAAACCACGGGGAGAAGATTACATTCAGCACAAGGGCCATACACTCCATGATGACGACGGGGATTGGCGCCAGTGGCAGGATGATCCAAGAAGCTCACCAGGTCTGCGATCTCCGCCATGCGGCGAAACCCCTTCGCCGAGTTTACGGCGACATATGCAACATCACCTTGCGTTGCAGGGGGGAAGAACCAGGAGCCAGCAGTTGAGACATGGGCTTGAACATGCGCGAAGTCCTCTCGGCCGCAGCGAAAGCGACTCCACGCTAGGTACGAGCCCCAGAAGTCCCGCTTTGGACGATCACTTGAAACGGTAGATATCTATAACAGCTGATCCCCCAGAGGCGGAGAAGAAGTGAGTGCATTATTTGGCGTTGCTTGGACGAATGACAGCAAGATACCCAAAAATGTAGATTTTCGCAGTCCATGAAAAATTTGCCTATACAACCTTTGCGGTCGCCATAAACGACCCTTCTTTTGAAAGTCGTCTGTACGCAGAAATCACGATGATTTTAACTCTAGAAGGCATTCCTCATGTATCTACGCTTGTTCTCAAGGGGAGCGCTATCATTGACTATCAAGAACCTGGTTGTCAGGGTCGATCAATATGTTAGAGACCTGATAAGACAATTCCATTTTTACTGTGGAATCTATACTGAACAAGAGGAGAGGCTATACGCCTTTCGCGGTGGCGCATTTACTCCAGTTGTAGTGGGTTAAATGACGTTAGTTCTATGTAAAAGATCGTCGAGAGGAGCGGCAAATCTGGCATAGTTCCGTGGTTCAACTCTGCGTACGTTCTTGGAGACATACAATAAGACAAGTCCAAATGCTGGAACGCAAGTAAGAGATCATGGCTCTACCGTCTTGTTGTGGCTTGGGCCGATAGTCAATACAGCTCGCATGGCGGCGACGGGTCCTTGCAGGCCGAAGCCAGATGCGGCGCACTAATTATGCAGGCCAAGCACAAGCCTTCTCTTCTGGATCTTCTTTGGGCCGCGAATGACCAATCTCCTACAGAAAGCGATCATCAGACACTTGAAACGTCACGCCTAAGACATGATACTGTACAGATTAGCAGGCCCTTCCGCCATGGCAAGAGGAGCGAAATTCTGGTTCTGCTCGTGCCCCACCGCCGTAGGAATGACCTGCTGGATCAGGAGCGGCAGCACGGCCGACAGCTGGTCATGCCAAGTGGACACCTTCCATTAGAGGTCTTGGATGTTGTTCCGAAGCTTCCGTTGAACTTGGTGGTATGCCCAAAGAAGGCAGCTCTCTGTGCGCATCTGACAGCGTGATCTTCCTTGTTATGCCAGCTTGGGATATTACATCAGAGCCATTATCATGGTATACTATGGCTCAGTCCAAGCTTGTTTCTACATGATTCAAGCTCAGTCACTGCATCATCTTCTCGCCTTATTCTTTTGCTAGACACTGCACTTGGACTTGTGCAGTTTTCTGCTTCCGTTTCGATCTGCATCTAGGGTAGCTTGAGGATGAGCATCAAGGTTGTCTTAGGCGCCCTCTCCGTTGCCGGGGTCCTTTGGCACGCGCAAGGTATGCATAACTGACTCGCAGACGCAAGAAAAGTTCACTAAGAAGTATACTTTCTCAGGTCTCTATATAACAGAGCCCAACTCCGGAAGAAATCTGGTAGACACTGTGACAGCGAGAAAGCGTGGCTCGCCAGACGCCCCAAATGGCTATGTTCCCACGGAGGTTGACTGTCCTACGACACGGCCAAGCATACGTTCAGCGCACGAGCTATCGCAGAGCGAGGTTGACTGGCTGAAGACGAGAAGACCGAAGACGGTGGATCCTCTAAAGGACTTGCTCGGCAGGTTGAACATCACTGGACTGGATACCAACGCGTACATTGATAATCACTCAAGCAACATTTCGAACATCCCAAACATTGCCATTGCAGCGTCAGGAGGTGGATGGAGAGCACTACTGAACGGAGCTGGTTTGATCGCCGCCTTTGACAGCAGGACAACGAACTCGACGAATCCCGGTCACCTTGGGGGACTGCTGCAAAGTTCCACGTATCTTTCCGGACTGTCCGGCGGAAGTTGGCTGGTCGGCAGCATATACATGAACAACTTCTCGACCGTGCCGACGCTCTTGGACAGCAACGCGGAGAAGTCGGCGTCGGGGTTTTTGTGGGGTTTCCAGGAGTCGATCCTCGCGGGGCCTCCAGCCTCTGGCACGATCGACAACGTCGTCGACACGGCCGACTATTTCACGACCATCTACGACCAGGTGCAAGGCAAGGAGGACGCTGGCTACAACACCACGCTGACGGACTATTGGGGCCGTGCCCTCGCGTACACCTTGATCAACGCCACGGACGGCGGCCCGGCGTACACGTGGTCCTCGATCGCAAAAGATGCGGCCTTCCAGCAAGGCGACTGGCCGCTGCCCGTCGTCGTCGCGGACGGACGCGCGCCGGGCGAACTTCTGGTCTCGCTGAACGCCACGAACTACGAGTTCAACCCTTGGGAGATGGGCTCATGGGATCCGACCGTGTACGGGTTCGCACCAGTCCAGTACGTCGGGTCCGAGTTCGACAACGGCGTACTGCCCACGAGCAAGAGCTGTGTGGCCGGGTTCGACAGCGCCAGCTTCGTCATGGGCACCTCGAGCTCGCTCTTCAACCAGCTGCTTCTGAACCTGAACTCAACCAGCCTGCCGGGCGTGGTCAAGGCCGGGTTCGAGGCGCTGCTTTCACGCCTTGACAAAGCAGAGGAGGACATCGCGGACTGGGCGCCGAACCCGTTTCGAGGCTGGAACGAGGGCTCGAACCCGAGCGCGGGCGATGTGACGCTGACTCTGGTGGACGGCGGTGAAGATCTGCAGAACATCCCGCTGACGCCACTCATCCAGCCGAGCCGGGCGGTGGACGTCATCTTCGCCATCGACTCGAGCGCGGACACAGTGGCGCCGGGGGCCGCAAACTGGCCGAACGGGACGGCGATGGTGGCATCGTACGAGCGGTCGCTGCACGCCATCGCCAACGGGACGGCGTTCCCTGCGGTGCCAGCGCAGAACACGTTTGTCAACCTGGGCCTCAACAATCGACCGACCTTTTTCGGCTGCGACGCGGCCAACACCTCGGCGCCCACGCCGCTGATCGTGTACCTGCCCAACGCGCCGTACGTGTACGCGTCCAACGTGTCGACGTTCCAGCTCGAGTACACAAAGGCCCAGCAGCTCGCCATCGTGCAGAACGGCTACGACGTCGCCACCATGGGCAACGCCTCCCGCGACGCCCGCTGGCCCGCTTGCGTCGGCTGCGCCATCCTCAGCCGCTCCTTCGACCGCACCGCCACCCCCGTCCCGGACATCTGCCGCTCCTGCTTCGCGGACTACTGCTGGAACGGCACCCTCGCCAACCAGCCGCCCGCCCGCCCGTACGAGCCGGAGCTCATCCTTCCGGACCGGGCCATCAACGCTACCAAGAAGGGCGCCGCCGCTGTCTTGCCTGCTCCGACTGCGCTGGCCCTCGCTGCCGCCATCTCCCTCTCCCTCCTACTCGCCTAGAGCGGTCCCTCATCGCATCCGGCCCTTTCTCCACGTACGATCTTCTCGACGACCTTCCTTTCCTTTTTTTTTTTCTCTCTCTCTCTTCCCCGATCCTCCTTCCGCGTTACAACATCACGGGGCATATTGGGAATTTTTTTTAATGTTTTTGTTGTATATATGCATATGCATACACATGTATACGTGTGTTGAAGGATTGGAAAGACTGGGCTTGGTCTTCACAAATCCGAGGAGGGACGTCCCACGCATGACTGTTGTACTGTTGGATCGAGAACGAACTGATCATTTCTGGTGACGGAAACGTACGGGGGGGCAAACGTGATGTTCGGACAGGAAATTTTTTTTTTTTTTTTGGGGAGGGGGGAGTGGAATCATTTGTGTTCCTTTTCTTCTTTTGAAGAGGTGGAAGGGGGAAAAGGGGGTCAAAGACCTCATCCCTTTTCCTCCGCATGTTTAGGGAGCTTGCTTACGACTCAAAAAACAAAATGGGGATCCGGGCGCGTAGATAGAGAAGGATGATCCATAATGAATGCATATTCGTGCTACTCATTCTGGTACGGCCGCCAACGCAACACACGTATGGAGCCTATAACAATCTCACGCCAAAACGCGCGAATCGTCCAACCTCGAAAAGCGTCGCGGATTGCACACCCAGTCTCCGTTCCAGTGGCGGGAGGAGTACCTACATTTTCTTTACATCAAATTTTATTTTTCTTGTCGGCTTCTTCAAAAGCTACTCTGAACAGGTCCATCGGTACACGGCTGATTTCTCCAGTTCACCCTCCTGGTTCCCATTTGAGCCCAAAACGTCCCCACTTTGCCAACACGCCTGATCGTCTTTGTTCTACAGTTGAGATCCCCCCCCCCCCCCCCCCAAAAAAAAAATAATAAAAAAAAAAAGACAGACTCTGATCGAAAACAACAAATGCAGTCGGGTAAAGGGGGGAAATCGAGTTCAATCGTCCGGCCAACCAGCCGGTTCAGGAGCGCCCACAGGCTACGCAAACAAATAAAAGGACGAGAAGACAAAAGATCCAGTCCAGCCAGGAGGACAAAAAGCAGCAGCGGAAGCAGACACGTGAGACCAAAGCACGTTCCTCCTGTCCACCACGGGCGGGCAGATCGCGGTCTTCTCCCCGCTGAGCTGGCGTTTTAGATATGCGTATGTGTACATCCATACATACATGTGTCCTTTTGACCTTGCACTCAGAAGCAAAGAGCCTTCCGGTTGACGGCCATCTGCTCTCTCACGTCTACTGATCCATGCCCAGATAGAATTGGCCAACGGCTTCAGCAACCTCGTCAGCCGCGGCGCGCTGCTCCTCCTCAAGTCGTGCACGCTCTCGCTCACGCTCACGGGCCTGCTCCATGGCGCGAAGCTCCTCTTCGCGAGTGCACTGGGCAAGCACGTTGGGCTTGAACGCGCAGACGGGGCAGTGGAAGGTAGAGGAGCAAAAGGTGCAAGGGCAGCAGGGTGCGTCCAGGAGGCAGTACTACAAAGCAGAAGCCTTAGGTTAGCAAAATGCCTGTTGGGAAACTGCAAATGCTATAAAATGGAGAGGCCGCTGAAGAGAAAAAAAAAATAAACGAGGGGAGAGGGAGCGGAAGCGAGAGCGGACATTGAACTAAAAGAGAACGTACCTCACAGACGAGCACCCCGCACTCAGTGCAGTCTTTCAGTTGCGCAGAGCATCTCGTCCTGTTGTCGCCGATGGGCCGCTGGTACTGGCAAAAGTACGCCCCACAACCCTGCCACTGCACAGGGTGGTTAGGATTGCCCGGGAGTAGGTGTCGCTTCTGCCACTCGACTCGAGTAGCGGCGGATGCGTTGACAAAGCTGGCGGCGGCCGACGCCCTGTCGGTTAGGTCCGAGAGGGAGACGGACCGCTGCCGTGAAGGTCCTGGAACGGAACGTGGCGGAAGGTCCGCTATCAAGGCGGTCATGTCAAAGTTGTGCACCGCGGCTTCGACACCTGCGGGGATGGGTGCCGAGGCTAGAAGCTGGCCACTGTCCGCGCTTGAACTTGCCGTGGACGCGATCCTCACCATGGGGAGAGAAGCTTCCTCGTCGACATGGGCAGCCCCAGGCACGCTCGTGCCGCTGGGGTGATCCGTTGCCGGCGCGCTCTTGGATCCACGAAACATCGGTATGGCGGCCACGTCCCACTTGCCACTCCTGCCCATGCTGTTGCGTGCCTGAACAGGCGGGTTTCTCACATACTCGCGTTCCGTGCTCAGATCCCGGAAGCCACACTTGCGCACCTTGAGGCCGCGGAAGTCGTGTTCCTTGCACAGAGGACGCTTGCATCCTCGACACGGCACTCTCCACCGAAAGCTGCGATAGCAGTCCTGGCACAAGCTGCGTGGGCATGTGTTCTGCTGCAGGTCCAAACTGTCCTGAAGCAGGTAAGGCAAAATGTCCACGTTTTCGCCCATGATCTCTTCGTACAGCCGCACATTCTTCAACTTCTCGATGCTCTGCGGATCGACAAGCGTGTGCTGGAAGTCAGGGTCTTCGTACTCCTTGCGTTTCGGTAGCGGCACGGCGCGTATGCGATCAGATCCAGAGCCGCCCATCTGGCCTGGCTGGCCTAAGAATGCGACACCACCACCGCCAGAGAAGATGGGTTCTATACAGCACCAGTGCATGTTCAACTTGAGCGGAGCGGCGGGGTTGGTTGCCTGGTTGGCTCCCGCCACGCTCGAATCGTCGTCGTCCGAGTCCGAGTCCGGCGGGAGCTCCGACATGAGGTTAGGAGACCGGTAGGCCCCAGGTGCCCACCAGAACTTGTTCTTTTCACGCTTGGATGGAGTTCGCTGGGGAAGCGATGTCGTATAAGTGGAGACTGATGTAGACAGTGACGAGGACGGAGTGGAGAAGGACGACGTCGTTGTCGACGTCTGCGTAAAGGTTTGCTCGACAGTCGCATTGGCCGGAGCGGGTACAGCTTGGTTCTGCGGCGCACCCGCCGTAACGGTCGAGTGAGACGACCCGAGCAGCGACGGGAAATGTTGTACTTTGACTCGCTTCCTTGGTATGGGTCTGTTAAAGGCACAGCTAGCGCACAGCGTCTTGCGGCAGCCCATGCAGTGCATTTTGATGCTGCACGTCTCGCAGCGCTCGGGGATGGCATCGCCGCACTGATCGCACTTCACGTTGTCCACGAAGGTGGTGTGGCTGGCGCGCAGGTGCGTCGGCACGTACTTGCCGTCAGCGGCGAACGTCTCCGTGCCCAGGGCCTCGCCGTCGTATCCCACCTCGCTGTCCTCCCACAGTCGGCCGTCCGAGCCTCGTGACGGTCGTCTGTCGTCAGTCGGGCCAATCCTGTTGCCCGACCGCCACAACCTGTCGAAAGGCACCCACACCTCCTGGGTGCCCGGCGCAGCGCGATTGCCGTGATAGTCCTTTCTCCGAAAACAGCGGCCACCGGGCGTGGGACACCACGCCGTGTCAGTCCAGATGCCAAGCTGGTGGCAGATCTCGATCAGCTCATGTGTCGGCTCTGAGTCCGAGTCCCTGCGCACCAGCGAGCTGGGCAAGTACGGGCGGCGACGGTGATGGCGGCAGCGGTACGTGTACAGGCTCTTCAAGGTCAATTCAGTGGCCCACGGGTGGGCGTGCGGATTGTGCAGCTGAAGGAATGGCACGATGTGGTACTTGATCGAGACGTTCTTGCACCCGCGGACGGACAGGTGCTGCAACGTGGCGATCCGGGGCTCCAGCACTTGAGAAACCAGAGCTCCGCCGCTGATTGCGGTGTTGTCCAAGTCGAGGCTCCGCAGGCGCGTGGCCACGGGCATGACCACGGTCATCAGCAGTATATCGAGAGCGTACTGCCGGCTCTGGCGTTCTCTCGACTCCGGCGTCTCCACGCCAGGTGATGCGAAGTTGATGGCTGGCTGAGGAAGCCGAAAGCTCAGCGCCTGCCATGCCAGTGGGTAATGCTGCAGGAACGAGCGCAGAAAAGGACTTGTGTGATACAGGTCGAGGATGGAGCTGGTGGGCAGCTGGGCGAGGAGGCTCTCGAGGACGGGCGGATGCGCGGCAAGGACGCGTTCAAAGGTCGACAGTCGCCGGTCCTTGGTGATGGCGGTGGCAGCGGCGTCTGCAACAGCAGGCGTAACAGCCGTGGCTGAAGCTGTAGCCGTGACGGTGGTCGTGGTGGCAGTCGTCATGGTCGTAGCCGGGACAGCGGAAGTTGCGAAGGCGGAAGACGGAAACGGCGGCGACGATGTGGTATTCCCGAAGTGCACCGCTCCTGCTCCATTTGTGTGCTCGCCGTGTCCGCCCTGGGAGGTCCAGGAGGGCGACACCTCGGCCATGACCGTGTGCAAACCCCCCGTGCTTCTTCCCTCTCTCACACGCACGCACACACGCACACACGCACACGCACCCTCGCTCTGAAGATACGCTCTCACACAAGCACACACAATCACACAATCACACGACGGAGCGATCGGGTACTCTACGGGTCAATCGAAGGCGTGGAGAGCGTCTCGGCGACCGCGACGAACGCGGTATAGGTAAGCAGCCCCAGGGTGTGTTTGAACCTGCAGCGGGGAGAAATGAGGGTGTCAGGAGTCTCGTCGTTAAGAGGCGTACTCGCAGCCACACATGGTCTTGTGGCCGCCCAGATCCAGGACCGGCGAAGACGTGGAGGGTGCGTCGAGAGGAAGTTGGATGTGGGCCCAACGGAGGGCGACAGACGGGGGCACAAGACACGAGGCTGGAAGCAGCAGCGAGCAGCAGACGGATGGGGGAGGCGGAGAGAAAGGACGAGGGGGAGAAGAGAAAAGGCAGCGGCGCAATGGCAATGGCAAGGACCCAAGAACTCGGATCTGCGGTGACGGGGCTGCGGTAGCGGAGGTGGAAAAAGAGTGGAAGTGAAGGTTCGGGTCGAGTGGACGCTGATGTAGTAGCGCTGGAGGTTAGTGCCAGGTAGCGACGGAGGGAATAACGGGCGGCGCAGAACAGGCGGGCAGGGAACGACAAGGGAAGCGCAGGCCTGACGTGTCCGGCCAGCGAGGCCCAGAGTCCGCCAGACGACGAGTCGTCGGGCGGGCACGTCGGCAGCGGCCGCACGGCGCACACGGCAGCACGCCCCAGCACAGCACCGCACGCCCCAGCACTGCCCAGCATCCGCCCAGGCGGTGTAAGGAACAGGCGGCACGCACTCCACCGCGAGTCACGATGACCGCAACGAACCAACGCCTCGACCGGCTGCCCTGGCCGAACACGTCCAACGTTTCGCGTGCGCGCTGGCCGGCTCGCCTTCCTGCGCTGTTCTGTGCTGTGCTCTGACCTGATCGCATCTGCTCTGCTCTGCGCTGCTCTGCTCCCGGCCCGGCTGTCCTGCAGAGCGCAGCATGAACCGCCCTGGCCAGCAACTGGGCAAGTGGTGCGAAATCCACCGCAGCACATGCGACCCGCCGTACGCTGGAACCACGACGGTCCAGCCGCCCGGCTTCGTCTGTGTGCTGGTGCCGTTGCAGGTGCAGGTCGTGGCCGTTGCGGGTGGTGGATTCAAGTCGACTTGCACAAGCTGGTGCTAGGACCTGCTCCGGCCAAAGCGCAGTTCGGTTCGCGACCAGCAGCAGCCAGCAGCCAGCAGCCAGCACTCCGTAGTCAACAGCCAGCAGCAAGCAGCCGGCGGTCAGCCACCGCCTGATTGATACCAACCCACGTCGAGTAGTTTTTTCACAGGTGTAGCCCTTCATCCGCCGCAGCAGCAAGGTAGTGGCTCGTCCCGCCAGCGGACAAGCAAAGCCGTCCCTGTGCCTCCATACAGTCCGAACACCCTCGCCGTCAAGTCTGCCAACCCACGCCCACGATCAGCGGTGTCCTCCCTCAGCCTTTCTCCGTCCTCCTCTCTTCATACGCCACTTTTCCTGCTGGCCTAGAACCCCCACTGGTTGTTTCTCTCTGTGTCCATCTTGTGGCCTGCATGTTCTGACTGTCCGCACGGAGAGCTCGTACCGCCATCCGGTCCTAGACTCCCCTCCTTCGTCTGTCGAAACCGACACACGCCCACCTACACGCCTCGTACCCAATGCCACCTGTCTGCATGCTGCTCGCCCAAATCGTCCACTCCAAAGTTACTCAAACGTGCGTGCTAGCCCAGATTGACCCCACCGCCGGACGGAAGCGGGAGGGCCGAGTAAAAGAAGAAGAAGAAAAAAAAAAAAAAAAAGAAAAGAAAAGAAAACATACCCGAAGAGAATTGCGAAGAAGAAAAAGACACAAAAAAAACTGAAAAGAAAAGAAATAAAGAAGAGCTCACAAACGTCGTTTTCATTCAACCGCACTACAAAGTTAGAGACACCCCCGTGCTTACGTTTTCCCTCGCCATTTTCTTTCCTTTTGTCTCCCACCACCCGGCACACCTTTTCAGTCCTCGCGCTCATGACTGCTGCTACCCCAAGTCAACCTCGCTCTTTTGACCCAATGATCGTCCGCCCGGGCAGCAGTAAGAGAGTAGTGGGAGCGCTTCGATCGTCACGAGGTCGAACGTGCAGACAAAGCTGGCGACAAGAGCAAACCACTTGACGTTAGCACATCAGAAATTGGCCCCCCCAAGCAGGTTGGGCGGACGCCGCTGCAGCCGCGCCCGCACTCTAGAAAAGATGCCCCAAAAAGAAAGGGAAGGGAAAAAAAAAACTTCCGAAACGGATCGTGCTCGTCGGATCGCTGAGCGCGACTTCGGGCAGTGGTGCGTATGTTGGTTGCTTCGTTTCTGCTGCTACGACTACCTCTGCGCCGATGGCTCTTCCTGCTGGTCCGCAGGCGTTCCTCCCGTCTTGTACGACGTTGCGCAAAGTGAAGACGCAACGGACAAGCCGGCATATGGATGAGCCAGCTCATTATGGAGGGGGAAAAAAAAGGAAATAAAGGTAAGGGTCGACTCGAACGGTGTGTGGACTGGCGTCTGTGACGCTGGGGCGCTGCACTTGCGTCCCCATTTGCTCACGTACTCACGTTGTCTGCATCCGCCAGGTCAATAAGGCTCGAGACGGAGGCGTCTCGTAAGCTTTCGGCGGCAAGGTCAAAGAACACACTTCATGCTTCCCACGTAGACTCTATGCAAGATCTTCATCATGCCCGCGTCGACGAATCCGGACATTCGTGCCTGATTTTTCTTCGTCTTTTCTGAGCCGAGATGTCGGATTTGAAAAGGGACACCGATGAAGGGGGAAGCCTGCACAAGGCATAATGATAACGACAAGCATAATCAACAATACTGTAATAATCATAAAAGCGTTCATCCTCGGGTTCTGCCCGCAGCTAGAAATGCGCACACCCCCCGGATTGGGGGGACTATGCCAACATGCACTTGCACACGCACACACGCACGCCCAGCCCGTACATTCCCGTCTTCGAACTGGGACCGCTGCTTGAGGCACGTACACTACTCGTCCTGCGGGCTGGGGCGGGAATCTTTGATGTGCTGCTTCAATCAGCACACGACCCTGTCGTCGAGGTCGACGCTCCGCCTTTTTTTTTTTTTTTTGAGCTCATCATTTCTGCAAGGCACGGGAACCAACGCCTTGGGTCCCGTCCGTCTCGTTCGGGCGGTTCCCCCGCCTGCAGCAGCGCTCGCCGCCCGATTCGATCATCGTACATCGTCAAGCAGTCAGCCTAGGACGGATCGACAAGATTCTTGACTTTCTCTGTCGAGGCCTTTTCGCCCTTTTCTTCTTTCCACTTCGACCGATTCTCTCCCGTAGGAGTTGCTCGCTCGATTCTGCACGCGTCTTCACGGCTAGGGTGTGCAGGATGGGGCATGTGATTGTGTGATGTTAGAGCAGCCAAAGGCTGCGTCCGCCCATTCTGCTACGTCCCAACCGTCCTGATGAAGAAGCCTATGCTTCGACCAGAGACGGCCGACAGTCGCTCCCGATCCAGAGAAAGCATCGAAGGAAATGAGCTGAACGCACATATTGCCCAAAACTCATGGCGGTAATGTCACACGAGTGCGTGCAGCCTTACTCTGAGACCGCGGATAATGACGGTGCAATTTCAGATGCGTCCCTCTTGAGAGATCCGACAGCTTTGAATGGCAACCTGCATGTTGAAAGAGTGCTGGTCTGGTTTGATCTCAGCGTTCACCATTGCTAGCCATGAGAACGAAAGTGACTTGCGGAAAAGGGCTGTCCACATCCAACGTCCGCTTTCCTACGCGGTCGTTCTCTGGTTTTTTGAATTTGATCGCGTCATGCAAGCAACACAGTAATCATTCGGCAGATGGAACTTCCTATACGTATGCTCCACGCACCACAGAGCCGAGTAGGGAATCATCGTCAACGTGGAACAAACCATTAGCGCAGGCGAGCCGGCGCCGAGAGCGTGGGAAATGACAAGCTGAGCCACATCACGCGCCACACCCGACCGTCCGATGCTGCACCGCAACCCATCCAGCTTTGTTGTACGTACGGAGAGCTCCAAAGCTGATCTATTGCGCCCGACGGTCGGCCAGGATATGCACAGCGTCATCTTACCGCCGGCTCTCGCATTCACGGTCTCTCTTTGGCATCTCATCTCTGCAAATGTATGACACCCACCTTCGCTAGCCAAACAGCCGGGCTGTAAACACCAGACAACACTCCGTTCTCCATGGGAGTCTGTCTCTCTTGTCTGGGCCTCGCCAGGCGAGAGTCTACGTCCGACGTAAGCAACCCCCCTCTTCCCCTTGCCTGTTTTTGTCGCTGCGAAATGGCAGCCCATGCTGACGGAGAGAATCGTGTTACTTCTGCAGCCATCGGACACGCACCCGCTCTTGAACGAACCGTACCCGCCCAACCATTATGGCGCCGTTGGCGACAACGCCCGGAGCAGCCCGCAGGTTGATCCAGAGGAGATAAAGAGGCAGCGCGACGCCTTGGAGCGCCTCTGCACCTCGACGTCCGAGTACGCAATGGCTCACAGCCCTTCCCCTTCTTCCGCTACACCTTCACCTTCGCTAACAGGCATGCGACGTCCAGCAAGCTGATCGACGTCACGCAAACGACCCGATCGGACGAGGGCAGGACCGCCCCGCCCAAGGTGCCGACAGACTACCCGCGGCTCTTCGCCGAGCAGTTCGGCGGGCCGCTGGCGGACCCCGAAAACGAAGACGACGTCGACACGTTGCGGAATATCCTGCGCAAGCAGGCCAAGGACCTCGCTACGTGGAATAAACCATCCAACCTGGGCTCACTGAGCATCCAGTTCGACGACCTGATGGGCGCTCAGCTGCCCTCCGTCAGCTCAAAGGGCAAGCTTGCCGTTGCATGAGTCCTCGCAGAGGCTCAGATAGCATTTTTTTTTTTTCGTTTGATGCAGACGTCCTGATCCCTCTCTCGATCCTTGAAGGCTCATTTCCTTTCTCCTCTTTCCCGCCCTCTCCCTCTTGATCTCTCTCACTTCCTCCTTAGTTGTCCGCACCTGGCTTCAAATGCTTGCGTGCACCTGCATGTAATATAGCTAATACCCCAAACCCCTCCCTCCTCCCTCCCTCGCCCCTCCCTCCTGCTCCCCAAAAGGCGCGGTTGGGCGCGATTTCTCCCTTTTTCGTCTTTTTATTCGCCCCTGCGGGCTGCTTCGTGTTGGACTATGTGGGCATTCTGTACGGCGTTGGAATGAGCGGTGGGTACGAATGGCGACATTTCGATGGAGCCACGGCATGGCTATGAGAACTGGGAATGTAGTTCGGCAGTCCGGGTCTGATGCCCGGGATCTGGTGATGCAACATGGTTTAGGAACAGTTGGATTGACGGGCTCTCGTCCCGCGTGGAAGACTTGCCGCCCTGGATAGCAGAGGTCACTTCTGAAATCCGATTTCTTCTGCGCCGCTTCAATTTTCAGTTCGACCTGAGAAAGTTCCAAAAAAAAAAATATTTGCAAAGTTGATAACATATGTGAAGTCGCCGTTTTCAGCGGAATGGATTAATTGCTCGTACTCGGATATCTGTCTTGCTCTTTACTTTTAAAAGTACTTCCAATTCTTCCCAGTTTGAGCCCGCCATCGCCATGTCGAGCCCGATCGTATCATTGCACCAAAAAGAAAAAAAAAACACCATTGACCAAAACGTGAATCGAAGCACTTTCCAATACGATCACATTCAATCCGTCATATCCATACACAATCGTCGCAAATCCAAGCTTTCCAACTCGCGGACTGCTGGGCGAGACAGGGGGAAAGAAAAAAAAAAGAGGAAGGAGGGGTTGCAAAGGTCCTTGTGAAGTAAAAGTCGAGCAAGCCTCCGCAAGGCCGATCGAAGTTCGGATGCGCGTCGGCAGTTCAAGGCCGCTCTTCAGTCGCGGAAGCCTCTCGTTGCACCGCTGTAGCTCGTGTCGTATTCGAACTGGCCCTGCGGCACGCTGTACCCGGACTTGGACACGGCCGGCATCTCCTGGCCGTTGTACCCGGCCATCTCGTGGTCGGCATCGTCGGCTTCGGGGTGCTTGACGTCGCGGTGGTGGTCACCGGCGCCGCTGCTCATGTTTTGATACTTGCCCAGGCGGTTGGCCTGGCGGAAGACGTAGACGTCGAGCAGAAGCGCGAGGAGCGTGGAGATGCTAAAGGAAGGCGCAGACGGCGGTCAGCATGCGGCTCGAGCAGTAATTTCAAATAAAGGAGAGACGGAAGGAAGGAGCTCCCGACGTGAGGGGCGTCGCGGCGCCAAGGGAGGAAGGCACCGGCGTCACCGTCGGGGCTTGGGGCTACGTACAATCCCAGCGCGGCGAAGGCGTACAAAGCCTTGTATGTCCGGCACACCATGCGCCCGTTCTCGTCCTTGCCGATGACGTTCTCGGCGTCGCACGAGTGGAACAGCGTCTTGCTAGCCCACCAGCTCAGCATGCCGAACCCGGCCGCCCACAGCGCAAACAGGCCGCTGTTGACGGTGAGATTGAAGCGCGGGTTCAAGCCCGTGAAGAAGTGCAGGACGATGGTGAGCGCAAGTGCGGCTATGGTGAACATCGACGCGGCACAGAACTGCGGGGGGCCATGCCCTCGTTAGCCTCGTTCCCTGGACGGCACGTCTGCTCAAGAGAAAGGGGGACCAAAAAAAAGAGGAAGATAAAAAGAAAGAGGGCCAGGCCCAGGTCGCACATACGAAGATAAAGGTCCACGGCGTCTTCCAGTTGTCGTGTGTTAGGTGGTAGATAAAGAACGTCATGATGCCGCCGACGATGAGCGACGAGACCAGCTGCGCGCATCGCAAGCCGTGGAAAGGCACCTTTGGATACTTTGATGGCGCGACCTTCGTCCTCGCTCCGCGGACGCCGAACGCCATCCTCGACAGCAAAGCGCGGCCTGATACCTCCTATTCACGCCCGAACACAGAGGTGGGTTCTATAGCCCTGGCGATCTCTTTCTCCAGTTCTCGGATTCCTGGAAGCAGGTGCCGCGGAAAGACTGCAGAGGCGTTGAACGAGCGACAGCGGCGAGCGTGGATGACACTGCGGGTGGAGGGAGCTCAGCGGAGTGGTTGAAGAGGGACGGCGGAGACGTCAAAGAGGTCACTGCAAGATGGTAGTGCTCTCAACTTTGGCGCAGAAGATGGAGCAGACCCTTAGGAATCGGGCCAAGAAGGAGAGAGCCGCGTTTTGGAGCTGCAGAGCATTCCGTACTGGTTGGGCTGCGCCATGTGCAAGCATAAGGCAATAGTCGAGCGCCAGCTGTGCCTATTTACAGGGGATTGGGCGTTTGACTGTGGCGCCAATGCATTCGCTGAGTTTGGCCAGAGCAGCATGTTCGCGACGCTGGAAACCAAACCCCCTCGAGTCTGTTCTGCTTCTGGTACGACAAGACAATCAAAAATCAAGGAGCACAAGAACGATGTAACGGGCTGGTTCGTTGTCGTTGTGCTCGTTCTTCCTCTCGCTCCCTCCTCGTAAAGACTTCAAACACTCATCACAATGACACGCTTACCGCTGCCCGAGGTCTGGCAATCATGGTCACACATGAAAACACATGCCACGGCGTTCGGCCACGGTTCACACGTTCATCAAATAATTGCTTCTAGAAGGACGAATGAGCTGGGATGCTCGACCGGCTGGTATGTCTCTTCACTGGAGGCGTGCGCAACAATGCGTGTCGGTCACCTGGAAGGTGCCGAACGCCAACAGAGAGCAGAGCTGCTGACGGCCCGGTGCCGACTCTGAATTCTCTCCTGAAAAGTATGGATGAACTTTATCGCGACGACAACTCTGCATGAACAGAACTGCTGACCCGTCTTCGTTCTCTCATGACTGACACGCCCCGAGAACTGACACCCCAGATTCCTCATTCCTGCGGGATCCGGGATCCCACCAATCCTCATTGTCATCCCTGTCACGTGATATTGCCTCAGCCTTGAACCATTGATTTCAAGAAGCTGTTGCTCTTTTAGCAACGCGATTTTGCGTTCATTTCACGCAGTTGCTTTCGATCCACTTGTCGCATAGAGCGCCCCGGGATGCGAGTCACACTCGTCAGAGGGTGGATTGAAGGCACGTCTGTACGATGAGCCACCTGCTAGTGCGGCTGAACGTAATTCCGAGCCGTCATATTTTCTTCTTCGTGTTTATTTTTTGTCGGCCTTGATGGTGATCTAGATCAACGAGATGTTAGGCGAAGCTTACAAAGCGAAAGTACAGACCAGAAACTTTACACCAGCACTGAAGGGAAAGTTGATTTGAGTTTCTCGGTTCTCAGACCGATCATGGGATTCCTTAATTTTCACTTCATTATATCTTCGGATCATTATGTACATTTTCATGTCGTCTTGTTTTTTCCTCATATACATGTTTGAGTCTTCACGGCAAGCTATGCGGTGACGGCTGGTCCGGCTTTAGGTCCCCGACGTCTCAGCATCTCCAGCCTGCTCTTTGGCTGCTCCACCTCGCGCTTCTTCGATGGAGTAACGTCGAAGTCGGCGGGTCCAAAATCAGGCTTGCCACCAAGTGTGCCAAAAATGTCGCCAATGTAGTTTGGCGCAGGTAATCCAGCCTTGAAGACAGAGTCCCACTCACTGATGATGCCTTGGACAATGGGTAGACCTGCGAGGTACAAGTTCTTGATAGCTGGTAGGAACGAGCCTTGTGTCGAGTAGAACAGGTTAAATGCCGCTGACTCGCCCGGGTACTGCGGAATGTGTGAGCACGAAGAGAGCCTCCATTGGCTTCTTTTCCCAAAAACTCACCTCACGGTCAAAGTCAGAAGCCGTGCGCATCACAAGAACGCGCGCAAAATCCACCAGCCCGGCTGCCGCTGTGCGAACGAGAACTTCAAGCGTCGCATTGTCCTCCTGGGCCGTGCTGCAGTACACGCCAGATCCATTGGTGAACAGCTTGGTCGTGTTTCCAAACGCCTCACCAAGCAGCCTGCCGCTGTAGTAGACGTCGCTGGTCGCGACATCGCACTTGTACACGCCAGGCGGAGCGGCTCCAGCGGCATAAATGTCCGCCGAAGCGTAGTTCGCACGATATGCAATGGCCTCGTCGCTGTCGTTCAGAGCCACCTTGCTAGCGACCTGGTACGCATAGTCTTGCAGAGCCTCGTTCAGTTCAAACACCTCTGTTCCATATATGGACGTTGGGTACTCGTCGGGCTTGTCCACGCCGAAGGGTACATAGCCAGTCGTGTAGTTAGCTGGGAGCTCTCGGATATCGATTTCGTACTGCAGAGCCACCTGGACAGCGTACTTGGCGAACGTAACAGAGCAGATGGTAGCAACTTCCGGATTGATGCCGGCAATGCCGGCGACCATGAAGTACGTGTTTGTCAAGTTGAACTTTGGTGACAGCACGACCGACATCACCGTCGAAGCGGCATTGATTTCTGCCAAGGGATGAGTACATTCTCTTGGCAAAGCGCGTGCAATTTGCACCACATACCGCTTTCGCCTGTGGTGAACTGACAGATTTCTCCGTCGGCCGTGCAATGAACTTGCGGAAACAGTGGCGACAAACCAGGCAACGTGATGTTCTGAGCAAGAACATCGAATTCTGGAATTCCGTACCATCTAGAATACAAGAATTAGTCCAAGACTCATCCGCCGTAGAGTGATCAAGACGCTGGCCGGTGCGGTCACGCGAGCATTCTTCCTGTCGTCTCGTGCCAATGGTCACTGGCGACGGTTGGAAGCTATGCCACTAGATGTCCTTCGGTGTACTGCGTAATGTTACGTACACGGCGGCTTCTGGATCAAACATCGATATGATCATCACCTTGGGTGAGATCTTTTCGTTGTCCCATCGCTTGACAAATTCTGTGTTGCCAAAGAGATCCTTCCTTTCGAGAGGAGGCGTTCTCCGCTCTGTGGCTGGAGAGGCATTCGCAAATGAGGCTGCCGCCGCCGACAACGCAGCAATCGAAGAGCCAAACTTCATGATGGCTATAGGCAGTTGACCAAGAAAGGATGGAGGCAAGGTTGGAAGACAGCAACCAAAGCGCGATACTTTTTGATCCCCTCTGGCCTTCTCGCAGAGAGGCTCTCTTAAAGCTTCACAGCTCCACGGTGGTTCTAACTGATTACGGATCGCATCGCGGGATAAACATGGCCTGGTGCCTGCATCGCGAGCATATACTTGCCCAAGACATTCTAGTCAGCCACCAGTGCTTGCTTTGTGGAGGAACTGAAGATCTGCAGTCACGTCTACATGGCGGACTAAAGACGTAGGCTTGACCCGGCATTCCGTCCACGCCGTCCGAAGGTGCGATAGATAACGAGGTCGTATGAACATGGCATCGGAGCCAAGCGATCACCAATGACGACAGCGAAACTGTGAGCGGGACTTGGGTTGGGAGCGTATGTTTGCAGCCTAGTTCGAGCGCTCGCCCTCCGCAAGGTGCAACCCTTGCTTGATTCGTACCGAAGATGTCGAACCGGCGAGGTGGTGCTTCCACTTGGGCGGGATCTTATCTTGCCAACGACGCGTCCGTCGTTGGCAGGGGCGGCGTCAACAAGCTCGTGCCTATTCTGCTCTTGGTAATCTTGAGCCAGGAAGCAAAGAATCATGCGCATTAGCGCCCAGAAGTAGCCAATTCTTGTGCTTCCTTTTTGAATATGCGTCCGACGACCCGGCTGATCTGCCCGCGATTCTTCAGGCGGGCACAAAAAGTGGAGCTTGGTGAAGAGGCGCCACTGAGGTAATCCTTGCTTGACGATTTTTGATGTGCGGCGCGGTCCGATCTCAGTCTACGAGCTCTTATCGGCGTATGGCACCTGCGATTTTGCAATGAATGAGTAATAACTGCATTCGCACATCTGGACACGTTGAAAGAGAACATTTCACCCCAGCCCTTGGAATTTTTTTTTCTCTTGGGCAACCCCCTCGAAAGTTTTGCCCATCCCGCTCTTCGATTTCGTCGCACTCTTCCACGGCAGGGGGCGGAGCGGATCTCCATACTTTGACTTTTTCCAGATCATACGTCGACCAACTTGGCACGTTGCGCCTACAGACGACATCAGCTCGGGAGTTTCCCAACCCAAAATGCGCCGGTAATCGAAAGGAAGTCCGCATGAGCGCATGGTGTCCAAGGTGAAATGATCTTTACGGCAGAGAGATCCTGTGATATGAAATCTTGTTCCTTATGATCGGCGTTGCAGCTAGGCGTTCGTCCACGTTAAAGAAGTATATAGCTGAAGTCTCAACAAAACTTGTCTAGTTTCTTGACGACGGTACGACGGCCGAATGAGGTGGTACATCACGGCCTTTTTTTTCATTTTTCAGCCTATGTGTGAATTGGTCATCAACTCTGTTCTACGCGTTTGTCAGAAGACGACGCAAATGCTCCAGGACGAGCGCAATTCTTGTTTGAAAACAGCAGACCATGAGTCGGAGCTTGAGAAAGCCAGAAAAGGCCCAAGCATAGCTACAGACGTTGCAAAACCTACGAGGGGTGGAAGAAAAAGAACCGCATTCGACTTTTTTGCTGCCAACGACGCAACCGCCGTGTAGCTGAGGTTTGCTTCATCCTTTCAAAGCCTGCCATATCAGCCGTCCTTCTCGGTCGGGCAAACTGCACGAGGATACTGGGCTTAGTTCCCGGCTCCTCGTTGCAAAAGACTTTGCTCCGCTACGCGCAACATCAGTACGGATCGTTGCTAGAGTGCAGCCCGGCGAGTCTACGGCTCGGGATGTCTGGCAGGCTGGTTTTTCGAGCAGCATTTTTCCGACACCGAGCATCCGTCAATTGACCAAGCGGGCTGGACGCGGGATCGCATCGGGGCGTGGTTGTCGCAATCTCGTCGAGGCGATGTTTTGAACTAGCCACAAACGCGGATCCCCTGCACCCGTCAACCACCAAAACAACACAGTCCGAGTGGTCCAGCCTTACAACGCATAAGGGGACCAGCCAACCAACTCCAACCACCCGCTTTCTCGCATGCACCACCAACGCAACTCCGTCATCCGCAACCGCCATCGCTACCGCTGAACCCCGCTCGCTCTTCATGTCATCAGTCACGAATTACGACCGCTACGACTGTCCACACGTGTCCTATCGCGCCGTAAGACCTGCCGCTGGCACCTCGTAAACAATGTCTCGTCACGGTCGTCACTCGGGTCGCCACTTCCTCGAGGGCCTGGGAGTCGGTGCCATCTCCATCGGCGGCGCTGCAGCGGCCATCGGCGCGACCTACAAGTTTTCCGAGTTCTTGGTCAAGTGCAAGAGGCTGTTCGAAGTGCGCAGCGAGAATGAAGTCTTTGTGCGTCTCGTCGAGAGCGTCCAGGCCGACCTGGCCGAGCTGGATCGCCTGCTCGCGCTGAAGGAGGTCAAGGAGGCGCTGCGGCATAACAAAGGCAAGACGCTGTGGATCCAGACCAAGGTGCGCGACGTGAACCAGGCCATCGGCTCCATGAAGAAGTACACCCGCAAGGTCGCCAACGCGGGCTGGTGGCTCGGCATCAGGACGAGGATCTGGTGGGTCTTGCACGAGTACGAGAAGCTCATGCATCGCGAGATGGAGTTGGCCTCGGCGAGGGAGGGCGTCCTCGCCGCAATCGAGTACCTGAGTCAGTTCGAAAAGAACCCCGAGAAGGCCAAAGCCGAGAGCACGCAGCGGCAGGCCACCACCACTACCAAGAAGATCGACGTCGACGTGGATGTTGAGCGTCGCCGCGAGGGCACACGCGTGATCGAGCTGGACTACGAAGGACGCCCGAAGCGCGATCAGAGAGAGTACGAGTATTTCGAGGAGGAAGTCGAGCTCGAGCGTCCGCGCCGCCGAAATTTCGCCCGCGAGGGCTTTTATGACGGTAGACTTGACGGTCCGCTGTCTACGCGCCCAAGCTGGTGGACACAGAAGTACGGAGAGCCGCGCGACGAGGTGAGTGTCTGATTTTCCCCAACCGACACTATGTCCCAACAGACGCGTTTTGCTAACCCGGCCGCACCAGTATGTCGAGCGCAGAGTTGTCGAAGAGAAGATCGAGACGGACATGCCATTGCGCGTGCATTGGCCGTCCTCCAAGCTGTGAACGGCACATCCTACCTGAATGAGAAAGAAGGGAATACAATCTTGTCAAAGAAGTACAGTGGATGCATGTCAAATTTTACCGTATACACTCCTTTCGCCCATTTTGGTCGTCGCTCTGTGTCGATACCCTCGTCTTTCCTGTTCTGGCCCCCGCTCTCCCCAGTGCCCGCTGCTGCTTGTTTCTTGCTTTGTCGATTCTTAGCTAGCAAATCGTCATGCAGATATGTCTCACTTCACTCGGCTTCCCCTTTCCTCTACTGAACGCAGACTCGCTTGAAACAGAGTCTTTGGCAGTCAAGCAACAGTCCAGGGCCGTGGCGCTCAAGTGCGAAAATGCCACCCATCGCCCATTCCGATCGCTTTTTTTGTTTTTTTTTTTGCTTTTTTTTGCTACAGTCCTCAGTATACGTGGGCTGTTGCTGACGATCTCACATGAGCACTATATTACCGTTACTCTTCCCAGCTGGCCTCCCACAGTCGCCCTAATCGCCATTTGACCATAGCCTTGTGCCGTCCTATGACTGACAACCCTTTAAAACGCTGCGACACCTACTTATACATGAATATGTTGCATAGCCGCTTGACCAGACAGCAAACAGGCCCCGGCGGTTTCCCAATCAACGTCTCTCGCGTACACCAAGTCCGTTGTCTCTTCGCGTGCGCGGTGCCCCACCGAGGCCGAAGAAGAACAGCGAAAGATCAACCCGATAGGAAAAGAAAAAAAAAGCTGCTAAAAATATATCTTGGTCATATTAGGCACGCACTCTGCTGAGTTGGAAACTCCGACATATTGGGAACGGGCCGGGAAGTGAACCAGTGCTTACGGCAAAGATCTGCTTCCTTCAACGTCACGTGTGGTTGTCCTGGCAGAAACTACACGCGCAACATACTCTGGCTTACCTGTTGACTCCTGGGCATCAATTGCGCGCCGCTTGTTGAGATATACCATTTATTCGAAAATCAATCGCCTGAAATCACGCTGCCGGGTCTTACTCTCCTGCAGCTCGACTTCCCGGCACCAAATTCCTTTGCTTCGCGCCCCAATGATCAGGATGGAGGCAGCTCCAAAGACCATGACGGGAGGCTGCCTCTGCGGAGCGATTCGATACACGGTCACGGGCGAGCCCATGTTCTCGTGCATCTGCTATTGCAACGACTGCCAGAAGGTGACCGGGTCCGCGTTCGTCGCCATCCTAGGCTTCACGGCAGCAAACTTCAAGATCGCGGACGTGGATCGGGCCGTCGAGCACGTTGGCCTCAACCACGCCAAGTCCTACAAGGGCACGGACAAGACGCAGAGCTTCTGCAAGCAGTGCGGCAGCGTCGTCTTTGGCGGCGAGTACGGGAAGCTCCCGTGGCACACGGTGTACAGGGGCACGCTCGACGAGCAGTTCCGTGACGAGCACCCGCCGACGGTCGCCATGTTCGTGAGGGACAGACCTGAGTGGGCCAAGATCGAAGGGCTGCAGGAGTTTGAGAAAATGCCGCCTCAGGAGTGAGGATAAACATGTGGGGAAAAGAAAAGGAAAGAGGACGACAACCAAGTTGAGGGAGATGGAGTGTGAGCGATTTGTGGCGAGCCAATAAGTCGCTGGAGTAGTGAGCAGCAGGAAGAGAAGAAGAACGTTGATTCACGCAGTAAACTTAGGCATTTGAAAGTCGAAAATTGGATCCGTCACGCCCCTGGTGACCGATACTTCCGGATCGCATCCCACACTTTTCAAAACGTTGCGACGAAGCATTTCTAATCCCTCCTCCTGCCTTTACCCGTTCTGATTCGGCTTTTTCAACTTGTACGTGACAATGGGTCGCTTGATCCGCCGAGTTGAAAAGGCTGTCCCGCCGTCGACAAAAGCGCTCACAAACTCGCACGGCAAGATTTTTTTTTGTTCGTTAGTCAACATCGAGCGGCTTTGACCCCACGGGTATCAATACGCCGAACAGCGGAGTAATTCGAGGAACACGACTTTAGATACGCTTTCAGAAATGAGCTGGCACGGCCACGCACCGCCACGAAGCCAACGAGTGCCCGGTCCGACTTCGGTTTGTTCGACCTTGGGGTTTTAGTTTCTGATTAGCTCGCATACAGGAACGAGAAACTCTCCGTTCGTATTTGTTTGTTCGACGGAATCCCCCCTCCTCTTGGATCGCTGTACGGATTATACGTTGCTTATTCATGGCCTAGAGCTGGTCCCCGCGAGCCCTAACTCCGTGCAAGAGCTTCAGCCCGTTTCATCTAGGGTGCGTGGAGCTGAAGAGCTCCCGACTATCGGCGAGCGAGAGTCGTGCGAAAGGCCAGTACCCCAGCAAACAAGTCTCCGCTGGGGCTGCTTAGTGACGTACGGGCCCAACTTCAATAGCGCTTAAAGGCGGGCCCCCTAGGAGACGTCGGTACTCTCATTGCTGGATTCCGCGGCATCGCTCGCTGTACGTGACAAAACGCTCGGCGTGGAGTAGCAACAGCGTTCAGCGCTCCTGAAGGGTCCAGATGGATGGGTGGAATGGGACGGGAAAATAACGCCCCAATTGCCACTCTAGCCAACGTGGGACAGCTTTCTTAGAAATTGCTCATGTCTGGCCCAGCGTGTCTTCTCCCCTTGATGAGCTAATGCTGCATCACTCGTAGTAATACTGGAGCTACGTGACGTAGGATGGCTGGCAGCTCCAGACAGCGCACCCCACCACGAACGAATGAACTTCCGTAGCAACACTGTCCGTACGCACAAAACTTTTCTCTTCGCTCGCGCGTGCTACCCCTCAAACAGTGCTAGGTTGCATCTCGGCCTCAGTAGCTTCTTATACATTGTGTCGCCCCCGCGACAGCTTCTGCCGCTTCTGCTTCTTCCATCCCTCCCTCCCTCTTGCCGTCTTCTCTAGCAAAGCAATTGAGACAGTGACCCACGCCCGTCTTATCTTATCTCTCCTTCAGATAGCTTTCCCTACTTTGTATCAGGCTAACGTCTCACCATGCCTATCCCAGTGCCAAAGGGTGAATCGCTCAAAGAGCTCCTCTCCCTCAAGGGGAAGGTCGTCGTCGTTACCGGAGCGTCCGGTCCGACGGGCATTGGCACCGAAGCTGCGCGCGGCTGCGCAGAGATGGGCGCCGACGTTGCCATCACCTACAGCTCTCGGCCCGCGGGTGGCGAGAAGAACGCCAAGGAGCTGGAGGAAAAGTACGGCGTCAAGGCCAAGGCGTACAAGCTCAATGTGGGCAACTACGACGAGGTCGAAGCCACGGTACAGGCGATCATCAAGGACTTTGGCAAGATCGACGTGTTCATCGCCAACGCGGGTCGGACCAGCGACACGGACATCCTCAATGGCTCGGTCGAGGCGTGGAGGGAAGTCATCGAGACGGATCTGAACGGCGTGTTCAACTGCGCGAGGGCGGTCGGTCTGCACTTCAGGGAGAGGCAGACAGGCAGCCTAATCATCACCGCGTCCATGTCCGGCCACATTGCCAACTTCCCGCAGGAACAGGTGCGTTCTTCCATGCTCTTATTTTTTTTTTCTCAAAACAATTTCCTTGTCCTTGGCGCGAATTGCTTTGTTGGAGACTGGACAACTGATTGCGCGAGACAGACTTCGTACAACGTGGCGAAGGCCGGCTGCATCCATATGGCGCGTTCGCTCGCCAATGAGTGGCGTGACTTCGCACGCGTCAACTCCATCTCGCCCGGCTACATCGACACTGGCCTGTCCGACTTTGTGCCCAAGGAGACACAGGAACTCTGGCGCTCGATGATTCCGATGGGCCGCGACGGCAAGGCCACGGAGCTGAAGGGCGCCTACGTCCTTCTGGCCTCCGACGCCGGCTCGTACATCACCGGTGAGCAAGCACACCCCCCAGGCTAGAAGACCATTGGCAATCTTGCTAACCAAGGCGCGTGTTTCTTCCGCCTCACAGGTGCTGACATCCTCATTGACGGTGGCTACTGCACCCGATAAGCGTGCTGCACGCGTTGGAGCATGTGGTGGAACGGAAAAAGGTCTGGAGTTCGAGCCGAGCTCCCGTTGTACTCGAAAAGATGGAGTGGATCCAGTCTGCCTTTATTTGGCTCGTAGCGTCATGCAGAAGTCCAAGGACATGAATTCAATATGAGTAACACGTTGTGCGTCCGTTGAAATATCTCGCTCTTCCCAGAGCGGCATACTAAGTGGAACTCGCTACTCACGTGCGCGGTGCTGCACGCGCTGTCCGCGGCATTCAGTGCCACCCACGCTGTCTGCGGCGCCCTCGCGACAGGTCAGGCTGCGCATGTAGAACCGGTAGCGTTCACGTCGGTGAGCAAGCGATGCTGAAGCAGCATGGCCCGCACTGCCGCTGGTGCTGCGACGGCGACGGGGACGGCGACGGCGATCACGCCAAGGTCAGCACGAAAGCAACGCGGCGCGTCGCGTTCTGGCTGCGCACGGGGTCCGCGACCAACCACCGTCGTGCGCTTGGCCCGCGCTCTCCAAACCCAAAAGCTCTGGAGCTGCCCATCTCTTGCTCGTCCATCTCGTCCGTCTTTCTCGACAGCAAAACCCAATCTCAGGCCCTGCCGCGCCCCGTCCGCCTGAGCCCCTTCGTCCCGTTCACAAGATCATGGGTGCATCGTCTCTCACCTGCACTTCTCACGCGTTTTTGTTTGCATAGTTATGGCGTTTTTCAGCGAGGCGTTTTATTCTCCTCAGTCTCCCCCAGCTTCTTCGCTCTCCCCGCCAGTTGCAGGCGGCGCCAGTGGTCCAGCCAGCCGGCTGGACTTGGACGTCGAGCAGACGCTTGACGAAACCATCGACTTCCTCTCGTCCTCCGACATCGACAAGCTGCTCAGCAGCTCCCCTCGAGCCGAGACGCCCCGGAAACACAGACCACTCGACACACCTCCGTCCAGCGTCGTCACCCACAAGCTCGCCTCGTCCAACCCACCACAGAAGCGCGTCGATTTCGCGCCTTTCACGTCCACAAACTGGGGGTGGGCCGCCAACGCCGGGCCTGATGCGCACAAGGAGAACACATCCTCGCTGCTGAGGAAGCTTCAACCGTCCAAAGAACGCAGCTCCCTGCGCTCCAAATCTATTCTAAAGCCAACCAGCCGCCGCGAAAACGGCCAGGACGCCTTCGGCAGCAGCAGCAGTAGCAGCAGCCCCAATATGGCTCCCTCTTCGAGTTCGTGGCCCCAAGTTCTGGACGCAGGATTGAGGCAGCTTCGCTCCGAGGCGCCCACCACCCGTCTAGACGCGTGGCGGATGATGCAGCAGTATCTCGCCACTGCCGGGCCATCTGTGGAGAGGAGCGACGAGCTCGGCGAGAAGCACAATGCCGTCCTGTCAATTGCTCTCACTGATCTGAAGCACAGGGACAGTCAGCAGTCAGGCGGAATGCCCAACCAGCTGCCTAATTACGCCCTCAAATTCTTGGCCAGGCTCGTGCAGCTTCCGGCCGAGTTGTCCTCGTCGCTGCTGAACGACCTCGTCAGAACCACTATCGAAGAGCTCCAGCGCGAGGACATGTCTAAAAATCTTCGCAGGTGCTACATGGAGCTTCTCCACCAGCAGAACTTCGGTTCGGACGTCATGTCGAGCGCACGCGTGCGCAAACTCGTCGAAGCCATCCACAGCTCGAATAAGGTTCAGATCAGCTCGGGTATCTTGCTGGACGAGATCAAAGTATGCAGGAAGTTCGTCGATCAGGCGCCCGAAGGAATGATAGCTTCCGCGTCGAGTTGGCTGGATATCTTGTACCTCGGCGTTCAGTCGGAAGAGCTGGCCGTCTTTCGTATCGCTGTAGACGCCTTGTTCGAGGTAGGCCTCAAGCTGGGGCACCGCATCGAGGTCTCAAGGGCTTTCCAGAAGCTGCTGTCGGCAGCGGTCGGCGAAGCAACTGAACTTACCCAGCTCCAGCACCTAGAAGCGGAGATGAGGCGGAGGGCAGACTTCGCACTCGACACGACACAAGCCGGACTCATTCCGAAGCTCCTATCGGCCGTGCTCATGCTGCTTCGGGCCAAGGGCCCATCGACTGTCTTGCAGTCGCACACCAAGTCAATGCTGTCGGTGTTGCGGACGTACTTCCAGAAATCGGCAGTTTCGACGCAGTCTCTTGCTTGGACTGCGTGGAGCTGGCTGATAATCGCAGAGATGCACGGTGGAAGATGGCCCGAAGAGACTCGCGCAGCCCTGCGCCGGCCCATGGAGAAGCTCTTGATGGACTCGAGCGTCGAATACGAATTCGACAAGCAAACACCCTCCTACGTTGTCTCTACTTATCTCGTGCTGCTCTACTGCAGCTTTGCTCCCGATTCTAAACCTGGCGAGATAAAGTCAAAGTGGGACATATACGTTGCAGATGTCTTGAAATCGATGGTTCAGAGCCAAAGCAGAAGTCATGTCGGGCTGGCATGCGACATCGTATGCAGGCTGCTGTCTTCCAAGACGCCGTGGGATCCCCAAATGCTCCTACAACTGCGCAAGCCTTGGCATTCGTTGATTCTGAAGGTCGACGATCTGCCCAGAATCGATGCTGCGTGGATACGATCGAACCTGGACCCTGTGCTTCGACTGCTCGACAGGATCTTCAAGTCGCCGCAGCGAGCAGAGTATTCCGTGCCCGTGTTGAAGGCATTGCTGGACGCCTTGGCGCATGCAAGTGCCAATGAAGTCACCACGACAAGGGAGGCTAAAGAGGCGGTCGCTCGGATCACAACGTACCTGAACCATCTCTGGGCTCCGTACAGTCGCAAGACGAAGGATACTGTGCTCTTCGGCCAGCTTCTTGACGTGCTCTTTCAGGAACCTTCAACAACCCCCAGGAGCCGCATTGCCATCTTTGCAGAAAACATACTCCGAAAGGCTACGCACGGAGACCATTTCGAGGTTGCAACCACTCCATCCCACCGCTCAAACAATACCTCGCCGCCGACCTCGACGATCGCTCATTTCCTCGATCTTGCTACACAGGAGTTAGTCGGTCAACATCCTCGAACCGAGCTGAGCCAACAACCCGACGACCATGCCACTGTTCTGTACAATTTGATCAAGCAACTCGCATTCCACGTTTATGCTTCACAGCCAACACTCGTTGGCAAGATCGCCACACTCTGCAACAACATACGGCGATTGATCAGGAAGAAGAAGGACAGCGAAGGAAGTCATGTTCACGCTTACATCGATACACTGTGTCAAGACGGGCTCAGCGAAATTGAGCATCTGGTTATAGGCGCGAAAACAGATGGCCACAATGCTTCAGAGCCGCTCGAGCGTGCGTACGAACTTCTGACAAACACGATGTCCGACATTGCGTGCTACTCCACTGGTGTTTCGAATCAGCTGACTGCATGTTACCGAGCCGTTCTTGACAGGGCTCGTTCGGAACTTGGGGTGGCCGGTTCTCTGATCAGCGTCGTAGAAGCGTGCGCTCGTGGCGTCCTTCACAGACTGAATGATGAACGCGATATTAAGGTGCAACACAACACCCTGCTCGACTTCGCCGCAACAATTCTGGAAACAACACCTGTCGCGGTACCCTCACTAGAGATTCGGAAGGCAATTGAACGTTTTGGAGGTGGCCGATATCCCTCTGGAAAAAAGAAGGCTGACCATCATGAGGTGTACCAGATGGTAGATCACGTGCTCCGGATTGTCTACGAACACGTAGCTGGAGAAACTGCTACCGTCAAGTCAATAATTCATCTTATCAATGCCCTGATTCAGGCCTTGAGGAAGCAACGTACTTCGGCCATCAACCTAATTAAGGTCATGCAAGTCGGCATTGCCATCTTTGTTCGTGACAAGCACGGGAAGATCTTTGGGACCAACGCTGTGAATTTACCCTCAGGAGCAGTAAGAGTGACTAATGCACACCCGCACGAAAGATTTGCTAATACTATTCCAGTTTATTGAGCTTTGGACCACTATCTGCATCACCATCTTTGAGCACAACGACCAAAAAACCCTTACGACCTTTGATGACCTAATAGCAGCTGGTCTGACAAGCCGCTCCTCACGAATCGCCAACGAAACGGTGAACGCGTGGAATGAATTCTTCGGACTTCAGGCTGACTTGAACTACCCTGCGAAGACGGCGAAGGCGCTGAGGCAGCTGACGGCAATAGACGTTGACCTTCAGCTTGCTTCAGCTCTTCCTCAGGCAGATGAAGAGGTAATATTTTTTCAAGTGACTCATAAGAAATCACCAAAGCTAACGCCACAACAGACTCCTGATTCACCACTGATCATCGAAAGCATCGAGTCCGTTTCGGAGACAGAATCTGTTCTGGCGCCTCCGACACCGAAACCAGTGTCACAATTGTCTCGGCCGTCAACATCTCCAATGCCAGCCGCTTTGCGAGCTCGCCGAGTCACAAGTACGACACCCAGAGGAAAGCCGAAGCCCCGTCATGAAGACTCTCAAATCCAGTTCGAGCCAATTCCTTCATCGCCATTGCCACAGCCCGATCCAAGCACGCTTACGGAACGGCAGAAGGAAGTTGCCGAACGTCAACGGCATGGCGAAGGAGCGCTTTTCGCAAATATTTCGAGCCCTGCTCCACCAAATCGTACGAGACACGTCAGCGTAGATCTTCCTGATGAGGATGAAATCATTCCCACGCCATCAACCCCTGTGTTGGCTGCAAACATGGATGACGCGATCCCAAGTTCGTCGCCTGTAGTGGCATCGGTGAAGCGTAGAGAACGTAGCGCTCGTCGTTTGCCCCCTGCTGGAGTCGAATTCAATAATACACTCGCAACTTCACAAGACGACCTTCCTTCTTCCCCGCCAGCATTGATCGAAGAGACGTTGGTGACACGCTTGCATAGTTCTGCTACCCCTTCGCTTAGAAATGATAATGCCGAACACCTCCGGCGCAAACGTGACAACCTGATTATGGGCCTTCGAAAGTTGCAGTCGATCCAAAACAGACCTCTAGAATCCCTTTCCACCACCACCATATCTACGGTGGAAGATGCCCCATCGTTGATGAAGCAGACGCATTCTCAACACGGCGAAATTGAACACAGCATTCCCTCAACAGCACCCGAGGACACGGAATCCTCCAATAGCATACGAGGACATACAATAAAGTTGACGGAGTCGAATGAGACTCGTGTTGAAGACTCTTTCATCGGCCCTGACACCGAAGAATCGCGGGATGCAAATCATAAGAATGTGTCAGTTGAACAGTCGTTCGATGATAGCCAGGACATCAGCCAGCGGGAAGCCTCTTCGCCAATGGACTCGCAGCCAAGGAAACGAAAGCGAGGACGAACTGCGTTAAGCAGCACAAAGCGAAGGAGAACATCTGATTCTTTCGCCTACAACACCACAGACATTATTCGTTTCAAGCCAAAAGGAAAATTGCAGGCCATTGATGAGATGCTGCCCACGATTCGTGTCAGAATTCCTTGTGAAAATGAGTCTGAGCCTTCATACCCAGACGAAGGCACTACGTCGGAAGAACAACTCATACACTCGTCTAACACTACCAGACCGGGACGAACACGCCGCTCGAAGCCACAAGAAGCTCTCGAGCAGGAGTCAAAAGTCCGTACAGGCTCGCGCAAGCGAGGTCGTTCTTCTGCCAGATCACAAGGCTTTGATAATGACTATGACGCAAATACTAAGCGTACTAAGACATCCCCAAGAACGCCCACGAGTCGGTCACGATCAGCCAGTGTGCATTATGTTGAGGTCACACCTGGCGATGCTGAGGGTCGGGAAAACAGCATCTCCACGAGAACTGACACACCCAAAGCTGAAACGATCATATCTCGATCACAGAACAAGGCGCTTGGTGAGTCGAAAGATGGCGTTATCTCCAGAAATCATGCGGGCTTGGCCGGTCCAGCTGCCAATCGAAGCTCCACTCACGTAGAGCATATCCCACCAGTCGAAACAGACGCAACAGTGTCCGAGCAAGTTAATGAAGGTACAAAAACTCAGGTGGATGAGCCGCTGGAAGGTGAAGTTTCGGCACGAATTCCTGGGGACGAACATTTTCCTTCAGCTTCACCCACACGCGCAAACAGCCCAGTGCCCAGTGTGGCTACCTCCCTTGCCAGCAGTCAGGCCAGTCAGTCGAGTCAGATGAGCTCATTTTCTGTTTCCGCTTTTAAAGATGTGATGTCCAGGTTTGTGGAGCAAATAAAGGACTTTGTCAATGGTGGTCGTCGGCTTGCAACGGAAGAAGCGGCACAGCGGATGGCTGAGGAAGCAACTAGAACAGTGGAAAAGTTAGCAAGGAGAGCAGAGAGGAATCGATTAGACTATCCTGCCCAATAGGATGAATTAGCATATGCTGCCTCCGTTTGCCAACAATTTAATAGAATACAGTTTGCCATCGAGCTTCAATGTACAATCACATATCAGCCTATTGGTCCAACGTGCCTGCTTTCAATCTAGCTTCTTTGTTCTATTATCCCGATTAGGCCATACAGACTTGAATCCATTCGATATCTGCAGAACGCAGTCTGATCTACTAAATAGACGCAGTTACTCATGTAGAGACGTACCAGATTCTCGTAGTCAATTCAGGTCGGAATTCAGCGATTAATATCATCCATGAGCCAGAATCACGTATGCAGAAGATTCCGAGGTAAAATTGACGACTCCAGCGGATTTCTTGAATTGAGGCTTCAATTTGCCGCTCGTTATCTCACAGTTAACCTAAGCAACAACAAGAGACAGCAATCAAAACTAGCAGAGACCAAGGATTTCACCTGGAATCGCAGCTGCGCTAGCCGAACATACGACAAGAAGACTTGAGACCTAAACTCTCAGCCGCACGGGAAGAAGCTCGGAAAATTCACCGTCACGGCACACGGGTGACCTCGTCGAGATAACAGTACAGTACAGCAAGGAAACCGGATCCATACAACGCCAGTGCGGCGAAAAGCAGGCGTAAATGCCGCTGTCTCCAACTCAACACGATCGTGACAGCGGTCACAGTCCGCTTTTTTGACAGCGCTTCCCAAGGCATAAATCATCGTCGCCATCGTCCTCGTCGTGATTCCTACCAGCCGTCGAGCGGGGTCAGTCTCACTTTCAGGCCGCCCTTCGGCTTGGACGTGACGCCTCCCTGGATTTCTAGCACAAAGTCCTTTTCTGCGAACTCCATCTTGAACCGCCCGACCCAGCTCGCGAGCAGGGTGGCGAATTCGGCCTTTGCAAAGTCCTTCCCGATGCAACTGCGCGGACCGTGTAGGAAGGTCATGAAGCTGTAGTTGCTGGAAGCACCGCCGGTGTTGGCCTTGCCTGGCGCAAGCCATCGCTCGGGGTTGAATTGGTCCGCATCAGGGCCCCATTGTTCTTGGTCTACATTTACCGCCCTATTATGTTTGTCAGCAGTGAAGTTCTATACGCACGATGAGACGATGCACGTCGAGCTGTAAAGCTGACGTCGTCGCAAGGGATTAAGGATTTCCAAAAGCGCAACAAAAGTTTCAGCTCATTCAGCATGAATTGGAGAAGAAGATCGACGCACTGTGATAAGCATCAGCGAACTGTTTCAGCAAACACACGTTCAACTTGCAAAAAAAACCTACCCAGGGACACAAGACGATCACCGTGTCTTTTGGGACTCGCTGATCGAGGATCGTGGTGTCGTGAGCAGCCACACGCAGAGTAAGTGGAACCGAGGGGATAAAGCGGAACGTCTCGTTGCAGAAAGCCCAAAGGTACTGGAGCTTCTCGATGTCGCCAGACGCAATCGACACGTCGTCGGACGGGGATGGCAGGTTGCTTCTGATTTCGTTGCGTAGTCTTTCCTGCATTTCTGGGTGCTTGCACAGCAAGTACGACGCCCAGGTCATTGCAGACGCCGTTGTTTCGTGCCCAGCAGCAAGGAATGTCATCATTTGATCGACGAGGTTCTCGTCGCTGAAACCTCCGGACTCGATGGCAACGGAGAGAATGTCAATACCCTTCGCCTTGCCTTCGGCCAGTTTCGCTTTCTTCTCCGCGATCAGATCGTGACACACTCGTCGAATCAGAGTTTGTGCCTCCTCGACCTCTTGGTTCCTCCGAAGCGGAAGCCGGCGCAAGATCCAGAAGGGAACGATGATGCCGATCAACTGAAGGGCGCGAGTTGCGCCACTTGGTTGAAAGACGGTTCGGTAGCAGGCGATAAGCTCGCTCTGCGGATCCTGGATTGCATTGAAGTCATGTCCCATACCGGCCACTCCGATGCTGAAAACCACCACACAGTTAGCAACTCGGGGACCAAGTGCATAGCAATTCGGCCTCCTTTGGACGCATGGAACGCTTACATATCAAGTGTCACACGGCTAGCCCAATCACCAACCTCAAGTACTGCGGAGCCGACTTCTTTGTACTCGGCATCTGCCTTCAGTATTTCCGTCATTTTCTCGACGACTTCTCTCGCTTTCATCCAAAAGGTCGGATACAGATCCTTGATGTGCCGGAACGCAAATGCCGGCGAAAGGTTCTTCCTTTGTCTCTAGACGACGTCAGTCTTGTCATCCCACTTAAAGAATACCATGTACAGAGGGACAGACAGCTCATATAGGATAAAGACGTTGAACTAGTCATTTGAAAGAACGTAGAAAGTCCAAGACCAGCAGAGAGGAAGCACCTCATTTTTTTTTCTTTCTTAATAACATGGTCCATTGTGCAGCAAGTGGGTTGAAAAGCAGGAAAATAATCGTACCTTGTGTTCATCGCCCTCCGCGAGCAGCACACCGATTCCCAGAAGCCTTCCAAGGCCATTTCGGAACTGTTTGGGTTTGATGAATTCGTAGTTCTTTGTTACGAGAACTTCTGCCAGGGCCTTTGGAGAGGCGACGAGCACTCGCTCGCGATTGAATGCGTGTCGGTAACGCAGCAATCCATTGTTTGGAATTGTCTGCAGCCATGTTCTCGCTGGCTCTCCGCTCGGCTTGGCTAATATCTCGGAGAGATGACCCATGAACAAGGATGCATTCTGCTGATGTCAGCAAGCGCGCTCCCAAGACTAGGTTAAAGTATAACTGAGGCCAGGTTTAACAAACCTTAGGCTCTGGGAGGTGCCGGAGGGGCGACAGATAGAGAGGATACACTATAACCGTCCAAAGCCCGAAGCCAAGAAGCTGCACGCCGGACAAGAGAGCGTAGTTTGCAGAAAAGGAAGCAAAAGGTGCGTAGTCGGGCGCAACCCTAAGCAAGGCCAAGGTTCCCGCCAGGGAAGACACGGCGACGTTGGTAATTACGCCCATTGCGAAGGTCCTGTGGTGCGAGAGGGCCCAGCAACGTAGAACGACAATGAGCTCTCAAGTGCGAACTTCTGCGAACAGTATGAATTAAAGACGCGAAGCCAAATTCGACAGCGAAACCGTGTTCACACAGCGGCAAATTGAATCAATCCGACTCCGATGTGACGACGTCTTTTCGCCTGGAAGACACGAGCCAATTGACTGCTGAATCAAAACAATCCCTCCGGATCGCCTGTAGCTTAAGCTTAGCCGATCTGGTTGCCTCTGGAGAAGCGTTCGGCGCTCCCGCTAGCGACGTGGCGTGCAACCGCTGCGGCCAAAACTTGCGAATACAGAATCCGTTCTGCCGACGGTTCGACCGGGATCGCAACTGTTACCACTTCCGCTCCCAGGCCTCCCTTTGAGCTACGCCTACAAAGCCTGCGTGCTGTTTGCGGTAACTTCTGCGCGACGGCCACGACGACGGCAACACAAATCGCGGCCGTTTCTCCCCACACGCCAGGAATCTTAAAGGGCTGAAACTGGCCTCCGTCTGTCGACGTTGGGGCATGGAGGGTGAGACAATCGCTCAAATAATCTCTTGATTTTGGCTTGCTACGCTAGATCTCTACATTCTGAATCTCGCCTTTCCCCCGCTCCTTGCGTTTGGCTTCAATCTGCCAGCGTGGACTGTCCAGGGAACTCCTCCTCGCGTTTTTGCGCATCATCGGCTGCCTTGGGCTTGTCTGGAGTGTCATGCGGCCTCCAGGCCCCAAGTGGCGTCGTCCCCGCCTCCTGAGGCACAGGACTTCCCACGGCCTCCAACCACTTTGGATCGATATGTTCCACCCGAAGATATGGAGAAAGATTCTTCTTGTGGTTTTTCATGGAGTAGCCCATGCCGAGGAACGACCACATGTTTCGTTGGTTGCGGTACGTGATCTCAAAGTCCCTGTGGTTCTCGCGTTAGCAGCTGCATGCGGACGTCGGATGAAAACATACTCGTATCTGGGTTCTGCAATGACGTCCATGTAATGAAGTGACGAGCCCGGCCAAATAGCGTTCACTCTGCCCGTCTCGTTGTTCTTGTACCAGGACCGGCAATCATCCTTCCACACCGAATGTTTGATCCACTCCTGCGCGTGCTCGTTGAAAGCGTCGGTCACGTCCTGCTTCGGCACCCATGACTTTATGTCGTCCCTTTGCATCTTGTTGATGATCTGGACCAGATATTCCGACACCGCAAGTAGTGGACCAACAACTGCACCGTTCTCTACAGGCCACGTGGGTCCGATCATCATTCCGAAATTGGGCATCTCTGGAACAGCCAGACCCAGATAACCTTCAGGACAGATCTTCCACTTGTCCTGCAAATTCGTGCCGTTCTTTCCAATCACTGGGAACCTAGGCTTAAACGACACGTCGAAGCCCGTAGCACAAACAATGGTGTCGACCTTGCGCTCAATCCCGTCGCCACCGACCACGCCGTCTTCCGTAATCTTCGCAACGTGTGTAAAGTGCACGTCGACATTCGGCTCCTGGATGGCCTGCATGTACGGATCTCCGGGCGTGACGCGGCGGCAGCCGACAGCAAATTTCGGTGTGAAGCCTCGTAGTAGTCGTTCGTCCTTGATGAATTCCGCCATGCGTTTCCTAAGCATCTCCTGCGCCATCCCCTGCGCTTCGCCTTTGTCGTAGAAAATTTCCCACAGTCCGTTCACTTGATCCTCAATGTACTTGGCATGCTCGACAAGCTTTTGGGGGTTTCTGCGGAACTCGTCCTTCTCGGCCTGCGTATACTCCTTGTTCGAGCCATAGTTGTTGGCTATTTCAACAAACCATACTCCCGTGCGAACAAAGACATCGAGGTGCTTGGCGTGTTTTTGCATGCTGGGAACAGTTTGTATGCTCGAGGCTCCAGAGCCAATGACTGCAACACGGTCGTTCTTCCACTGCTCCGCTTGGTAGTCCTCCGGCCATCTTGCGGTATGGACGATTCTTCCTAGATGTTCCGTCAGAACCGCACTGATGCTTCTGCAAGTCACGTACCTTTGAAAGTATCCAGACCCTCGATGTTTGGCCACTTAAAGTCGTTCAAAACACCTGTGCCGTATATCAACAGATCACATTCATCTTCAATTTGCTCCACCGTGCCATCGCTTTTCTTCTGCTCCATCTTGACAATCCACCGGCCTTTGTCTTCATTCCATCTCGCCTCTACAACATTGGTGTTGAAAGTCATGTACTTTCTCAGTCCAAAGACTTCGCATACTTTATTCAAGTAAGCATGAATATCCTGTGCAGGTGAGAAAAATCGAGGCCATTCTGGATTCAGCGCGAAATTCAAGGTGTACGCATGACTCGGTATATCACAAGCACATCCAGGATAGCGGTTTTCCAGCCACGTTCCTCCAATGTCTGGATTTCGTTCATCTGCGACGTTTTCTCAGTACAAGCTGGTAAGTCACGGGATCTGTAACCTACAAATGACATGATCTACGTTCTTGCAGAACTTTTGGATGTTGTACGCATTCAAGATACCAGATAGACCGGCTCCAATGCTAAGAACTCTCAACCGGCGATTGTTAGGATCATCGTATGTGATGTTTGGGATGTTGTAACCAGAGCTGCCTGGCGTGGAGTAATCCCATTTTGCAGTGCCAATGGCATTGATATCAGGGGCCATACTAAATATGTGGTTTCCAAATAACAATGCTCTGGAGACAGTGAATCGGGGGAACAACTTCGCGGGGCAACGGATCAACAATATATAGAGAGCAGTCCTTGACTAGAAGTCTTCGAGTAATACTCAAAAACGATATTTCAGAACTACCTCACTCAGAATAGTATGAATCTCCGGGGGTGGGGATTCCGTTCCTCCAGCAGATGGACCAAGGGAGATACTGAATACTGGCTTGAACGTCGTGCAGAGCGTGACAGTTGGTACTTTGGAGTCAAGTGTTACATTCGAGTTTCTTCACGGGAATAAAAGACAAGAATGATACCCTTGACATCATGTATTTGTCAACCAGCTCGTCAGGCGCTTCTACTGTGCAACCCCTCTTCCAAAACCTCGGGTTATGCGCTGCTGATTCACGGATGCAACGAGCGGATGTGTACTTCAGAAACAGGCTCGGACTTGACCTTGGTTGCGAACAAGGTCCGTGTGATTCTCTTACTTCTCAGCAAAGCCCAGAGCTTCCTTTCTGGTCCTCTGTTGAACTGGTCAGTATCGTCTTTTGCCCTAGTTCGGTCATTTATCATCCCCTTCTGATCGTCACACACTCCAGATTGTGGGGTCAGACTATCATACCCCACACTGCGACGCCACAACCGAACACAGCAGGTGGCTGAGCACAAGCGACAGTCATGTCATGCGAGTCGAGTTGACACAAAAAATCTCCGAGCACGAGCGATTGTTCTCGAAAACATATAGATCGTATACACAGAATAGACAAGGAAATTTTCCTATGGCATATTCGACCGATCTTTCCGTCCTTGCAGGAGTCTGGTTTGCTATCGACGGCTGTTGATCGGCAACTAGAATTCTCAGCGCCCAAGAAGTCTTTCTGCTACAGCAACTTACCCCACTCCATAGCCTTAGCCTGCGCACAAGTGTGCTAAAACGTGTTGGCCGCGTGTGTGAAAGCGGGTCGAGGTATTGCCAGTGAACCATTAATCAAAATAGTATAACGTGGTTCATCTCACCAGGCCCATCATGCAAATCTCCCAATCCCTTAAATGCGTTAAACAACCATCACCGTCAAGCGTATTCGTAGCTGCGTTTGTGGGATTCAACCGCGCAAATATTTCATGCCTGAAAGCAGAATACCTGCTTTTTCGTAGCTAAAAGTGTCACGTGAGCAATCGCCACTCGGTCGAATGTGTTTTCATGAAAGCGAAAATTGCACTGGAGGAAAATTTCAAGGAGATAGAGCGAGCGATTATGAAACAAAGAGTCCGAAACACTCCCAAGCGTCTCCACCGATAAATTCTAGAGATATAAATTCATCTTCGCAATCAATAGCTGAAATATTGATATTTTTGTTCATGACGAGTATCCACTGGATGCATCGTATTGTCGGTCTTCTGCAAGAGTAAATATACTCGACACAGTGTGACCATTGGCCTGTTAAGATAAAGAAGATATGAATTAAGGTTTCATAGCAGTGCGAAAGCAGCTTCACACTTTGTTCCATCCTGTGTCTTATATCGAGATATCATCAGTTCCAAACGATGAGACGACAATCCAGACAAGGACATTGAATTCAAAAGGATATTTGCTCCTGGTAACTGCCGCCTTGCCTAGCCCACGACTTGTCTACTCCAACCTTCCGTGTCTGTTCAACAGACTGTGTGGAAGATCAAAGGGAAACTCAGCGTTGAATGACCTTTGCGGGGTTTTAGCACTACAAAAAACAGATCCACGCGTTATGGAGAAAGAGTTTCATCATAGGATTAGAGAATATAACGTTGAATGAGAAATGACGGAAGCTAGGGCTATAGCAGACAGCAGTCGAATGACGTTGGAAGAATTCTGGATCCTTAAGAGCATAACATTGTTGGATAAGAAGAGAAATAGCGAGAAATGGAAGTAAAAATGGGAAATCTCCAAAAATCGGAAAATATCATGCTCTTAGGCCTCGAAAATTTCAATAGCGTCTTATGACCACCTCTGGTCCCGTCGTACTTCATGCTGGGCAATGGTCACCAGTAGCAAAGATGTAATTTGCAGTGCAACCAACCTGGTGGCATTGAAGCACGAGACGTGTACTCGAAGCATCGATTTCAATTGACTAGGCTTGGGAATCGAACGGAAGACTTTTTGTTGATCTGAGGGCCGGTTGGAAATTTTTTTAAAGAAAAAAAAAATTTCCCCTCGGACGCCCGTCACGCGTCGTAGCCTTGCCGAAGGCGCCCGCGAGAGCACCAAGGGAAACCAAATCCAGGGATGGACGAGGTCAAGGAGCAAAAAAGAACCGTGTGAGCAAGGAATTGAGCCCTGCGTGGGGGTCGCTGTGGTTATATATTAACCCTCTTTGTCTCTTGAATTGTGAAAGGGAGAAACACTCACAACCCACGACCTTCAGATGACTTATTGTGTCATAAGAGTCTGACGCTCTACCGACTAAGCTAGCAAGGCCGGTTGTTGAACCCACCGCGCACCGAAATGTAATATATTTGCTCAGAGTTGTGGGTCAATCTGGCAAATTTTCCGCCAAGGCAATGCGGGAAGTACACGGGTAACGCCAAGTCATGTGATCTGGACCGGGGGCGAAGAGTCTAGGAGGCGGGACGTATGTGAAGCTCAAGCTTTTGAGCAGCTCGAATAGACGAGCGCAACGAATCAGAATGTAAGCGGCAGATGCGGTGAGATGGAGATAGGAGGAGGCGCGCTGCAAAAGGAAAATAAGTGCTGCCCCCGCAGTATAGGTCTCACGCGCCAAAACATCAATTAAGATTTCGATGACCACCCCTTTGAAGAACCTTGAAAAAGCCCGTCAATCCCACCGTCCTCAATCTCTTCAAGCTCTGTCGAGTCCATCGACGATCCTGGCTGCATCTAAATGACCTCATCCGCGATTGCATAAGTCGCTATCGGCCGCGTTTTTCAGCCTTATCGAGGCACTGGCGATAAGGGAGATCGTCAAGGATGCGCAGTCTGTCCCTGTTATTTGTCGAGACCCTCGACAGTCGCTACGCCAGCGAAGCATTCGCTGCCCTCCATCATCATGGCCGCTTCAGCTCTCCTTGGAGGAGCAGAAGTTCATGGCCAGCTTCCCCAGGTGCGTTTTCGCCGCGATCCACTGCCAGCGATGTGGTCCAGCTCCCCACGCACTCGTGGCCGAGGTCGGTGTGCAACAATACGGTCAGAAGGGTGGCATGACTGTACCTTGCTGTTACTTTGCTCGCTGGCTAGAAATTTTTTTTAAATACCGCAGCGGATCCACGTATGAGGCTGGTGGGAAAAAAAGAAATTTCGGGGCTACAGGTTTTGGTTCTGGAGCTTCTTCTGGCTTGATATAACTGCTGATACGGTCTCTTAAAAACAGTGTCCTACCGAATCCTCCCCGCCCGTTTCACCTCACACCACCATCAGGACTGGCTGAAAAGCAGCCGAACACAGCATTCTTTCGTATCTCCACAATTTCAGATACGCACCATGTCTTCCACGTCAAGTCTTAAGAGCCTGAGCATAGACAACGTCAATCCACGCATCAAGGAGGCAAAGTATGCCGTCAGAGGCTTGTTGGCAATCAAGTCGGAGGAGTACAGAGCGCAGCTGAAGAGGGGTGAGGGCAAGAATCTGCCCTTCGATACTGTCATTAGCGCCAACATTGGCAACCCTCAACAGCTGGACCAAAAGCCGATCACATTCTTCAGACAGGTCGCCAGCTTGGTGGAGAACCCACAGTTGTTGGAGCATGAAGATGTACTCACCAATTCTTTGGGATACAAGAGCGATGCAATCAATAGAGCCCGGTGGCTTCTTTCTGAGGTTCACAGTGTAGGGGCTTATTCACAGTCCATGGGAGCGCCAGGAATACGCCAGTCCGTGGCCAATTTCATCGAGAGTACGTTGTGAAATTTGTTGTCTTACCAGCACCCAAGCGCGCTGACAAAAGAGACAGGACGAGACGGCTTCCCAGCCGACCCGAGTCTGATCTACCTTTCTGCAGGTGCATCCGCTGGTGTGAATGCTATTCTATCTCTGATATGCGCGACGCCAAAGACGGGCGTCCTTGTTCCAATCCCGCAATATCCCCTGTACACCGCGACGCTCGCCGTCCTCGGCTCGACGTGTGTCCCATACTACCTTGATGAGGAGAAAGCGTGGGGGACGAACATGGAATCCATCAAGACTTCGTACCTGAATGCAAAGCAGGTCGGCATTGACACACGCGCCATCGCCATCATAAACCCGGGCAACCCAACAGGTTCGAGTCTAAAGCCAGAGGAGGTGAAAGAGGTCATCAAGTTCGCGGCCGAGGAGAAGCTAGTCGTTATTGCAGATGAAGTGTACCAGACAAACGTCTTCATTGGTGAATTCTACTCGTTTAAGAAGGGTCTGAGGGAGCTTCAAAAGGAAGAGCCTGGCAAGTATGACAACGTTGAACTTGTCAGCATGCATTCCGTGTCCAAGGGCATGGTCGGTGAGTGCGGACATCGTGGCGGCTACTACGAGCTTGTGGGGTTTGACCCCAAGGTTATCGACGAGCTGTACAAATTCGTCTCCATTCAGTTGTGCCCTCCAGTGATTGGCCAGTGCATCGTGGAATGCATGGTTAACCCTCCGGTCGAGGGGGATCCTAGCTACGAGCTGTACAAGAAAGAATACGACGGCGTGTACAACGGTCTGCGCGAACGTGCCAATGCTCTGTACAAGGCGTTCGAAGAGATGGAGGGTGTGCATTGCCAACCACCATCGGTAAGTTTGGCATTGCGTATCTCAAGGCATTACGCACTAACAAGGCTTTAGGGTTCTATGTATCTCTTCCCAACCATTACTTTGCCACAGAAGGCGATAGAGGCTGCAAAGGAAGCCGGCTACGCGCCAGATGAGTTCTACTGCCTCAAACTCCTCGATGCCACTGGCGTCTGTGTGGTTCCGGGCTCGGGCTTTGGTCAGAAGGAGGGCACCCTCCATTTCCGGACGACGTTCTTGGCACCAGGTACGGAGTGGACTGGCAGGATCGTCAAGTTTCACAAGGAATTCATGGATCAGTATCGTTAAAAGAACGGGCGTCCCGGTTGGGACACATGTTTACTCCACCATTGCGGGGATAGCGACGGTTCGAGATGAGTTCACTGCCCCATTTGTACATAGTAGACCGATGCAAACGGCCCAGCGAGGGCACATCATTGGATAGATTTACAACAATCGGACAAACTCACGACTCATCCATCTCAATATTACACAGTCTGGCATTCACGGGAAGCGAGCGTCAGAGCCGGTGCTTTGCCTTCCTTCGCCTCGCATCCGCATGGTGTCTTATAAGGCTCCTTCGTCTCCCGCCTATTCTCAGACATCGAGAAATTATCACGTGCTTCCATCAGAGGTTTTCCTTTTAGCATAGCTCTTGCAGCGTCGCCATCTCCTCTTCACATAAATTGCAAACATGCTAGCCTCAATCTCCTGCGTCCTCCTATTTTTTCTGCCTCTTGCGCGCTCGTTCCCCGCGGCGGTCACAGTGTACAACCCCACGGCGTCGCTGACCGCTCCGATGCTCATCCAACGTGAAGTGAGCGGCTCCCTCCAGTTTTACAGTCGGCCGAGTTTCGTAGGCGTCGAACGCGAGTTTTGGGTTGAGTTCGACAGGTGCAGAAACTTCCCAACCACCGTCGCAGTGGGCTCAATCAAGCTCCCCAGCTCGTTCTACAAGAACAGCATAACGTGCGTGTTTTACAATAGAAACGACTGCCCAGACGGCAAACGAGGCGTCAAGGTGTTAATCGTCACGAAAAACCTGTCGGATGTGAGAAAACAATTTTCATCGGTGATTGCGAGTGTAAAGTGCAATCAGAAACTAGTGTTGCTCAAGACGTACGCAGACTGAGCCGGGCTAGAATCCTTGCACAAGGCGAATGCGACAACTAGGGACGGGTTGGGCTCTTCTGAGCCCAGCATGGCGACTGGATGAAAGAAGTTTTTGATTGAAGCTTGAGCTGGCTATCGACGGCGCAAAATGGGTATCCTAGCAGATAGTAATATAATCACAAAAATTTTGGAAAAGGGAGGTAAAGGAGAGTTAGAGAAGAAAGAAGAAAAAAAAAAAAAACTCCCGTCCCATGCTTGAGAGGTCACCCGGTTTCCATGCACACAGGAGGACCATTCTCACATATTAGAGCTCACCTCGCTCCTTGCGCTCCTTTTCTCTCTCCTTGCCTCTCCTCAACTTCTCAAAATATACGCCAGCAGCGTAGAACACCGGGTTCGTGGCGCCGGCCGTTTCGCCTCTCATGCCTCTAAAGCGCTGCAGTTGCACGCTCTGTATCTTCTTGTCTTCGGTGTGATACTGAGCCATCAACGTCCGCAAAAACGAGGCCTGAGTTTCCTTTGTGCTCTCAAAGTATTGGTTGATGAAGACGCGGATCTGGTCGCAGTTGAGGGGGGACACGAACGAATCGGAGAGCTCGTTCTCAACCGAGATCCCGGTGATGTCTGGGATCGGGTTGAATAGCTCGTTCGGAGGGCCCGACGGCACCTGAGCGGCAGACGTGGCGCTCGAGAACGAATGTGAGATGGAAGGTCTTTGTCTCGACGGATAATCATCCGAGTCGGCACTTGATGACGAAGAGATGGACCGCCTCGGGCGCTTGGCCGATGAGATCAGTGAGGTGTGTTCATCGTCCATCTCGCCATGGGGAAACGTGCTCGCGAAATAACGCAAAGCTTCCGAGTAGACTTCGCTGCCGCTGCCTTTGTCTGGGCCGCTCTGACCCATGAATCTGTAGTACGATGGATTGGAAACGCCCAAAGCCCGAGTGAAGTCGGAGACCTTGACACCGGAATCGATCAAGCTCAATATTTTTGCGCGCACCTGATCGCAGTCCAGCTTCTTGCGACCGTTGCTCGCCTGGGCGTGGGCGTCGGCGTCGTACATGGAGCGCTTCCTTGTACCATTGCTTTTCAACGAAGTCGGCAGCGGAACACCGTTGCCGTTCGATTCTGCGAGCGGAGGTCTGAACCTAGCGAGCGTACGAAGGATCCTAGGATCGTGGGCTTTCTGCTTGCTGGTCAGCTCGAGCACCGAGCGATGAATTGTAGCGACGGCACGCGACATACGGTGGCGGGGATCTCCAGGTACTGCTCCTCGTCGCCGGGCAGGTTGGGGACGCGGTACACGTTGGGAGGTACGTCGACGGCTTCAATTGGATCCCATTGCGACGTCAAGTGGTTGTAAAGAAACGAAGTCATTGCTGAGCATCAAGAAATGAAGCAAGATGAGAGATGACTAGCACAAGATACGGGCAAGGAAAAGCACCACGTAGACACCTCAAACTCCAATGAAAACAAGGCGCAAAAGGCCCAAAAGCAGTGGGGGGGGTATCTCGAAGGGGAAGCAAACTAACACGAGGACGACGTACAAGGCCAGGAGAAGATCACACGGCTGAGAACTTGTTAGCGTCGAGGTAGTGAGGTACCACAAAGCCCGTGGCCATAGCTTCGCGCTTGGGCTTGCTATGCTGCGTTCCCGCGCCGACAAGGAAAATCCCAAGATAAAACTTGAGAAGTTTATCCATTCCATTCTCGTGCCTTCATCCGTCATTTGCTCGTCTGCGTCTTTGTCTTCCTCTTTCTCTCCGTCTTGGTCTTCGTCTTTGGTCTCTCTTCTCCCCCTCTCCTCCTCCTCCTCCTTCTTCTTCTTCTGCTGCTGCTGCTGCTACGGAGAGACTGGACCTATCCAGTGTCCAGCGCCCTTTCGTCATGGTGTCCAGGCGGTTAGGCAGCGCGTTCCCAACAGCCACGCCACACGCGTGCGGATTCGACCTTGTGCTGACCCGATAAACGGACAGGGACCAGACTTGTCACACACGCGTACCGCTTCTGTCCAGGTCTTGGCGAATGGTCCATCTCTTGGTTAAGATCACTCGTTGTCTCGTGGCTTTGGAGCCGTATCGGGAGGCCTCTTTGGTTCTCTAGCTTAGGCTGCTGATTCTAACGGCACGGCTGTATTCCGAAATAGAGCATTCAAGAGGCCCTCGCTCGAAGAAAATTCGCCGCCCTCAGCCGACGACGTGCTGCTGTTCAGTCCGGGCTTTCCAGCGCAGCCTTGCAACCCTACCAGGTCTTCCACTCGGTTGTGCCACGTCTAGCACGAGTGAATTTCCAAAGAGCCGCACCACGCTGAAGAATTGCACAGGCCGTACTGGTGCTGTAGGCGCAGCCGCAGCGGTGTTCTCAGAACGTTCCTTGGACGCGACCATGACAGTCACCCGGCTAGAGCATCCCAATTCGGCAGGACCAAGCATGGGATGCGCTTACCACAACGCCTTTTGTCCCGCTCAACGACGCTCTCGGGTTCGGTCCTCTGGTTATGGCAGAGGCGCCAGGAGCATTCACTCATCTTCTTACGCTGGACTGTACTGGACCGCAAGACGTTGCTCCACACGGCTACAGCACCATGTTGCATTCACGCCTTAGCTCAGCTGCTCGCTGCGCAAGTAACCAATACTTCTGTCGATGAAAAAAAAAAAAAAAAAAAAAATAGGCACGACGACAAGAGTGACACGCCACGCTCTATCACACGGCTATGTATATAGCAAGAAGACATCACCGGTCGTGCAACCATTCCTCGCTTTCCAAAAGAACTTCCACGTTCGCCAAAAGCGTCAACAGTCCTCTCTTCGTCAAAACGCCATTTAGTCCCCAGTCGCAACCGACACATCCTCTGCGTTACAATCTTTTGTGGCCAACAGACACCGCTCTTGAGCGCAGCAATCCCCCCTTGTCACCGACTCCTCCAAAGCCGTCGTCTACGTGCGACCCTTGACTGTCGTTTCTTTTTCTACCAAACAGCAGTTCGTCTCATGGCCAGGCTCCAAAAGTCCAAATCCTTCGCGCTGAAGAAGCGGCCTAGGCCCGCTTCCATGTCAACATCCTCGCGCTCCACAATGTCGGAACGCTGCTCCCCGTGCCACAACGCGGGGTGCTGCTCGGACGTCAAAAAGCTGGCGCAATCACGATGGTCATGGCTGAAGAGCAAGCTGCCCCTCCACGCACCGTGCGAAAGGTGCACGTCCATCCGCTACCAGAGCGAGGTTGGACACTGCTATATATTCTGACAACCACAGTCGCCGCGACGGCGAGAGGAGAGCTTTGATCGAGACGAAGCATTGGACATGTTTTGAGAATTTTCACGTCTCAACAATCGCGTCTCGAAAGGGAAGGAAATTTTACTTTGGGAACAGAAGTGGAAAAGGGCATGGCCATTGAAACGTTCTATGGCCGTTCGAAATCATGTAGAGGGCGGAAAAATAAACGTCAAAACAGGTTAATTTCAATAATTGTTTAAGGAAAAAAAATAATAAAATTGTTATGTGTAAGGTATCTCCATTTGCTCATTATACGCCATCAACCTTCTTTCGTCGGCCCAAGACTCTTTACTGATACTTTCTCTTTGATCGCGTCGAAGCTCGGCAACGTAGCCGAGTCTGCAGCAAGAATAACTTGTATAAATCTCCTCCTCAAAAAGAGTGGGTATCACGTCATGAAGGGGGGGGGGGGGGGGTTCCCCGTCGTTCGTGGCCATAGTCAGATATGTACATCGTGTTCTGGGTTCTTTGTTTCTTGATTGCTCACCAACCTTGAGGGCCGGTCGTGTTGCTTCTTGGAATGGGCCCCCGAGCATGGTCTGGAATCGGCGCCGTGGCACTGCGTTGGTTCGGTGTCCACTGAAGCGGGCCAGACGGAGGCTGGCTTCGTGGCTGGATTGGCGCAGATACATCTCGTCGACCTGGTAGGAGTGAAGCCGGCGTACCTGCGTCCAACGTGGGCAATGTCGGCGCACGCTGCGGACCCTGCGAGAAATAATCGCCACCTCCGTTACGAGTGTCCACAGGAGTCATCTCATAGGCCATGCCCGGAGCAGGAGACTGACTGCGTGCGGAATACGGAGACATGGGCGACTGTCCAGCAAGCAGTGGTCTGTTACTTTGCGCGCTGAGCGGTGTGTAGTTGCTTGCAGACATTGGAGAGGCGCGACCGCTCATTCCAGTGCCTGTGCGTGTCGGTGGTGGGAACCGCGGGCCAGCTGTTTGTGTCGAAATCGGGGCAAGAGGCGGGCGGCCAGGCATCGAATTTGGCGTCATGGATCGCTGACTGCTACCCGTGAATGATCGACTTGGTGGGCCGGGTCGGCCTGGATCGCTATAGCCCATGGCGCTAGCTTGCGAAAGTAGGGGTGCGTTGGACATGACGCTCCTATCGGACATTGCTGTGTTGGGGCGCATGACATCGGGTAGCGTTGGAGCTCGCCCAAATGGCGGTGGTTGTTCACCAGCTGGCGTGTTCGCTTGCGACGAGTAAGGAGGCAGGGTCGATGTGGTGATGGTCGAGTCACTCCGGAAAAGTTCGTTTTTGCTCGGCAATGATCCTTCAATGGCAGGTAGCGTTGGTTGCTTGGACAACGTAGGAGGGCCAGAAGACGATGTTGTGTTTGTCGGAGAGCCTCTCTTGCGCTCTTCTTTCTCCCACTTTCTCTGCTGTCTCGCAAGTTCCTTGTCGCCTTTCTTCTTGACGATTCTAGCCAACCTCGTCTCAATCTTCCTTCGGCAGAAGCCGGTCAGAGTATCATTCTGGATGTAATGCCACAGGAAAATGATGTAGAGGACCAAAGCCAGCGCAAGCAGAAGCATAGAGATGACCCAGATGATAAGCGTAAAGGCCATGGTGGAAAGAATGATTGTCTGGGTGCGGTGCTCGCTACTAAGGACTTGCAGATTGTAGAAGAACTGGTCGAAGCCGGAGCGGTCTGCCTCGCCTTTACCAGGCTCAATCAGCGTTGCTTTGCCAACCGAGTACAAAGTGAGGGCGTTTATGACTTGGCGAGGCCCTTCGGCGGCCAGTAAGCGAATGCAACCTGAAACATGGTCAGACTCTGTAGATTCCCAGCAGCAGCATCAAAGAGACCGACCTTGACGCTGAAAGTAAACGAAGATGGCTATCCACGACACCTTCTTCTTGCTCTTTGTCAACGCAGCGAACACGAGGAAACGCTTCCAGCCACTACCAGGGCGAATGGACTGCAAGGTGACGGCCGTGGAGTTAAGGTAGTCGTCAGTGACGCAACCTCTCCTTATCACCCTGATTGCATTAATCCAGGCAAGGATAGCCAGCGCCCAGGAGAGTATAATGCAACCAGAGAAGATCCATTTAGCGACCGTGAAGGGGATAGCAGGTTTCACCTGGCTTGACCATTCGTTGAAAACAAGTAGCTTGACGGCGGTAAAGGTATCGGCGACGTAGACGCCGATCGTGATGAAGACAAGGATCCACAACCACAGGTACGAGAAGAAGTGGCCGCATGAGTTGCCTCGAAAGTCCGAGAGGGTCTAGAGATCTGTGTGTTAGCAACGAAGTGGACGCGTACTGCTGTCCCAGCGAGATAGCTCCCGACGCTTACAATGTAATCCCATTTCTGCTGCTCCTGCACCTCGCCTCTTTCTTCTCGGCCTGAAAAGTAGCCCATTGTGAATTGGGGTAGGATGCGTGCGTGCGACGTGGGGGAAACAAAGGTTGGTGGTTGCAACTCGTGCTCAGTCCAGCTGACACGAACGAATTGTGTGGCGATAAAAGAGTGTGATGGACAAGCAAAAGGCGAAACGACGCGGCCTTGGTCTGGCCACTTGAAGCACCTGATCTGTCCAGATCGTGGCGACGAAGTCGGTTGAGGTTGTTTAGATGATGAAGGCGGTGATGGGGGTCACAGACCAGCCGCCAGCAGACTCCCAGAGCCGGTTGCGCGTAGAAAAAAGAGCGTCTACGCCGGAGAGAACGAACGGTCGGGGTCGGATGCTGCTTTGACACAGGCCTAGTACGGACCGGACATGTTGGTGTATGTCGGCGTGCTGCTAGACTGTTGCGTTTGGATTCGATCGAGGGCGGTGCTTCCGGTCCCACAGCGGCGAGTCTTTCTCGACCAAGGCTGGCAATGTCTCGTCAATGGCAAGACCACAATGGGCAGCGGATCTCGGCGTAGCAACGCCTTCGAGCAGAGGACGCAGACAAAGTCTTCAGAGCAGACGTGGGAGACGGTTGCGATTGTGTCGTCCAGGCGCGTTACAGGCCCGGCCTTGGGACTCGTCGATGTGTCTGGTCGCACGAGCGGCTCAGGAGGCGGAGAGACGGCGGAGAGAAGGGGGCGACAGGCTCAGCTACAGGCTGGCAGCGGCCATGACACGGGGGTGTTTGTCTTGACACAATACACGTCGGCGCGGCGGACAGGTGTGCGGGCAAAGAGGACGAGATCTGCTCGCCGAAGCAGTGCAGACACACTCCTGAGATGAGACAAGGGGAGGGGGAGCGGCGCGAGACTCGGCCAACCGTCCGCTTTGGCGCAGCGGGTTCCGACATGACGCCGCAAGCGAGGCCAGTGGCAGACGCAGCCGGCGCACAGGCTGGGCCTGGACGAGGTCGGGGTTGTGCCTCAGATGCTGGCTGGCGACCCGGAGCCTCCACGGGCGTGCGACACTCGTCCTGCGCCTCCGCCCGTCGTCGATCGGCTGCTCTCCGCGCTCGCACCGCGCCCGCCGAGCCAGGAGCGACGAGCACGAGCGACACCGCGCCTGTGTCGCCTTCGCCTCGTCTCGCTCCGCAAACCACCTGCTCCCTGTGCGTCCTGCTCCGCAGCCCGTTCACCAACGCCTCGATGCTTGCTTGCCCTTGCTCCCGAGCCAGGAGTGCGCGTAGATCTTGACCCGTCATGCGCGCCCTGAAGCCTCACCGTGGCCGTCGTCATCACGAGAACCACGCTATCGAACTGCCGCGGCCAGCTCGCGTGCCTCGAAAGCGCATCCCGCCCACCCGACACGGCCGTCCCTCTCGTGTCTGCGTCTGCACTGCGGTCCTCGCCCGGTCGTCACCGCGATCCTCTCTCGGCAGTGATGGCCTCGCATTTCGAACGCAGCACATCATCTAAGCTACCTTCCTCTTCCCTCTCGAACGCATGATGTTTCGCCTCCGGGGTGTTCCCACCGCCGTTACGGGATCCATGCCCCAGGGAGAGCCCCGGCTCGACAGCGCCCGTAGCCCCCATTGCATGCTCACCACGCAGACGCAGGAACTGCCATCAAACTCGCCCGAGCGCCGAGGCCGCGCTTCATACGCCGTCTTCTGGAAAAAGCAACCAGAACCATCGCTCTTCGTTGCGGTCCTGAACCTGTGACAATGGAGCAGGTCCGTCCGCTGCTGTTGTTATTCCACCGTCCGGACAGCGTTTCTGTTCTACCTACAATCCCAGGACCAGCCGGACAAGAAATCGGCTGCGTACTCTTTGTGCGTAGGCGTCAGAATCTGCGCGCCTTTTTTTTTACTCTGTATTGTGCCGGGGAACTGAATGTGGTCAATGACCTTCGCGCGACATGCACTGCTTCTATTTGACGGACTTGCCTGCTCATGCAGGCCCGGTAAGATTGCAGTAATCCAGCATCGTCCAATATATACACGCCCACGGAGTGCAAGAGTCACAGTGTGCAGAAGGGGTCGGAGGCCTGACCTGTCATCGTTCTGCTTTGAAACGCTGGCCCCTGGCCCCTAGAGATAAAGACCACTCCCGTCAATTTGGACGTGTCCGGCTCCGCTTGCACGTGCCTTGCTTTCTCTGCCGGCATGCCGCAATTCGAATTCGATGTCTACTTGTTGTAATGCATAAATTTGCAAGTCCTCATGGCAATGTTGGGCTCTGCTGACTCCAACGTTTAACGCTGATCTTAAAAAGCCAACAACACGTACCTCTGTGGTCACGGAATATTCGAAGAAATGTACAGAAATATACATTCAGATCGGCCAACACCAAGAATATGTATGCATGTGTTCGTGTGAGCACGCATGCGCTTGGCATCAATCCATCTACCACGGCAATATGCCACTCAATCCAAGCAGAAACGTTTTTGATTACAAGGACTTGCCTAAGCGAACACCACTACAATCTTTTTGACTGTATAGAAATTTAAGGGTTGATTCAAGTGATGTAATATGGCCATAGACTTTTTGCGCATCTCGTCCATTCGTTCTACTTGGCTATTTGGAGTCAAAGTAGAAAAAGTTGTGCTCCAATACCATCTATGCTCTCGTCTCAGGACTCATGGTGCGGTCACCGAAGCCTCCTTTTGATGGCCGAATTTATCATTAACAAAATTTATGACTGGAGCTAGCCACTATTACATCCACTGACTAGATCAATACCCTACTGCTGCTGCTGCTGCTGCTGCTCCCGGTCGCAGCATTTGATTCGCTCCGTCCACTTTGATCTCGACGAAAGCGGACGTACTTCTTGCATTCAACGCAATGTATCAAGTGCGAGCGCTCTTCAGGGTTACAAGGATTGATGCTTGATGTACGCTGGCGATTTTGCTCCCGGTCACAACTTGAGTGAACTTCCGCTAAACATATTTGTCGAATATTTCATCGCCATACATGTAGATTATGACCAAGTCAGTATAGTAGGTTATCAGTACTTTCTTTACAGCTTGAACTATTACCAACCCTGTGCTCTTGGATGCACATGGGGAAATCGAAGTTCAGCATCATAGAAGATCATGTAGTGGTGCACTCGGCATTTGCATTACAGCCTGTCAAGCAGCTATGATCCTGCTTGACCTCGTTGAGTTGCGGACAACCTGTATTGACAATTATTCGGTAGTGTCTATTTCTAGGCTCATGATCCTTTGCAAGGTTTTTATGCACGAAAACCAGAATCCGACGTATGAGCTCGCAGGATCACCATTCTTACATGTGCTCTGGGGGCTACTGCAGTCATTAAGGCACTCCGAATCAAGCCATCGAAACTGAGGAGGATTTAAACCACTTTGAGCATTCAGACGTGACATTGTATTCGATTACTACTTAACTGGAAGATCGCTTTAGATTAGCAAACCATAGTCCTGCAAAGCATAATCATCACGGATCAGACTGTGAAGAAATAAATTTCAGCCTAGCATGAACTGTCTGCTTCCATGTGAGCTTGTCGACGGCAGAGAATCGAGTTGTCTGCTGTCGAGATCAAAATTACTCTCATGCTTCCGGAGATGCAACTTGAGCATGAAGCCCTCTTTCCTAGTGGTTCGCGACGCGCCTGGAGATTAGAAAGATTATCAGAAGGTTGAAGAACCGTGGAAGAGGAAAGAATGGTTCCAACATTTGCCGTGCGTATGCACCAGCGGATCAAATGCTCCAGAGTGACAGAAATGCGTCTTGCTCGGAGGAGAAGCCAACGGCACGATAGAGCGGATTGTTGTGCTCTAGCACGGCAACAAACATGGACGTCGAAAGAGTTTCCAGCTCTTGTTAAAGAAGGTAGATCAGGTTGTGGCGTAACATAAGAGGTGGAGATGGTGGCGATGGTCAATGGAAACGCGATGTCGTTGCGGCCAAGACCACGGACGGCGCCACAGAAACCGCCTAAACTAAGACGGCGCGTTGTTTTCGCATGTGCCTGTCAACAAGCAAAAACTGGCCCTGCTACTCCGTCACGACAACCGACTTTCGCACACAACACCGGCTGCCAGACGGCAGAAGTACTAACAAAACAGGCCACCGCACGTATTTACGAGAGACGCGATGTTCTAGGGCGCTCACAATACACAGCAACGAACTGAGCTTTCTCCCGTTTTCCGGCCATTCATTGTCAGCCGTGCACACAATTTCAGTCGTTCAACCATCACGTCTTGCACACGACCAGTGAAACATGGAAAACTATCAGAAGCTGGAGAAGATTGGCGAAGGTGAGCCCTCTCTCCGCCATGTACAAGCTACTACATCTACGACTCGACACGCGCATGCTTGGGCGGGGTCGTCTCTTCACCGCTTCCCCTCCTTATGATCTAACAGAATCTAACAAGCAGTATTCAGGCACGTACGGGGTCGTGTACAAAGCCCGCGATCTCCTTGCAAACAACCGCATCGTTGCCCTTAAGAAGATCCGTCTCGAGGCCGAAGATGAGGGCGTACCTTCCACTGCGATTCGAGAAATCTCCCTGCTCAAGGAGATGAACGATGCTAACATCGTCCGGCTCTTCAACATTGTGCACGCTGACGGACACAAGTTATACCTCGTCTTTGAGTTTCTCGACCTAGACCTAAAGAAATATATGGAGGCGCTGCCAACTAGCCAAGGCGGGCGCGGCAAACCGCTTCCAGAAGGCACTGGCGAGAACTTGCGCACACTCGGTCTGGGCGAGGCAGTTGTCAAGAAGTTTATGAAGCAACTTATATCCGGCATAAAATACTGCCACTCTCACCGCGTCCTGCACCGGGATTTAAAACCGCAGAATTTGCTTATTGATAATGAGGGCAACTTGAAGTTGGCTGACTTTGGCCTTGCCCGTGCTTTTGGCGTGCCCCTTCGCACGTACACGCACGAAGTACGAGCTGATCGCGTTCCATCCTTGCGTATCTTGGCTAACGCAGAAGCATAGGTTGTCACGCTCTGGTATCGGGCACCAGAAATCCTGCTTGGGGGTCGTCAGTACTCTACAGGTGTCGATATGTGGTCGATTGGCTGTATCTTTGCTGAGATGTGTACCCGCAAGCCACTGTTCCCCGGAGATTCTGAAATTGATGAAATATTCAAAATTTTCAGAATACTAGGCACGCCAACAGAGGACGAATGGCCCGGCGTAACAACGTTCCCGGACTTCAAACCGTCCTTTCCGAAGTGGACCCGCAACTACAATACACCTCTTGTTAGCGGTCTAGATGAGAACGGCCTGGATCTGCTTGATGGCTTACTCGTGTACGATCCTGCTGGCCGTATCAGCGCAAAGCAAGCCATCTTGCACCCATACTTTTCGGAAGGGGTGCCTGCCTATGGCTCCATTAACGGGACGCACACGAATGGCACCAACGGGATGAATGGAGGCAGCAAGAATTTCGGCTACTAGGACCCGCCGATGCGATGAGACTGAGACTTGATAATCGCTGACAAGCTTGTCTCTCACAGCATTACGAGATGTGATTTCTTTTTCAACGTGCATAATGTATTATACAGCAAGCCATCCTGAGGCTTAACGGAGGGAAGTACGCCAAGGCCCCAGGGAACATCCGACATGATCATGGGTGTGGCGTCTAAGGGAAATGTTTGGACTTCGATGCTTTTCATTTGTATCCAAGGGGAATCAAGCAAAAATCCTTCTCGAAAAGAGAAAAGAAAATAGGAGACAAACCAAACCAACGCATCACGTTCTTGAATCTCTTCATGCAAAGTCATTCGTGGGTATCGTTCGCTGAAACTATTCATTGAAAAGGATGCTTGCCGCTGCGTCCACATCACCCCCCATTGCCTCCAGTGCTGCAAGCGCTTCGGCACGCTCGAAGCCCATTGCTACCAAACGCCGCACCTTAGTGTCATCCTCTTCACTCCCAGCCACGGGAGACCTGGGCTGAGTTGCGGCTGATGCACCATCATCTCGTCGTCCCAGGCTTGCATCCCGGACGTCCATTTGACCATGACCCGCGGCCGAAGATCTGAGTATGGGAGTATTGGCTTTTGCTTCTGCTGCCGTAGACGAGTCTACAGCTTCGGTTCTGCTATTCTTATCTGGCAAGTCTCTCCCCAGCCTTTTTGCTAGATCCCTTACCCAATTCTCTGGCTTCATCCCTCTGCTACCACCAGCATTGAAGTACTCCCAGCCCATCACGCCCCCAAAATTGTTTCCATATTTCTGCTTTAGTTTCTCAACACAACATCCTAGTCTGTCCAGCTCAACGTGACCGCTTCCATTTTCAGGATTGGTGATGACTCCCAAGACCACCTTCTTTGGATTCCAGCCGGAAGAAACGATGGCATCGTATAGCCGCTCGTCACCCGCGTCACCCCAGCCACAATAAAATTGTACGTTATACCAGTGCACTAGACGTCCCTCGGGCGAGCTTTCAAGCTCAAAATGGTTGAATCCGCTAAGATGTCTGTGTGAGCCGAGAAGGTGTGCCTTGACAAAGGAGCGAATCAACGGGCCCGCCGGTGGTAGCTCAGGGTGCAGAAGGCGGTAACAGAAAGACGTGAGATACGGCCTGGCAGGTAACAAAGCGGGCATCACAGGTGCTAGAGTAAGAATAAAGTCGGGACCAAAATCCCCATGTAATCGTCGTAGGAGTTTTTGCGTGAGAGCAATTGGAGTTGGCTCCTCAATGTCTAGGTCTAGTCCATCGAACTTTTTGGTCTGTATGAGGTCATGGAGAGGTTTGTAGAATGCTTCGAACTTATTGAGCGCTTAGCATATGCATACATAAAGTGTTTGATCAGGTAAGACTACTCACGTCCCGGCTCAGTCTCTCATAACTTCCTTTCGCAGCGCCGCCCAGCATGCCCATACACTTAATTCCGGCTTCCTGCAATGTCTTAACTTCTTGCCAAAGTATTTGGTTTCTCTCATGGTCTGGGTGATGATTGTTTAGCGTAAGGTTTTCCGGAGGATCATTCAGATGTATTGCGGCAATGTAGACGTGAGAGACACCGCTAGTAATCAGTGGTAGCACGGAGATGGGCGCGCCTGATGGGTCATGATGAGTCTGGTGGTAGACGATCAGCCGCGGCAGCGATTCTGGAGCCGGAATAGGCGGCATCGATAGGGAAATTCATGAAAGGTGTGCTTCCCATTTGTCTGTAAACAAAACTGCAAAGAGCCGGAGTGGCAAGTGCTCTCCAATGCCAAGAACTTCTCTTTTTGGATCCTCGTCAAGTCTTGGAGAGACTCCTCACCTTTGGCAACTTTTTTCAAAGCCATCACCATCGAACCATCATGGCGCGTAAAGGTATGCTGCATTATTAATTAAAATAATTTAAATACTAATCATGACCCAAAGCAAAGTCAAGAACAATTGCCGTACGCCTCATATCTATGGCAATGACGGGCTTCTATCGTACCCTCCGCAGACCACGTACTAGCCGACCGTTAAGCATGATGAAGTACGATCCTGTTGGTAAGACTACACAATTGTTCAAGTTTCTTGCTATAACAAATTACCCAAGCAAAACTTATCGTAATGGTGTGTTGCAAAGCACTAACATTGAGATTCTAAAGTACGCAAACACGTCCTTTTCCTGGAGCAGAAGCGTGGCGGCAAGAGGTGACAAGCAAAGCGCATCTCCGATACAACACATACGATTTGCAAATACGTCTCTCCCTCAGATATAAAAATAAGTTCCTCCATCCAATATCGTAAATATGCAATGTTGGCACAGCGGAAATAATTGTAATTTATTAAAGCCGACCAAGCGCTTCACAACACCATTCAAGAGTAGGAGAATTTGATAACAAATGATGCGTCTGCGTTTGCAGCTCAGCATTATCTATCATGAACCGTTATATCTACATCAGGAGATCTGGACTTGATAGCGGAACAACTCATAAAGCAACACCTTCACCAAATCATAGTTGCTCATTATCTCACCTCAAAATACTTTTTCACCGTGAACAATGTGCTGCCATAACGAATCTCCCATGTTTCCCAGGCTTTCCAATATATGATTGTGAAATAAGCGTTTACTTTCGGAAGTGTAACATCAATTCCAAATTTCAAGCGATGATAGGGTAATGTAGACGTCCATTAACGTCTAACCTAGATCCGATCAATACATTTTCCTCAGTAATGTTGATGTCAAATTTCAAACGTTCAATCGTCTTGATCTTCTCAGATAGTTATTGGACATCTTATCCTTAACGTTATCTGGCACATCGTTAGCCTATCATCAATTTCTGGAAAATATAGTAAGATCACCTGTGTTTTTCTGGCTTTTGTTAACCTTCACGCACAGGTTTGATTCTTTGTTAGTCGCTGAGTTTGCAGCAGATCGGCAGTTTCGAGACGGAGCGAATTGCTGGTATTTTGCCAGGTTGTCACACGGGTACCGTCCAGCGTTCTCTCCATGATTTGTTTCGACTCCTGTTGATTCCTCGCGCTCGTTTCCTGGTTGACGTACGTTTTCGTGCTGTTCGAACGAAACAGTTCCAGCTTGGTGAGAGATTTGCTTCGTTGACTTTGACATGTTGTTCTTCTCAACTCGGCTACGCTTTTTTACGCCTGGATCATCTTGCAGGGCGAATTTACGACGCTTGCCAGAATTATCTTGTGAATTGCTCGTCGACTGTGCTAGTGAGTCAGCGTTTGGTGGAGTATCTGCACGAGAGCTCCCTTCACTTGCGCATGTCGGGATTGTCGGAGTTCCTTGAGACATTGGTGTCCAAGTTGTGCCATCGTTAGGTACTTTCATATTCACTTTTCCTTTTATGGATAGTGTATTTGGAGATTTTGAAGAAAAAAACTGCGTATCACTCATGACTAGACAAGGGCTTGTATCCGCGGATGAAACCACATACGGCGAAGTCTCAGCTTGTCTCTCTTTCCGCAGAAACTCCAGCTTTGATCTCGGTTCTTCATCTCGTTTTAGCAGATCTGTACTGCTAATCTCAGCGCTTGTCGACTGGGTTGCATCAACATTGTCGTGATTGAAGTTCCCCTTCACATCTATGTGAGCTTGGCTATCCTTCCGCCGTACATCAGGCCCAACCTGAGGTTCCCAGACTATACTCGAGAACTGCGTTTTCGACATCTCCGATTCAAGGGCTCGTGAGCTGTTCAGCAATTCTCCTTCTTCAGATCTCATGATTTGCGGCGATGGTTCTTCTTCTATCTCTGTTTGATTTTCATGCTGTTGTTCTGATTTGTAGACTTGCTGGAGTTTCTGCAGCTTCGCAATCGTCCTTTTCAGTTTTAAGCAGAGCGCCGACTGCTCACTCGTGCAGAGAGGTCTCTGATTTTCTTTGTTTCCTTTTCGGAACAAAAATTCGATGTCTTCAACATCACCTATGACTTCCTCTAGCCTTCTTTTAATAATTTCTGTCTCTTTTTCTGATTGTTTGGGCTTGAAAACTAATAGATTTCTTATTTCATCTGCATCACCGTTCTTATCTTCCAGATCCATCTCCTTTACGTGAGTCTTACCATAATTTTCAATCTTCTTGCGAAGCTCAGAATGAAGCTCTTCACTGGATTTAGCCTGTAGCTCGGCAATTTCAGCATCATGCTTCTCTCGTAACTGTAAAAGAATGGCTTCATATTCATCTTTTAATGCTGGCATGCATGATTCATGTTCTGATTGTAGCACTGACATGTTGTTATTGCTTTGATGAGTCTGACTAGATCTTGTTCCCGAGTAATGACTTTTCTTTTTGCTATCTGTTTCCTCTCGTAATTCCTGAAGAGCTTCTACAGATTTCATCAGCTTATTGTGCAAGTCTCGGATTCTATTCTCATATTGAGCCTTCTGGTCTTTCAGAATGGACTCCATGTTCCTCTGAAGGTCGTTCTGCAATTTTTCAAGTTTTAGGCTGTCCTAATAGAACTCAACAAAAGTCATCAGTATTACAGTGTTTACGTACTTCTCGCTTAGACTCCTCCAGCTCTCTCGACAGCGCAGTGATTTCGTCTTCCTTAGACATTAGTATGGTTTTCAAATCTTTAACCTCAGACCTAAGAGCCTTCTCAAGTTCTTCGTCAAGCAATACTTTACTCCGCCCTTGGAAATGTTCGTCGTGGCTGTGATAAGACGGGATTGTGTCTTTTTGAACGTGTAGCTGTAGCTGCTGAAGGAGTTGTAGATTATGCTCACGGAGTTTACTCTCTGTTTGTTGACTGCAATTAAGTTGCTCCATCAGTTCCCTCACTCGAAGCTCTTGAACCTTTAATCGCTCTGTGACCGCAACATTGTCCATTCGCAGGTCAATCAATTCGGTTTGAAGTTTCTGCCGTTCCATAAACTCGGTTTGGATATTTCTCTTGTGCTCGTCTATCAGATTCAATATCTTTTCATTGAATAAATCAGCATTGGCTGATTTGTTCGCATTGGTTAGGGCGTCTTGTATAGCCGCAAGCAGTCTATAATTGTCAGTTCACCATCTCACATTCATGCAGGGCGCGTTGTATCCAAATATATTGAGGAGACTAACTCGGATTTTATTTGTGCGAGGCTTTTGCGAATGCCATCCACAGACTCTGGTGATATTGAGTTCTGCATATGCAGCATCTGGACGTTCTCGGACATCGCTAAGAAGCGAGTACAAAGTGAAGATTCGCCTTGCCCAGTCAAGTCATTTCGCATGCCTGACAGCTTCTTCATCAAAGTGCCGTGATTTCCGCTGATCAATTCCTCCAGGCTCATTTGTACAGGACTACCATTCTCGAGCGCGAACTTCAGTCGGTTACGGTCTATGGTTAGCTCTTCGAGTTGATTCTTCTTTATTTCTAATTGCTCGATCAAATTCGATTTTTCTACCTCAAGTTGCCGACAACATTTTTCAGAGTCCCTAAGCTCATTCATTATTTTCGTTCTCACGTGGGATATGGTATCGATGGCGTCCGACGAGTGGCCTAAAGCTTGCTTGAGATTCTCAGATAGAGTTGCCGAATCTAGAGCCAGTGCCTTTACTTCCTCGCATAGTTGCCTCCTCGTCGCTCGTTCTTGCTGAATGTCATTGTTAAGAGTATTTCCAAGATCCTCTAGTTTTTTGACCTTGTCCACAAAAGATTTCAACTTTGAAGTTCTCTCCATTTCCGCCGCAGCCAATCGGTGTTTTTCCCTATTGGAAACCTCGAGTTTCGTCCTCATTGTAGCATTTTCTTCCCTTAGTAGAAGTATATCTGAATGGTATACTTGTACATCTTTTACATGCTTCATAGCAATCTTTTCAAACTCAGCATTCATGTTGCCGATCAGCACGTCCCCGAGAACTCCCAAAACTTCTGTCACTGTTGGTTGCCGCAGTTGAGACTTCCCAAGAACCCCCTTTGGTTGCAGTCTCTTTTTTCTTAATTTCTTGCCTTCTACCGTGTTTTTAGAACCGACATCTTTGGGTTCGTCTCCAAGATGTTTTGTGCCAGTGTTTGTGAGCTCCTGAAAGACTTGAACAGTCCTAGAAGTCGGGCTGCAGGAGCTCTCAACATCAGCGTGATCTTCGGCAAAGTTTGCGTCTTTTTCAACTCTCTTTTTGAGTTGAGAAGGTTCTGCGGTTGTACTGCCAAGTAAGACGTGGTTAAATAAATCATTTGGAACAGTGGCCACTCTCTGTACTCCAGGTGGATCGCTAATGGTTGATTCAATCTCCTTCATCTGTTTGCAAAGATCCCCGTGAGGAATTACTCCAATGACGCTCTCCATCTGAGATTTGTGCAAAGTAGTTTGTGTCGGATCTTCTTTCCCTCTTGATCGTGCATCTGGGCCATGTTGTTTACGATCACCCTTGCTGCTACATTTGCTGCATGATGTCTGATGATTTTTCAGCACTTTGGATATAGCATCTGAAAAAGGCTCATAGGCGACATCAAGCCTTTACGCTGGCCTGTTAATTGGTTCAATCTTGTGATTGGACAACTGCACCTACCCGGAAGGATCAAATTCTTGACTTTTGTAAGGCTCTTTCTCGATTACTTGGTCCGGACTGCTTTTCGCAAACTGGCCATGCTGATTGTCTTTTGATATGACGATCTTCTCCGTATCTCGCATGGTCAGGTTTGCGCTTAAAGAATGCTGTACTTGGCCCGGTGTGGTTTGCTTCTCAACTTCTGGATGCGTGAGTCGACTAAACTTTGCGTCTTCATCACTGATTTGTTGAAATTGTCCACAAGTTGGAACTTGCGCTAGCTCCACGCCATTGGAAAGACGAGAAAATGCTGGCATCAAGTCAATCAATCACTGAGGCACAAATATTGTAACATACCTGACGACTCGCGCTGTGGGAACTTTGAATGCGAAATATTCACCTGCTGTGGGGGGGGAAATGGAAACTGAATTGGCCACTCACTCCCTGCAGAAACTGGCCGTGACAGCTCCAGGGCTAGGAGAAGCTCATGACCTTGCATCGATAGAGTCGGGATTCCCTGGTTATCACTCCGGATTGGGCCTGGGTCACCTTCTTCCTCGCTGCGTTCCTGTATGACTAGGTGAGACGGTTGAGTTCCGATGGTGATGTTCTCATGACTTAGCTCTGGACCTACTTCTTCCGTGGAATCACCCTTAACCTCACAAATGGGAGACAAATCCATGACAAGTTGGACCCAGAGTATTGGCGAGATTCAAAGCAAGCGCTGCGGCAATAGGACGGCCAGGAATGAAATGAACGGAAGTTCCTTGAGGCACATGTGGAGACCAGAGGACTCAAGGACGAGGTCGGATGGACAAAGTCGAAGATGTTCTCTCGTTGGGAAGTTTGAAAGTCAGCGGTGGAGTCAATGATCACTGGGTGGAAGGCGCGATCAGGCAAGGCTTTCAACAGTCATTAACGGCGCCGAGCAAACAACAGTCGTGTACCATGTATATACCAGAGATACAGTCGCCTAGTTGCAGAAAGAATGCTTCACTATCGCAAACAGGTCATTAAAAATACACTTACAACACAGTAGCGCTCCTGTTCTCCGCAGGAGCCTACCTCTTGTCGCTCTGCTCAGCGTCGCGACAATCGATCGCATCATTTCGTACGAAAAATAATAAAGCCGCAGCACTGGCAAGCAAGCGAAGAAATCTTCAATTCGAGCATCTTAGTAGCGATTGGGTGATTTCTGCTTTTTGTCATCGTCGATTGCCAAACATAAACTTCGCCATGATTCCACCGCTGTTCTTGACGTCCTCCTTCGCGACGTCGTTAGGTGACCTTGATCGTGATCGTTCCTTCTCTTCTGCAAGCCAGCCTGGCGTCGGCTTCAGACCCTTCTCGATATCTACTTCTTTGGCTTGTGCTTTTTTTGGTCCTGCCGATGGCTTGACGTACATTGTTGTCCTGCGATACGATCTCGGGTCTGATGGCCCCACCCTGGGTGTTCTTGGTGGAACCTTGCGGCCTGTCATCCGCCTGGATGCGCGCTTGATCGACTCGCGGATCTTCCATTGTCGTTTTTTTGCCATATACCATAGCCACCACATTGTGGCTGGACCAAAGTCAGCATTAAATCTTCAGAAGAAATCATGAGGCTTCTCTACCAAAAGCGATGACGACCACAGCAATACCAACGGATATACCCACTATAGCCCCGGTTCCAAGAGTCCATGCACCGCTATCCGATCCAGCAGCACCATTTACGTTCTCGTTGGTACTTGTGGATCCAGCGCCACCTTCAGGGACGCCAAAGCCATCTTGAGCAGACATTGTTGGGAAAGCTGGACTAGTTGAACTTGCAGTAGCCCCGGACTGAGGAAGTGCATTAGCAAAGGAGGAAAGATAGAGGAGACTCCGAAATAAGTATCTGCGATCCATAATGTTGATTAAGTCTCTTGAGCGGCAAACTCCTTTGCACTACAAATGTGACCAGCAGTGATAGTGATGTGTCGATAGCCCGGCCGATGTGACTTGCTGAATTTGGGATCGCTTATGCCAAAGTTCTGACCACCTGTAGTTTCTCTGGGAAAAGACGCCCAGAAGTATTTCGAACGTGAGATGCTACTGGTTTTATTGTCTGTCGAACGCAACTTAGCGTCGTGCTCCACCTGCATAAGGGCGGACGTAGCCGCCGGTGCGGATCTAGTACAACTCTGCTGGTGTCTGAGATTCTCCTCATGGCGCGCTGGGCATATGGCAGAGCAAATTGATTGGAAGTTGTTGCTATAGGCGTTGTAAGGGTGGGCGCTTAATTGTTGTGAATGCTTTGGACTTGCCTTGCCATGATTGGCTTGTTAGCCATCAACCCTTCCTGATATGGCTATTTCTGGACTCGCTTCCCTGGTCTAGGCTTTAAAAGGAAATTTCGTCTGCATGTCCTCTAATTATCGACCTCCACAGTGCTTGGAAGCACGCCGAGGAAACATCGCTCTCAAATTTATCCTCGAGTGTCCACGTACTCTACTTGAAACGTGCACTAACTTGTGTAAATTACGAAGATGGATTTCAACTGAGCGACAGCCATTTGGACCTGTCATGCGACCACCAGCAAACCTCTCACGTTGAAACGGAGCCGCTCTGATCCATCAACGTCTGGCCAATTTTGCAGACTGGAACGCTTTTCAAGCAAGTTGGGCAGAAAGACCATCGTCCGCATATCGTTCTGTCATTACTTCAGATGTGATGGGTCGTTTCAATGAATATCAGTCGAAGTCCAGAAGGGAAAGTAGATAAAGTGCAGTGGTTCTGGCACACGATGCACATATCTCCTCTGAAACAAGCCTTTGAGGGTAGCACATTGCTTCGTTCCGTTCTCCTGTTTAGAACGATCGAATAAGACACCAGCTTGTACTGGACTCTAAGATGCCTGAGAACGTCATGGGCATTCGGTGACGCAAGCCCGACGAGAAATCAAAGGAGTCGTTCAGATTGGCAAGGCTCCAAGAATCACAAAATATACCTGCCCGGCATCAACATTGTCTAGGTCGACTTGGTCTTTCTAACATGATGAGATCGTTATTGGATGATTCTTAGACGCATGAGACAGTTTGCATGGCCAATGCTGGCGCATGAATTTGACCATTAAGAGTTTATTTTTAATGTACCGTAGGATGCTTCTAATCCTTCGACAGCCCTTGATGCTACTAGGACATGCCATGGCAATGCCCCTCTCATCGACCCGTGTAAGCCTCTTGCTTTTGCCAAAACGCCCAAGTTCCTGTACATCTGTAAATAATCTCGCAAAATACTGTCAGCTGTCACTTTGGGAATACTACTCCCGCTGGTTGACGTGCTCAGCTGACTTGATTGCCCTGGAGTGCTTGCGGCCGTCGGTGGTGTCGACTGCGAAGAGTACCCAGTTGCGGCCGCCTGCTCAGTTGGAAAGTTCGACGACATTCCATTGTACGATGCCTGTAAAGACACTGGAGAAGGTTGAGATTGCTGATTTTGGGTAGTGGGGTTCGGCTTCGGACTACTGCCTATCCAGACTAACTTAATGCCGATCAAAATGATGTCCTGGGATTCAGCTTCTTCTGGATCATGCGTGGGTACTACTGATGCAGCACTGCCCTTCATTAAATATCCCGAGCTTAGACTAGGTCGATAATCTGCTACAGAGCTCGACACATTTGTTCGGTGGCCTAATATTAGCCCCCATGTCTCATCGTAAATGTCAACGAGATGCGCGTCGGGATCATTTGACAAATCAACTCCTGCTTCCGTATTCGGTGTGGCCGCTGGGGTCAAAACTATGTCTGGAGACACTCCAGACAGTGGTGTTCCGACCGGCGTGTTTGACGATCCTTGATTTCCAAGTTTTGAAGACAACGAGGGATGCTCGTGAAAGACCGATATGGGTGGGTTGGGGTCCACTGTCATGATGACAGTGATCATAACCACAGGCGATGGCGAGGTTGCAAGCATAGACCATATATCGAGCTCTTCTCTCTCTAGAATACCCACTCTTGCAATGCACAGCCTCCACGCGACACGCCTGGCTTGCATGATTTCGATTGTGCTCTGCCAAATAACTCTTGCAACTTCAGCAAATGAGCGTCCACCGACGAGACAGTAGCTTGAAGTTGCTTGATATTTGCCAGTTCCATCTGTCCATGCTACGCTAATCCATTCACGATTCTTACTTCTTGCGTAAGCCAAATGAAGATTAGATCCTTCGTGAAGCAAATCAGGCGGAGGTTCGGCTTGAAGTTTGAAATCGATCTTGCGAGGTAGCGACTGCTCCAATAGAACAGCCGCAGCAGACTCGATGGGGAGAGGAGAGGCACTTGTATCCGGTAAAGCTGGTGGACATCGATCATATATTTCTCGCGCCAACTTCTGGTAGAATAACGAGTCCATGACGACAGGAGTATGTGGGTTCGCGACGTAACGAATTGGCAACACTTGTAACACAATATCTGGTCGCACAGTCCGTCGCATAGGAGAAGCCACAGCCTGTCGATACGTCTCATAAAGAGTCCAAAATGACGAGCAAAGCTCCGCCAAGCCTCTCGAACTATTTGTGAATGGGTCAATCATGTATATGACAAGAGTGTCAATCTTATTCAGATCTTCGATGGGAGGGCTGAAGTTGATTTTGCAGCTCCAGTCAAAGTTGGCAATGGTCTTTCCGAACTCAATGCAAGTCTCCCGCACACTCTGGAAAATAGAGTGTTCCGATGCATCAGCGGAGAGTGACACGGGAACCACGCCATCCGCGATATTACCGATCTGAGTAGCCCTGACATGTGCCCCAAGCTTACAACTTTCGAAGGTGGCTCCAAGATAGTCCATGAAAAGACTCACTTGTTTTGTGAGATCTGGATTCCCTGGGCAAACGCAGAATGCCAGAACGTTTTTCTTCCCAGCAGCTGGCGCTAAACCCAGCTGCTCCCAGAAAGGTAGTGCTGGTGGGAGCATGTCCCAGAGGTCATCATTCCTTCGGACTCGCACATGAGGCGGAGCCAATGGGGCGAGTGCAGTTGCGGGGACCGGCGAGCCATCTGAGGTCTGTAGTCCAGATATTGTGAGTTTCTTCTGGGGTATAGGTGGGTTACCCTTGGGTACAGCTTGCCGTTCGGGAGGGATTTCTTGTACACACAGCCATCTCAGCAGATCACACGGAGAAGCTGCGTTACAACATTGTCGAATCGCGGCCATCGCTTCTTTCAGCTTTGCAATAGGTTTGATAAAAGATAAGCCAGCATTCTCATCACAAGCCATGATCGAATGTCTTGACGTCCTAGTCTCATTAACAAAACCTAGTGCAATCTGCTCAGCAACGATCTGAGCAACATTAATGAAATCCTTGTGAAGCGGGTTCAGTGGGTCCTCTCTCGGCAGGGCGGAAGAAAAGCATGAATCTGTGATAGAGGCGCCGAGCTTTCCTGATTGGCCTTGAGAACAAGATAGTGTCTTAAATGTTTGGAACTTTTCCAGGTCCGTGTTGCCCTGAACGATGCTCGAGAAGACTAACTTGTACTATGCAATCCTGTTAATACCGCAAGCGCTGAATGGCTAAGTTCAACTTACATCGAATCCTATGTTAAATCTATCTCTTGCTAGCCCATTTGCTGTAGAAGCGCTTCGAGCATCATTATCGTCATCAACACTGCTAGTACCCTCCAGAATCTTGCCTTTCAGTGGTGATGAGATGTAGCAGCGCATGTCATCTCCGTAGAATGAGTCGTCATCAGAGCTGTCAGTGACATCACTGCTGCAATCACTACTGCGAGAACGTAATTGGCTAGGTGACGTTATCGATCGCCGCGTAAGACCAGAGAGACCCTTGCCTCTGATGTCAGGTGGTCGTGGTTTTATACGGGGAGAGGTTGCGAAATGATTGTTAGCTATGCCTAGTATTCGCGTCTTAAATCCGAAGGCACCATCCAATGTATACTTGGCATCGTTTTGTCCAATTATGGTATTGAAAGCAAGCGGCTGAAATTGACTTGCTCTTCGTTCCGGTTGATGGTGGGTTGAGAAGTTAAACAACTTCTTCTGAAGCAGGAGGGGGCTGAGCGGCTCGTGGCCGCTCTTTCTTTCTGCATTAAAAGAAGTCGTATCATCCATTTCTGTAACTGTCACCTCATCGGCAGACCTAGCATCACGTTTGTCGGCAGCTTCTCTTGAGCACAAGACTTGGCTTGGGGATTCTTGCGCTTCAAAAAAAGACTCCGGGTTTTCGCCTTGTGGATTCACAATTTCAGCATTTTCAAAACTCTTCACTTGGGCACCGTTGATGGATTGGTCACCCTCATCGACCGCCAGTGTATCTGGAAGCTCAGGCTCGTCAAAGAAGCTGAAGTCAGCGTCTGTGATATCTTGACCGCGCAAGTCATCGTCGACCATATCGTCACCAAAAAGATCGTCTCCTCCTGTTTTCATAGAGATATCTAAAGAAGTACGGCTTATGACGCTCATTCGTTGGCGTGCATTCTCTTCGAAGGGCCCCATGTCAAGATCCATCATTTCACCATGTTGCATGTCAAGGCTGCTTCTATGACCATTTGGATCAACTGGTAACGAGACGGCCGGGACGTCTTGAATTGTTTGTGCTTGGCTTGAGAGAACGCCGTCTGGAGGTGTAGGGTAGACACCAGCTGTTACCTGTAATGCATCTCGAATGTACGATGGCGAAGTGACGGGAAGGTTGCCATTTTCAGCTTGCTTTCTTGTCATTTCCTTAAGACTGTTACGCTCTGTAATTATTTTGTCACGAGCTAGCCTACCGTCATACCAATCTTGTGCAAAACGCAGTGGATCTTGATAGCCATCTCTGTCGTTAGGGACTGTCTGCAGGAACCAGTATGATTCGGCTGATCCCCAAGCTTGAGGCGTAATAAAGGATTCCGTGGAATCTGAACAAGGATGAAAGAGTGAGAAGCATAGTGTCATTGGCCAATAGAAATTTGTTTCTTGACCTGGATCCTTTTCATTTTGTCCCATAGGAATCTGTGTTTTCAGCAATATCCAACGATCTTGAGGATTGATCTCGCCAAGATCTATTCCTCTGGCTCGTAGTTGATATGCAACGTAAGCTTTCCATAAGCGAACATCGGTTGTCTCGCTCGAGGTATAGTCAGGTACGACAGTAGCATGCAAGCCACCAGGTACAACGATGACTGAGCACCCTTGCCCTACTTCCGAGCTGCATTCAAGGTATGGGGAAAGGGATATGTCCTCTTTCAGGGTTGTTGACAACAACAACCCTCCGCCATTCGCAAGAGAGGTGTCCAACGTGAACACAGGAAGAGCTCTAGGAGCACCATCCTCCTCCTCTCGGCTTTTTGAGTCGTCGTGGAATGAGACAAATGTACCCAGATCCAGCTGCAGAGCTCTGAGCTCCTTAGCCAGAGTATAGGCAAAGAAAGATTGAACTGCTCGAATGAAGAAAGCGTGTAGAGACCTAATATCATTCTTATCATAAGGAAAGCTCGTCACAGGAGAAGAATTTGACGGCGTAGCATGTTCTTGAATGTGCCTCGCCTGCGCAGCTCCTTTTGCAAGGCTAGCTGAAGCCAGTGCTTCGGTCGGAATCTGTGTTGGCAATGCAGAGTGCTGAGCCGCAAGACGAACTGAGTATATGCCAAGCTCTGATGCCTTGAATACTCCAGAAAACATAATCCTGAATACCCAACCGTGCAGTTCAATGTAGGAACTGTCACCATCAGGGTCTGGCGTCTCATTAAAAGGTGGTTCAGAGCGTCCGGCAAAGAACCACAGCGTCTGCAACGTCCCGTCACGATATACAATGCGCTTCTGATCTCTAGCTTTTATCTCAGCATCAAGGAGTGTTTCTTCGAGGCTTTTCTGTTTTGCGATTGTAGTTTGATCAGACAGGGTCTCGTCGACAGCATAGACCCAGTAATTAATGGAAGAAAAGCCGGCGATGAGGTGCACGCCAGTTGAGCAAGACTTGAGAAAGTCCAAGGAGGACTGCGGCAAGACGTTATGGGACATTCCTGTGATAGAAACGTCGTGTGCGTGTCAGACAAGTTCGAGGATGCGGCATCAACAGTTGCTGATGAGTGGCTACGGGAGAGTGTGGTGAAGCGGCGGGCGTCAATCCGAGTTGAGCGCACAGGTCAGCACGGACTAAAGCGTCTGGGCGGAGACAGAGAATCCGTAACAGCTCCTAGAGAATCGGTCGCGATTGTCCTGATAGTTCAATCAAGTTGAGGTTGGATCAATGTCTCGAAGAAATGCAAATTACCAAGGCCAAGATAGGTACAGTTGGACGAGCAGGGTGATCGTCGGGCAGGGATTTGTGGTCCGGGCGCGTGGGTAAGCTATTAGTTCGGACGGTGTGCGGAGAGCGGCAAACGGTGCTCCACCAAAAAAAGTTGCAGCGAACATCAGTTCCGGCTGCAAGGGAGAGAAAAAAAGTTTCACATCTGCGCGGATCGAGGCCTTCGCACGCGTCAGAATCTCCTTGGAGTCTCGTACAGTCTTTTAATTTCCAAAACCTCCACAGCCGTGTATAGTTTCTAAACATGAAGCAATGAAGCTATCAACAAACTCGTCGGTTCCGGTGTATACCATCGCCGGCTCCTCAACTGCACGACCTCTGCCAGACTGGCTCGTAAGGAAGCGAAGGCGAAGTTTGAAGCAGGATCCAGAATTCGCCAATCGTGTCGAACTATTACAGGATTTCGGCTTTGAGGAGGCAAGCTCATGTGTGAGGGTCAGCGAAGATGGCCACTGGGTTATGAGCACAGGTATTATATCTGTCTTCGCACATCCATCCAAGAAAAATCCATCTACTAACTTGCATTCAACAGGCACGTATAAGCCACAAATTCATGTGCATAACCTCGATCAACTCTCTCTTTCGTTCGCGAGACATACCGACACTCTCAATGAGACTTTCATACTTCTGTCAACGGACTATTCTAAATCGCTCCACCTCCAAAGCGACCGATCGTTAGAGTTCCACACGCCCGGCGGTTGCCACTACAAAACTAGAATACCGCGCTATGGCAGAGGACTCGCGTACGACAGGAGATCAGCCGAGGCTCTAATACCTGCGGTTGGCCTGAACGAACAAGGAAATGGAGAGGTCTTTCGATTGAACCTCGAGCAAGGGCGCTTTATGAAGGGTTATGAGGTCGATGTGGGAGCTGAAGATGCAAGCACTGTTGGGGCGGGGTCTTTACAGGGCAGCATTAGCGTTGGCAGCGTAAATTCAGCGTCCGTGGCAGAAGAAAGCCATAACTTGCTCGCGTTCGGGACATCCTTAGGCACGGTCGAGTTTTGGGATCCTAGGTCCAAGAATCGAGTGGGCATATTATCCATACCCCAAAATCAGACTTACGATGGGGGAACTACGGGTGCAGTCACAGCTTTGAATTTCCATCCCTCTGGGCTTAGTCTAGCTGCGGGGTCTTCGGATGGCTTAATTCACCTTTACGATTTGCGCTCTCCGCTGCCGCTTTTAAAAAAAGATCACGGTTACGGATATCCAATTCAGGACCTCATTTTTCTCGAATCCTCCAGCCGATCGCGATCGCAGACCATAGAACCCAAAATTCTTTCTGCGGACAAACGCATTATCAAGATCTGGGAGCCTTCAGATGGTAGCCCTTGGACCTCTGTAGAACCCGCGGTGGATCTGCATCATGTTGAATGGTGCAAAGACAGCGGCATGCTTTTGACTGCCAACGAAGGGCAGCAACAGCATGCTTTTTTCATACCACAGCTCGGCCCGGCACCGAAATGGTGTGCGTTCCTCGATAATTTGGTCGAGGAAATGGCGGACGATCCTAACGACCCTCATGCGTTCGGTAACTTGCGCAAAGCTGGCGAGGTCTATGACAACTACAAATTCCTGACCTTATCGCAATTGAAACAGCTTAATATGGATCATCTCGTGGGAAAGACAGGCCTGCTACGGCCCTACATGCATGGATATTTTGTTAATCAAAAGTTATATGAGGAGGCTGTACTAATTAATAACCCCACGATTTGGGAGGAACAACGAGCAAAAAGTATCAAGGAAAAAATTGATAAGGAGCGTGAAAGCAGGATCAGAGGAAGGAAGAAAGTTCAAGTAAAGGTCAATCGTAAGCTTGCTGAAAGGATCCTCGAAAGAGAAGAGAAAAACCAGAGGCGCAAAGCCCAGCGCATTCTAGCGAAGGGTGGTGACGAAGACATGGTTGGCATACCGAAGTCTGGCGAAGCCCCTCGGGACGGGCCTGATGAGGCTTTACCCCTCAAACGAGAACGGCCTGATTTACTTAAGGATGATCGCTTCACTAAACTATTCGAGGAAGAAGATTTCGAAATTGATGAGACCAGCAGAGAGTTTCAAACGCTCAATCCATCCACACGATCATCTACTACAGAGGAGCCGAAGCGAATAATGAAGGGCCTTACGGCGGTTGAAGAGGAGGAACTCGAAGCACTGAAGGCTAGTAGCGACGAAAATGATGAGTCCTCTTCATCTGACGAAGACGATACTGTTCGGAGAAAACCAGATAGAGATTTTGTCAATTCCAGGAAACGCCTAAATGGGAAGAAGCAGGTTTCTCAGGCGCCGCAGATGCGGGTCTCTTCTTCGACGGGAGTTCTAAATGGAATGAGTTCTCTTAACAAGAAAGATCGATCTTTCGGTGCTCGGACTGGGAGCCTGAAAGAGAAAAGCAAAAGTACTGTGAGAGTATCATCAGGAGGAGCTGTCGGAGAGAAGGAGATCAGTTTTGTACCTGCACGTAAACAGAAATCACAGTCTGTACCGGATGAAAGCAGGAAAAAAGATAAAAAGGAAAGAAGAAGTGCGAGCGGCAACGTCTTTAGACGGATGTAGTCAAATGGAACAAAAAGCATGGATAATGTTTTTAATCATGTTGAGAGTTGAGTGGATCAGTTTATTTTGTAGAGCGAGCTATAAATGATCTCTGCTTTTTACAAGCTAAACATTGGCTAGCTGGACAGTAAGATGAAGGGGAGAGTGGTGACTACATCAGTTAGGTTCACTGAATGGACAATTTCGATCCTACATGTCGCGCTGTACACAAAGGACACGAGCGTGTATGAAAGTTAATTTGATGCGTTTCAGCGCACCATCCACATATCTTTCCTTAAATACACATAGACCTTAGCTAAATCAAATGGGGGGAAGGCGGGAAGTTTATTTAGCTAGATGCAAACTTAGACGACTACGGATAAAAGAACGCTTCGGACGGTGTACAGTAGTGCATGGAAAAATATCATGCAGGGCGGAATTTTCCCGCGTAAATTTCATCTGGACAATCTTACGCAACTGAAATCACACACATAATTGTACCATCAACGCCATGGCTACGGCAGCTCATCTATCAACTGCACCTGTGCTATCTACCCCGGACTCACACGTCTTTGAAGTTCCGGTCCCTACGGTGGACTCATCGTTGCCGTATTTGACTGATAATGAACTGCACGTGCGCTACGAGATAGATCGCACGATCAAGGAGATTCGCGACGGACAATGGAAGCGCATAGCTCTACAGTTTCCAGATGAAATGCTTGGCGATGGAGTTAGAGTGTACAGGCTCTTGAAACGTGGGCTAGCACACGCACGACAGCAAAATTTCACAGAAGACCAAGCACCTGCAGCCGCGGCCGTACAATCGGAACCCATAGAGCAAGACGTCGCGAAGCTGAATCTAAGCGATAAAGGATCTACTCACGACTCGGAAGGTTCGAGCGAAGAACTGAGCATCTTAGCAGATACGTCTTATGGTTCATGCTGCGTGGACGAGATTGCTGCTGAGCATGTTGAGGCTGAGGTTGTCATCCACTATGGCAGGTCGTGTCTTTCACCAACAGCGAGACTACCTGTCATTCACGTGTTCACTACGCGCAATCTTGACTTCAAGCTGGTTGCCGAAGCGTTCAAGAACACCTATCCGGATAAGACAGGAAAAGTCATACTCATGGGTGACCTGCCGTACCACAGTCACCTTTCAGGTCTGCTTGAGATTCTGAGATCCGAAGGCTATGAAAATATCCTGGCGCCAGAGGTTACGCACAATCCAGCATCAATGCTCCCAAATCGTCGTCTACCAGCATCTATTAGTGATGAAGTTCGATTCCTTAAGGAGCATGCCCTCTTTCATATTGGACAACCCCCGCCAGCTTTGTTGCTTACACTCACGTCTCGCGTTGCTTCTATCCATATCTACTCCGGAGATGACGACCCAACAGCTCATGCTGCAGTCACAAGTCCATTGCTACGTCGGCGATATGCACTACTTACCTCGCTTAGTACCGCTTCTGTCTTTGGTATCTTAATAAATACACTTTCTGTTAAAAATTACATGCACGTTGTGTCACATGTTCAAAAGCTGATCTCAGCCGCCGGTAAGAAGAGTTATACATTTGTCGTCGGCAAGGTCAATCCAGCAAAGGTAGCAAACTTTGCCGAGATCGGAGGATGGGTTGTTATAGGTTGTTGGGAGAGTAGTCTAATTGAGAGTCGAGATTTTTATAAGCCGCTAATTACACCATTTGAGCTTGAGCTCGCTCTCATGAGCGATCGAACCAGGCAATGGAACGGGGACTGGAGAAGCGATTTCGATACGATATTGGGCGATGAGCTAGCGGCCAGCCACACTGTGCAAGGAAAAGAAGGGGTTGAAATCGTGGACAGAGAGGGTGATGAAGATGAATCGGCTCCACCTGAATACGATCTTCGAACAGGACGTTACGTCTCTCATAGCCGGCCAATGCACGCCACAAAGGGCAATGCGCGTAGGCCTCTGGATGGTGACAAGACCGATTCACATGAGGTTTCACAGTCATTGATGAAACGAGGTAATGGTGAACTTGCTCGAATTGGCGGGATCATATCTCCAGGGGCAGAATATCTTCGTTCAATGAAGACATGGCGAGGACTTGGGAGTGATTATGAAATACACTACGATAATACTGGTGCAATTGTTGAGGAAGGTCAGACCGGAATTGCAAAGGGATATATTCATGAAAGCAGAAACAGCAGTTAAAAAGATTAGATTTACATCAAATTTTATCTTTTAGATAAACTTCACCATCCTTAGCAGGGAAGAAATTCGGATAGATTAGATATTTTAAAGAAATTAAGAATAGTGGCGGGCGGAAGCTTAGTGTTACGAGGTAACACGTGAATTATCACGTGAGTACAGTTCTGATTATTTTAATTATTTTCTGGAAAATGATTAAAATGAGCGCATCAGCCAATGGTTAATGGCCAGGGTGTCGCTAATTAATAGAAGTAATTATTCTGCTTATTCTAGGTAAAATAAGTAAAATAAGTAAAATAATAAAGATATTAAGAATAAAATCTATATAAATATCTTATCTTTATTAGTATTATACTTTTTTATAATTTAACTATCTAGTTTATTTAGTAGTTAGTTCAAATATATTTCTATACTTTTAAAACTTATATTTGTTGATCCAGAATGAGATCTATAATATATTTCTTAAATAACAGAATGAAAATATTAGTCATTCAGGTATTAGGTAATAACCGAGGTATTCAACTAACCGAGGTTGTATGAAAAGCGGGGTAATTGGTCTATATAAGCAACAGGACCTACCTCAGTTTTGTAAAGTAAGTAAAACAAAATATATATCTTCAATATATAAGTTTTCTTCTATATAAATCTTACTAAGCTTCCGCCCTCCAATAGCATAGCTTAACAATGCCAAGCATAGGGTTATTATTTAAAGGGATATAGAACTTTTAGTAATGATTAAGAATTAAGACTAAAGCGGAAAATATTTTTATTGAATCTTATTAAGTCGTGTACGAGAGAGAGATAGTGAGAGAGAGAGATAGTGAGAGAGAGAGATATAGAGAGAGAGAAAGAGAGCACTACTATAATCACTACCATAATCACTTTTTTTCTGCCATCCCCATATAACCCACCCGGTCACCACTAGTTGACCGAATACGCCTTGCAATCTCTATATCCCTTGGCATAACTGTTACCTGTTTTGCATGAATTGCCATTAAGTTCCAGACTATAAATATCTTAGTTTTATAATTTTATATGTTTTTTAAAGTGGAAAGTAATACCTTCAAATTCACTAACTAAATAAGCTTCTGCAGCTTCTTGTAGTGCTTTAATTGCTGTTTGTTGAATCTGAAGCTCCAGAGTACTTAAATTACCAAGAATTTCTTTAATGAGATGGTAGAATAGAATTTTTTTAATTAATAAGTTAGTACTTTTTTGATATCTTCGTATCTCTTGCAATACACGTGTTTAATTTATTAATAGATATTTTCAGATAAAACTTAATTAAACTTACTGCCAGGTTTGTAGCGGTGCCTTCGCTGCCTGGTATTTACATTCAAATTTGTATTTGAGTGGCTGGTAGCTTGATTTGATCGATCAGGAATTTGATTTACAACTACTCTTGACTTTGAGCGTGCCATTTTTGTGACATATGTTAGCTTAAGTTATGGTAATTGTTATGGTAGTAACGTGACTTTGACTAACTGTAAAAGGGAAAATAAACAATGGCGCACGGACCATATAGCTCTGATATCGGCATTGTTGCCTAGTATTAGATCTGCGCTAGTTACTTTAAGTAAATTTCCATACTATAAGTTATTAGACTTGAAGTTGTTATGTATGAACTTTCATAATATCAAAATGGCTCCTAAAAAAGACCCTACTTTGCTATCTAAAAATAAACACACACAACATGAACTTGCGCGTCATAATACAAAGACAGGATTTGAAAGAAAACAACTTATGACACAACGCGCCAATCAGGCTAAAATCGACTATGCTAAAAAGAAACTTAAAGCAACACCAGAATATCAGAATGCAGATGAGGAAACACAAAGAAAGATGATTGAGGAGTCAAAAAACGCCATTATATTAAATCTGTAAGTTATGGTAGTTTTATGGTAGTTTTACATCCCTAACACTTAATAGGAAAGCAAATAATAAACATTGGACTCAACTGCAGCCTGATCCTCAAGAAGTTATTGATTGGGACTTCCTCCCTATACGTAAAACTTCTATCCCTTCTACAGATCCTGACAATTCTGAGCATGAAGTTTATGAAGACGATAGTAATGAGGATGATAATGCCTCAGAAGAAGAGTGTACTGATGAAGATGAGAATATGGAAGATGAACCTATTGATGAAGAAGCTGCATCTCAATCTATCAATAAGGTTCAAGAACAACTTCATAATGATTTCGATGGTATTGCTTTCAAGTTTATTCGTTTATATTGGTATAATGCCTTTCTAACACTTAATGATAAAATAAAGAATGAAATCCCAAAGGTAAGGCTTAGATATATATTTAAAAATTGGTACTTACTATTTCTAGAATAATCATATAGAATCCTCACCAGCTGAATTCTTTACTACAGCTGAGCTTGGTGCTATAATGAATATTCTCTCATGGAAGCATGATGCTACTCTTCCTGGTGGTGATATATGGTGGAATAATTTCCCTGAAATAAAGGAGAGAGTCTTTAGCGGTAAAGGTAATGCTGAAAATGCAAAGAAAGCCTATGAATTAATATTTATGCCTTGGGAACAAAATGACCTAATACCAGAACTAGCTGATACATTAGAAGAGTCAGACAGTATTCTTATAGTTAAATAAAATATTAAAATACTTTACTAGTCCTCCTTATCTTTCTAATAATCTTATAAAATTTGGAAGGGTCAGCATACTTAATTCGATTAGACTATAATTGCATGATATTAAAAAAATATTATATATTAATATATATTATTTAGAGAATAATGTAGTGTAGTCTATAACCATTACTACTAAGAAATAAAGAAATATATTAAATTAAATAATATATATTAAATATAAATAATGTTATTTAGGAGTATATAATATACAAATGTTAAAATTTTAATCTATAAATTTTTATCATTTTCTTAGTGAATTCTGACACCAATACTACC